CAATCTCAGATATCAAAATCAACGTGATACTGCACAAGGTTGAGTAATGTAAGTTTTTGAAATGTAATGTCTTGAATTCAAACAGAGACCAAAATTAATGAGTTTTTTAAGATTAAATATCAACTAAAATTCTGAGGATATTCATTTAGGATGATGTAAATACAATCCAGATTAACTAAATTCAGCAAGCAGGCTACTTAGCTATACCAGTTCTGTAGATCCACAGTTACTAAGTTTTGTTGTAAAAGCAGGCTACTTAGTTACAGTGGTCCTGCAGATCTGCAGCAGCTTGATAAACCATAAAACGACAAAAAAATATCCTGTTCTTGAGATAAAACGACAAGAAATATCAGAGTTATGTTACAACATGAAATATAGCTCTGAAAAATTTTTGTTGAGAGCCTTCTACCCACCATCTTAGAACATTTTTTTTGACACTTGTGGACTTCAGTTTCTAGTGAGGGATTTCTCTGACATTACAAGATGAGTTTATGAAGTCAATGATCGAATACTTTTCAGTAAACCATGTGCAATAATTGCAGTAAAAGTTGTAGTCAGGATTTTTTCCCATCCAGGTAATAACCTCATGATTCAAAGCTGACACAAATTCTGGAGGCCTCTTCACCCATTCAGAAGATCTCTTAAAAGTTGGCTGAAAAGCTTTACTAACTTCAGAAGAATCGTGTGGAGTCAGAGGGTCAGCATCTTTACACCTGCTTACAATATCACCAACTGTCAGTGCATACTTATAGTCTTTCTGCCTTCTCCAGAGTTTGTCATGACAAAGGAAAAGACGATTTGCTTAATGAAAAGAATTAAGAGATTTAACATTAAAATTAGGTCTCCAGATATGTCTCAGGGCAGGCAAATAAATCTGTCGCGTAGCCTGCTTTATCAGCCAAAGTTTGGCAATGTCTTCAGAAACTCCATCCTCTTGAGCTTATTTCTTTACTGCAGCCAATCCTTTCCAATAACCTTTCTGCCTATAATAGATTCTCTTTAAAGCTTTCTTTTCCATTTTTAGAATAGTTTACAAGAGATAACTAGCAACCAATTCCTCAGTGATAGCTGCAGCTCCAATGTAGATCATCTCAGCTGGTTTTAGTTGAACTCATGCCTTATAGAAGTCTGAAAACTGTGGTTTAACCCCCAAAAGCAGATGATGATCTTAGTGAAATCTGTTATAAAGCTTCAAAGGATAGGTGGTACCGGCAAAATTTCAATTCGACTGCTCTTTGATTCTGTCATTTGTGGCGATCCAATCAACTAGCTTGATACTTCTTATAAGGCACCTGGTACTTCTCCACAACAAGATCATGTTGCTTCTTGTCTTCATCAGCTTTATTGTGATCTCCAGTGAAATATTTTGCCAGATAACCTCCACCAACAAATGCAGTTGCATTGATGATAGCTTCACCAACCATTATTGCTATGCTCACCATTTCATTTATCATTCATAGTGTTTGGAGTTACACTCCATCTCACTCAAGAAGAATGAAAATCCCGCCAGAGTCCTATAAGCTGTTGTGAATCCAGTAACCACTTTATACCTCCTAAGTATTGTTTTTGCATTTGCATTGATAATTATCACTTAAATTAAATCTATCATACTAAGTTCTTTCTTAACCATGAAGTTTTTATTCAAGTCCTTGAGAAGTTCACCTTCATCAACAGGGAGGGAATGAGCCAATGCCTTGCATGAGAGTTTGAGGACCACTTCCACGTTACCATCACAAGTCCATGCTGATAATGAGGTCTCTTATCTCTTGAAGTACTTCTCACCATCTTTCTCAGAGAGTGAGATCTTCTCCAATTATTTCCTTCGCTTTCTGCTTGTAACAAGAACAGTTAGTTGCTCTTGATGATCTGAATCACTTGTGGGTTTAGCCTCGATGATGGCTGGTAACATCAGTAACAGCTTGTTGTTCATCTTCAGTTATTTCCATTTTAAAGGATGAAGAGTTAAGATGAGATGTGAATTATCCTCACTCTTGAGCTTTGCAATATTTTTTTTCTTTTCATCATTCATCAATTTACCTGCATAACTCTCAAATATATTATTCATATTGTTAGCCAATGTATGGAAGAGAACAAATGAAGTGATGTTCTCTCTAATTGCATTCACAATGCTCACCACCTGCTGTGAAAGAACCCAAACACTGATTCCCTCGTGTCTTGCACTGAACGCCAAATTCAACAATTCACCTGTTCTCTTCAACACATCCCTAAAAATGGTGTAGTCATCAAAAATGATCAGTGTATTAGTACCCTCACGCACATAACTCATGATATTGAGCCAATCATCAATCTGATGTTAAAGTGTAGTGAACGCAAAAAAGTCCTGCTGATTTTTTTCAATGTTGTTTTACTTCTTGTAGTGAATGAATGTTGGACAGAGGAGGAAGATGTAAATGAACTTTCCCCAGAAGGCGGTGCTTGAGAGACTGACCAAGTATCTTGTCTTTCTTGAGTTTAACAGTCCAATAATCAACAGGTTGAAAGGAATATTATCAGGATTCAAATCCCATTCATCTTATTCATCTGTGAAATAGAGATAATTAAAAATAAATAAAATGTCTGCTCAAAAATGTGTTTCCAAGGGCTATGTTGCTTTATCCTTCCCTTCCTATGGTGGGGGCAGAGTATTTCAGATTGAAGAATATCTGTGATTGTCAAAAGGAACTTGATAACAAGATTGATCAAAACAAAGAAGTTGTAAAAAAACAAGGAAGGGCTAAATTTAAAGCTCAAGCAACATCAATTACATGTGGAATCACTTCCACTTTCTTCTCACCAAATGGTTTAGCAGTTTCAGTTGTGTTGTTTACCTTTCTTTCGACTGGGGCTTCCGTTTGTAGCCAGAGACTTGAGAGAAAGATTTCAAAACATGAAAAAACTATGTCTCTCACAGAAGTGAAGCTTCTCTCAATCAGTAAACTCAATTAAAAAGCTTTGAAAATAAGTCAATCTCAGATATTGTTTTGAAAGAGAAGCTCAGAAAAACATGCTTTACTGGGAGTAAAAGGAATATTTATGTCTAAACTCTGAAGGAAGAAAAGAAAAAAAATCAGAAAGAAATCAGTTTTGTGTTAAAAAAAAGTGTACAGAGTAAGATTTGAATTTGTCAAGAGAATAAAATTAATGTGTTTCTTTTAAGTAAATATCGACAAAATTCTGGGGATATTTATTTAGTATGATGTAAATACAATCCAGATTAACTAAATTCAGCAAGCTGGTTACTTAGTTATGCCAGTCCTGTAGATCTACAGTAACAAGTTTTTGTTGTTAAAGCTGGTTACTTAATTACAGCCGTGTAACGTAAAAAGACAAAAAAGCATCCTGTTGTTGAGATATTCTTGCACTCCTCCGCAGTTACTTGGTTACACTGGTCCTGTAGATTGTAGATCCAAAGTTGCTGGCTTCATAGTACGGAGTTATGTTACAACATATATTATAGCTTTGAAAAAATTTTGACGAGAGCCTTCAACTCAATGTCTTGGAACATCTTTTGACACTTGTGGACTTCAATCACTAATGAGCAATTTCTCAGACATTCCTTTGTTTGATTTTCTCCAAGAATTATTGATGGTTTGAGAAGCTATATCAAACATTCCAAAGGGTGTTTCATCCAATATCCAAACATCTTGAAGTTGGTTAAAAAAAACTTGGCCATGCCTCGTTTTTTCAACCACTTCTCTGTGTTTAGATATTGGATGAAACACTCTTCCTCATGTTTGGTATATTACATCAAATTCCATTTGGCCAAATTGAATCTTGCTCTATCACATCTCATTTTCTTGAAAAACAACCTGCATTTTATAAAGTATTTTTACTGCATTGTCCAACCTTGCTGAAAAAAATTCACATAGAACTAAATGCTACTGATATTGACTTTTCCACACAATTATCCCACGTTTGACTTTTTCTGTAAATTAAAGTTGCTTTTAGCTACCTTGGACTTAGCCCAATTGCATGTTGATTCCTTGTAAACAACCTAAAGTTGATCACACATTTCACAGGCAGAGAGCAAAGTCCAGATAGGCAACGACCAATCAAGGAGCCTTCTTTGAAATACTATCCTTTTCTCCAGTTCAGTGCTTCTTCACTGATTTGAGATCAAAATATATCTTTGGTTATGGTCTATTAGAGGAACAGCAGAGTTTCAGTTTGCTTTTCATAGTAGAATTACACAGAACTATATTTTTGAGTTAACTAATTGTAGACAAATAATTCCAATTTCTCTGTTCGAGGAATGGCAGTAAGCATAGTCTCTTTTTGATGCAACCATTATTTGGTCTCATTACACAACGCAATCTCTCTGAAACGGGAATAGAGGCTGTTGTGTGATGAGTCCAAACAATGGCTACAAAGGAGACAACAGTATGCGTGGCATATATCTCAACCCACCCTGCCAAAAAAATTAACTCTTGCATGCTATGCATGCCTTTGTTTAAAATAGTTCACAAGAGACGACTAGCAACCAATTCTACAGTGATAGCTGCAGCTCCAACATAGATCATCTCAGCTTGTTTTAGTTGAACACTTACCTTATAAAAGTCTGAAAACTATTGTTCAATCCCCAAATGGAGATGATGACCTTGGTGAACTCTGTTATAAAGTTTCAAAGGATAGATGATACCAGTAAAGTTTAAATTCACCTGCTCTTTGATTCTGTCAATTGTGGCAATCCAATTGACTGGCTTGATAGTTCTCATAAGGTACCTGGTACTTTTCCACAGCTAGATCATGTTGCTTCTTGTCTTCATCAGCTTAACTTCAATTTCCAGTTAAAAATTTTGCCAAAGATAACTTCCACCAACAAATGCAGTTGCATTGATGATAGCTTCACCAACCATTATTGCTATGCTCACCATTTCATTTATCATTCACAGGGTTTAGAGTTTCACTCTATCTCACTCAAGAAGAATGAAACTCCCCCCCCCAGAATCCTATAAGCTGTTGTGAGTCTGCTAACCACTTTATATCTCAGAAGTACTGTTTTAGCATTTGCATTGGAACTCCTTCTTTTTCCAACTGAAGCTTCGCTTCTTCCACAGCACTTGAGATAACAAGTTTAACCCCCCCCCCCACAATTAAGCAGAATCCTATAAACTCTAAAGCAACTGTCATGAATCCACTAACCATATTTTAATATCTAAGCAACTTTATTATTTTTGATAATGTTTTATTGCAAGAGAAGCCGCAAAAGTCACTGTGAACTTCACATAGTCCATGGCATTAGAATTCAGATCAAACGTCATTGCCTCTTTGAGATCCATCCATATCCAGCTGCAATTCCCACCATAACTGTATTTCATTAGTCACTGCCTGCTCTGTATTACATCAGTTACTGTTTTCATGAGCTTATTATTATCAGGCATCAACTTATTTAAGATAATGATTTTCAATCCATTGGTCCTACTCCTGTGATTGATCTCCAACTTGTCACTGTTTTCATGAGTTTATTGTTATAAGATGCTATTTTATTTAAGATAATAATTTTCAATCCATTGGTCTTACTCCTGTGACTAGTCTTTGACTCAGCAGAGGGGGGATCTTCAGCCTCTGACACAGTTTCTATTAGTGGATTTCTTTTAATAAGAGCTATCATCTCTTCTCTTTTGAAATACAGTCCAACCAATGAAAGAACTGTAAGTACCTGACTGAGTGACTGAGTGAACTGAAAGCACCTGACTGAGTGTCACTGGTGATAATGTTTCAAACTTCCACTCGGTGACCTTCTCATCTGAGTTTTGCTTCTTCACTTCTCTCACTTTTCTGTTGCATTCAGCAAGTATTTTTCCAGCTGAAACTCTCCCAGGGTCTAACTTTGGTTTCTTCTTATTCTTATCAGCTGAATTGGCCAGTGTTTCTTCAGTCTTGACTTCCCTATCATCAACTTCATAGTTTGTGAGATAATTTTCAAGTTCTCACACAAGTTCTTAGTCAATTACTTGCCAAGTTCTTATCAAGTTTTTCCGGGGGAAGTGTCAGATCATATTCAACATTACTGATCATTAAAAAAGCCACACTTGTGATTGCCATGTACTTTCCATGGTTCAAACTCAATCTGCAGACAATCATACTAAGTTCTTTCTCAACCATGAAGTTTTTATTCAAGTCCTTGAGAAGTTCACCTTCATCAACAGGGAGAAAATGAGCCAATGCCTTGCATAAGAGTTTGAGAACCGCTTTCACATTACCATTACAAGTCCATGCTGATAATTACAAGTCCATGCTGATAATGAGGTCTCACATCTCTTGAATTACTTCTCAACATCTTTCTCAGAAAGTCTCTTGACTTGATCATGAGTGAGATCTTGTCAAATCATTTTCTTTGCTTTCCACTTGCAATGAGAATAGTTAGATGCTCTTGATGATCTGAATCACTTGTGAGTTCAGCCTTGATGATAGTTGGTAACATCAGCAACAGCTTGTTGCTCATCTTCAGTTATTTCCATTTTATAGGACATAGAGTGAAGATGAGATGTGAATGATCCTCACTCTTGAGTTTTGCAATAATTTTTTCCTTTTGACATGAGTGAGATCTTGTCGAATCATTTTCTTCGCTTTCCACTTGCAATGAGAATAGTTAGATGCTCTTGATGATCTGAATCACTTGTGGGTTCAGCCTTGATGATGGTTGGTAACATCAGCAACAGCTTGTTGTTCATCTTCAGTTATTTCCATTTTATAGGACGTAGCATGAAGACGAGATGTGAATGATCCTCACTCTTGAGCTTTACTAAAACTTTTTCCTTTTGACATGAGTGAGATCTTGTTGAATCATTTTCTTTGCTTTCCACTTGGCAATGAGAACAGTTAGATGCTCTTGATGATCTTAATCACTTGCCAATTGACCTGCATAAGCCTTGAATATAATCTTCATATTGTTAGCCAATGGTGTATGGAAGAGAACAAATGAAGCAATGTCCTCTCTAATTGCATTAACAATGCTCGTCACCTGCTGTGTTAGAACCCAAATGCTGATTCCCTTATGTCTTGCACTGAATGCCAAATTCAATAATTCACTTGTTCTCTTCTGTGCATCCCTGAAAGCTGTGCAGTCATCAAAAATGATCAGTGTATTTGTACCCACATGCACATAACTCATGATATTGAGCCAATCATCAATCTAATGGTAAAGTGTAGTGAAAGCAAATTTTTCTCCAATGTTGCCTTTTTTATGTAGATAATGAATGTTAAACAGGGAAGGAAGATGTAATGGAACTTTCCTCAGAAGTTGGTGCTTGAGAGATTGACAAAGTATCTTGTCTTTCTTGAGTTTGACAGTCTGACAATCATGTTGAGTGGAATATTATCAGGACCCCTTTTTTATTTTCAACTTACTTCCTAACCAGTAATTCATTTATAATGACCATGTGGTAGTATGTTCATCTTATCACACTGAATAACCCTCTTGGCACTCAGAGATATCCTGTTGCAGTTAGGATGAGTGAATATTTCATGTTTATGGCTTCGAATCACATTCATCTCATTCGTCTGTGGGCTTCCAGTGAAAAGACACATCTTGAAATATTGGTGTTTTGTCATCTTTACTACATTCTTCTTCACTCCTTTGCACTTCTACTCTTCCTTTCCCTTGTGCATCTTTTAGCTGTAAAGTTTTGGCCTCAATCCAGCAAACCCTACGCTGATCTTTCCACTTGCTTCATATTTCATCATTCCCAACACTTTCTTATTGTAGCAACTTGGAATGCCAGAACAGTGAACTATCGGGTAGTTACTTTGTCAAACTTATCTTCAACATCACCACTTATATCCTTGAAGTAGTCTTCAGTTTCAATACCATAACAGAGACTGTCAGCATCTGTGAGGAGAAGCTTTGCTCTACCAGTATTTCCATATTTTGGTTTGATGTTATTGTAATGGAAATCATACATCTGACTCTTGCCGATATCAGGATACTCATTCTGCAATATACCAGCTTATCAAACATGAGTTTTGTCTCCTTTGTGTGGATTGTGAAGAGGTTTACATGAAACATTGTGTAATGCTTAACCCTTTAACTCCCATGAGTGACCAAGGCAGAATGTCTCCTAACAATATCAATACAATATCAATCAGATAAGTGATGAGAATAAAGAAAAATATAAACTTGAGAATAATTAGTTGATCCAATGCTAAATTCTTAGAACTAACATTATAAGAATTGTATAGTTGACAGTAAGGAGCATTACAAATTTGAACTGGGAGTTAAAGGGTTAAAATTTGGCTTTGCTGCAAGTGTAATGACTAATCTGCAATTGTGGACTCTGATGTTTTCCAGTTTTTCTGATGATGGAGTTATTCCTCAAGGAGGAGAAATCTTTCCTAAATTCATTCTCTGCTTTTGCACAGGGATATTTATGTTGAGCTCAATGTATTTCTTTAAACATATTCCTCTGTGAATCTTTTTGATCTTCAACCTGAGATCAAGAAACTACTTGAGGCTCTTGTGAGGAACTATGTATCTCTCCTTATCATACACGTTTGGGATAGGCCTTTCAACCCTATTGATCATCAACCTTTGAGGGGCAAGTGGACAGTTATTATGATTATCATGAAGCTCTTTGGAATATTCAAGGTCCACATTGAGGATGCAAGGCATTGATCTCCAGACATTGCCCATGCTTACAAATTATTCATGTCAAGATAAGCGATGAATTAATTTTGTTGGCTTTCTTGGATCATGATCTTCACCCATATATGGACTATTTGCTTTCCCATACCAATCTGAGATCATTGAAACACCTCCCCTAATTCCTTTCTCAATCATCAGCAGCATGTCATGATCAGTGTCCTTTCAAATTGAATTCTCTATAAATCTTATAGATATTATCTTCAACCATTTCATCAAAGATCTGAGCAACATCATCATCTTCACTCTTGCTATGTAAATGACAGGATCTTGTTTATGTATATTATCAGTGAAGCAGATAATGTGATGATAGACATCATATGGTTTATGCCTCTGATATTTATTGGTGAGGCTCTCCTCACTCCTCAGCTTCCAGATGTCAATCAGTTTTGTGAATGATTCAAACTCAGGGTAAACTGCCAAGAGCTCTTGTGATGCACCACTTGAAGCAGTCATCATCTTCATTTTTTATGTTTACAATTGCCTTCTTCCTTTGAAAAGATTTTGGGAGTTCAATGTAAGATGAACCTCTCAGTGGATCATACACTGTGAAATGTATATCTAGTGATATAACTTTCTCAAACCTCCAAATTCTTTTATTTTTATTGAAGTTCTGTAGTTTCTCTCTGAGTGTTTCCTTGTAAATATTGATGGCTTCTTCATCAGTTGCCTGAAGATTACCTTCCACTTCAGTTAAGAAATACAGAAAATTTAACCAGAGTGATCTAACCTCGTTTTCTCTCAGCATCTCGAATGTGAGAATCGTCTTGACTTTCCTCTTACATTTCCTCTCTAATTCTTTAAGACTTTAGGTTTAGTTTTTTCCATGAACTCTTTGGAGAGGCTAAGCTTGTGTCATTCTTTTTAAAAGTATTGTTTTTTCTGGACCTCTGTTGTGTTTGTGATGAGCTTAAGTTTTGGGTAACCTCTGTGTCCACTACAATTCACTTCCATGTTTAATTCAACTACTATCATCTTCTCCACTTTACTTAGATACAAAAATATGACCATTTTTTTCCAATTCACCAAAGTTGAGTCAATGAGCTGATGAGCCAGAAATAAGCTATCAAAATGAGCCAGAAATAAGCTATCAAAATGAGTCAGAAATACGCTATTGAAACTGTCTCAAAATTGTGTCTCTAAATGGTGTCTATAAGCATGAAGCCCCATTTTCCAACTACTTCTACAGTCACCCACTTGCATGTACACATGACCATGTTGATTATGCCACTTTAATCCAGTTTTTTGCACCAGGAGAAAGGTTTTTCATGAATTTTCTTGGTTATAATTTATCTTTGAGTCAAGAAGGGGCAACTTAGAGTAACATCACTTAACAAAGACCAGTTGTAAGACAGTTTATGGGAAATAGGTGACCCTATTCTGTAGAATGACAGAATGGCGGATTAATTGTATGGCAGAATATCCCAAAACATTGAGTGGTAAACATAATTCTAATATTTAAAACTAGTATTTTGTAACACTCTGATAAATAAGAAACAAAAAGGTACATAATAATTATTCTGATGAGACAAACCTTAAATCTATTAGAAGGGATATTTTACACCATATCGAGCCAAGATATTATTTTCTTTTCTCAGAGAAATAGGGTACAGTAATTTACAGGCATGTTCCCTTGACATATTCTCTTGAGTATAACAAATTTCTCATTAAATCAGCAACAGAGTAAAAAGAGTAATATCAGTATACTGTTTTGTTTATAAATCAACTAAAATGTCCTATGACCTCACACACACATGACCACAAAAAGGTTAAACTTATCGGTGAATGACATAGGTGTGTAGATTTTAGGGAAAAAAAGGGCCAAAACCGAGTAGATTTAAATTTCTAGATACACTAAAAATAATTTTTAGATTGAAGTCAGGATATGGTATTGAGTGACCTTTTCTGAGAATTAAATTTTTGATATTCTGGGAATCATTATAACGTGATTTTGAGAGGCATTTGTTTGTATGAGTTTCTATAATTAACAGCAACAATATACCCATTATGTAGCTTAAGTATAATTGTTGCGGTGATTATAGACATGATTGGTCGAGGATTCATATATTGCTATAATCACCTAGCGTGAGGTGATTAAGGATCTTCCTTCAATCCACTTTTCCATCATTGCACCAAATATGGTCATGATTACTCGTTCAAATGACCTTTGAGTAAGGCTGGGCTTCAAATTTACATCGCCACCTTTCTATACCAGGCTCTCTACGCTTTTTGAAGATTTAAAATTCTACAACATTTCAAAGACAAAATCTACGAAAGTTTCTTTCCTTCAACGAGTCAGAACAGAGAAAGCAGGGAAATCGACTTACAAATGGCCTCAGGGGTCGGTAGCGTCACAACCACGAAATCTCGAGTTGATTTTAGTGTGCCAGTACAATAGCAGCCAAAGTGGATGGATGTCTTACTCTTGGGAGAGGTGAATAACTCCGTTTCCGAAAGGTCTCGTGGGGTTCTGCACTGGGCCGCTCACACCACTTGCTTTTCGCTGACTCGACCTGCTGAATCTGCACTTACGATGAGTCCATGATACATGTGTGTCAGCGTCATCTTTAACAGGTGGTTTCAATCTTGTTTCTAACGGATATAGTTAAGTCAAAGCAGCACCGGGATGTAGAATGGACACAAAGAATTTGCTGCTAATGAACTTGAGTTGGTTTGTGCTTGGATTTGCAACACTTCTGGTAGTGCCCTTTTTTTCCACACTTTTGACATACGACTTCTCTGGCTGGACACTCAGGTGTGGGATGGGCAGGTTTAGCTCCGCGACTAAACAATTTTGTCGCTCACTTCTTCCCTGTTCCTTTCTTCCTTTCTTCTCGAAGTATCTTTCTTCTCTGTCTTGTCCTTTAACAGTTTCCTTGTCGTCTTGTTGGTTTGCGTGCAGCTTCTGAACTTCACTTGATCGTTGCTGTATGGCCGCGACTGCTGTGGAAACTGTACTCAGAGTTTGCTCAATTGATTTCTGACAATCACTGTTATAGATGTCCGTAGCAATCTCAATGACCCGCTCTGTCGCCAGCATATTCTGGTATTCTCCTAAACCCTTTTGATACCCCAGCGGAGTTTTGAGCCCAACGAGAATTTCATTTCTGAGCGCCATGTTTTTCTCTTCTTGTGGCCATCCACACGTTTCCTTGACTTCTCTACATTTTTCAATGTATTCCAGTAACTCCATGTTTCCTTGCGTCAAAACCTCGTACTGAGTGGCCGCGACGAGTCTGCTTCCTCTAGGTCTGCAAAGTTCCTCCAGTTTCCCTTAAAACTTTTCCCACTTCACATTATGTTGCTTTGTCAAGAAAAATTTAACTAAGCCCTGATTTCTCACGACCACTGATAAATACCCAAGCATATAGATTCTGGATCAACTTAGGTCATCGTTAAACCTTTGCATAGGACACATACCTTTTTCCTCTACTCTAGGAAACGTTCGTGTAGTTTTCCATCATTAGTCCGTTGGAGAACCAGTCCCTTTGTCGGTACTTCCATCGCCGTTCAGCCTTTTCACGTTGCTAAATAACGTTTCTATAAAACAGGAAGGCAAGATTTTTTGACTCCTGACACCATGTGTTCTCATGCTACTCCGCCAGACACTTGTATATCTCATCGAACTTTGTTAAACAAAATATACTTACTTCCATCTGCACTAAACTCTGAATGAATAAATCTTAAACTGCGTGAACGAATACCACACGATAATTATTCCTAGCGACCCGTTAACATATTGCACAATACAAGCTCATTAGCGGTACGTTCTTTGTGTGCACTCCACATTCCGGCATTGTAACAAGTTTATTGCTTGCAAGAACAAGTACTACCAAACGCTACTGGAACAGCCAGAACGACACTACCGTTATTGTTTCACCACATATTTCGAGCAAGCCACTTTGGTTGAACTTAGACCCATCCACTAGGTTGAATGTGAGATCGAATCAGTCACTGGATGCAATATAATGCCTTTGTACATGTACAAATCGTTGTTTGGAGATGACACATTCTCGGCCAGTTCAAATCTTCGATACGCGAGTCATCTTCGGATACGATGACTCACCGATGGTAAATATTCGTGCGTGCGCAATTACTATTCACACGAGTATAAGCAGCCACAGATGGTTGGATGGAAACATGTCAGGTGACAGATACTTGAGGATATCTTGTCCCAGGCAGAGGAACTATTGACAAATTGAGGTATATTGCCTTCCCAATGATAAAACCCTTAGCTCTAACCAGTGCTCCACAACTCATACGAGTGTAAATTCTCTACACCAAAACGCTCGGATGGAGTAAAAATGCCTACATCCGAGATAAAGGATGACGCTGTTCTTTCAAATGGCAAGATACACTCCCTACCTATTACAAAGGAGTACGTATTATCGGAATTGAACTTTGTGTTCGAAGGCATCAGTAAATTACCAGGGAGCCGGATGTTAAACCCATGCAACACCCTCCCCCCTCCCCCAGGGCAGTAGTGGAGAGGAGAAAGAAAAGGCTTTCAAAGACGAGCTGGAGAGATGGTGTAGCTTAGGAATCATTGAGCCAGTCGAGGGACATACGGATTGAATCACTAGCATCGTGCCAGATGCAAAACCAGATGGCAAACGACGAGATCCTCATCAAGAGCATGCCGAGCTCCACGGATCGACGATGTAACTGCCGACAGTACGGTCGAAGGCTCACAGTAGTCGAAGGCTAAATCGGACTATTGGATGGTGGAGTTAGACTCTGATAGCTCACTAGTAACAAAACAGTGGGTAAATAAGTCTTTTTCGTATTCTCCCTACACCGTGGAGAAATACTCTCCGTGGCTCAGACTCTCATTTGCCTTGAAAGCCAGTTCAGATCTCTTTGAAGAGAGGCTGAATTCTGTCATGCAAGGGGTAAAAGGAATCACAGGGTGTGTCGATGACGTCTTAGCAAGAAGTGTAGATTCTAAAGATCACTATATGAACATGTTCAGGTTATTGGAAACAGCAATCAAAGTGCTTTGTGAGCAAACTCGTGAATTGACACATGTTTTTTTGGATTATGTTTAATGTTATCTGGTTAGAGTACGAGCAGTAGTTCAATGTTCGCTAATGTAGCAAAGAAACAAAGTAACGTTGGGATAAGAAGGCATTACAAATGAAATGATCATGCTATTACATTTGACAAGGGTGGATGATGTCATGTGTTTTAAACGTATATCACTTTTGTTTCTGGTTCAAAAGAAAAGGTTGGCTGTAAATGTGGGTGAAAAGTGAAATTTACTGTCTATCATTGTAAATATTAGAAAATCAAGGCAATACTGTCTTAACGAAAACATTAACGATTCCCTCTTTATCAAATGAGACAAACGGGAACGAGTTTTATGTGATGTAACTAAGCCAAGGCTGCCACCGTCATTTTGGATCTCCGCCTGGGTAGATTTTAGTCACGTGCTAGGCAACGTATAATCAAGGACAAGAGAGAATTTCATTTCAGGCCTATTTATCAATTTTGTGGTGTATAACTTTCGCATTTTAGAACGTAATATTTATTTTAAGTCTTCAAATTGTCTTGAAACTTAAAAGAAAATTGTTCTTTAAAAATTCACCGAAAACCGGTAGCTAAGATTGTTTAGGTGTCATTTGATTTTCGTGTTAACTTGTAATTTCATTAGTCGCCGGCGTCTTTTGTTGCTTCACACAGAAAAAACACACGATACGAAACGTAATGATCGATTTTGTCCTCAATCTCACGCCATAACAGAAAAATCTTTTGAACATATGTAAACTCCGAGCGCTTCGCAGTAAGTTATATTTTCAATGAATCTTCGGATTGTTTTCAAGTTCAAGGATTGTAAATTACAATTTTATGAAAAACGAAGGTTGTTCTGTTATTTCGGTGTGAATCCTTACATGCTTGCCAGTCGCTGGCGCCGCTTGTTGAAACTAAAACGAAAATAAAAAACTCTTTTAAGATTATCATCTGCTTCTTTTTCACCCCACCACTATTCTTAGCAACAAAGGTCGCCATTTCGTTTGTTTACTGTTCGCCAAAAAACTATCAAATGCACTCAAAAGCCTAAAATCGAAAAAAATCTACAACTCGCTCTTGCGCATGCGCGAAATTCACGAGTTAAAATGAATAGAATAGAGTTCAATCCGAAGTAAACATTCTAACAAAATCCTTATTTAAGTTGTCATTATATCAAGAATCACAAGCTCTATTCAGAATGACCATATATGATATTGTCTCCTTTATCAGCCGAGGGATACCTTCTTCCTGTCGGCGTATCAGGTTTTGACTCACAATAACACAAACAATTTGTTCCTAAAAATGACCTTACCGGCCTCCGCCTCAGCATATGAACAAGTACAGCTCTTACTTATCATTAACTTTAATCGTCAGCATAAGTAATTTGTATCGTCACGGTGATCACGATCACAGTCAAATTCGTCCGAAATTGACTTTCTTAAAGCCAAAAACAGGTCGACGCATCACGTCCAAATGAGGAAAAGTAACATTTCGGACCTGCTTTATCGTATGATACAGTAAAAAAAATCTGGATCGTGTTTCTAAGAACAGCCAGTAAATATAATGTTGCGTTCCACACTTCGCCCAGTTTGACCAAAAGTTTGACAACAGAATTAATTCCACAGCAGCCATTTTGTCAAGAAGTCAAACATTAGAAGTCTATGCAACGTCCCTTTCTCTCCCAGTCTCCATATCTGGTTGGTTCTGGTCCTTTTGGTCCTCCCCTTTCCCCAGTAACAGGGTTAATATCGTCTGGAAACGGAGCATAAGGATCTTTATCAGTCGAACCTTCGATCTTCTGGTGGTTGTCGTTCTCATGGACTTGCGAATCTACACCCTTTTCGGTGTCTTTTACGTCATCACTAAAAAATCGCGACGAATGAAATCCAAAGAATCTTGGCAACATACTATTATTGGTAAGAATTCCTTTACAAGTCATTTTTCTGATGATTCCACGAGAAAAAGACGAAACAAGATTATGCAACATTGGAGCAGCCATTTTGAACAGTCGTTTCTAGGCTCCTGGCGAAACAGCCTAACGAGGGTGAGGTTGGGGACTGGAGAATATTACTTCAGTTTTGTGGCGCGAATCGACCAAATATTTTTGTCGGTTTTCTAGTTTGAGTAGATAATTCTAATCTTCTTTGGTCTTCTTTCATTTCTCTGTATGAGGTGTATGGCAGAATCATGGCTGAAACGAGCAAACCCGTTGGTATCATGCCAAACCATTTGGACTTACGCGAGATCTCTTTTACTAACTTGCTACTGTTGGATTTCAATCCTGAAGAAATGGAGTCCAAATACAGAGTGGTGTTTAATCGGTCAGTTGGAATCTGTATTTTTATTTTCGCCATCAGAATTAATCAACCAATAAAGTAGTTGTTGTGGACGATAAGAACCATCAATTAACATGTCACTTTGTTAAGCTGTAAATAAAGGTGGCTTCGTACTCTGATCATCTGAGCAAGATCTCTTTCAAAGAGAGTAAACAGATCTTGTTCTGAAATCAGTCCTCGATTATAACGATTTCTTAAAAGATAATGGTAATAACTGACTAGCTTTTGAATACGAGATAAGAGTGATAATCAGAGTTTTTTACAATTTTCTCAAAGAAAATTATGAAAACTGTTTTAGCTTGGTTTTAGCTGGTCTGCTCAGGTTGGAAATATGTAAAATAAACACACTAATTAGTTTAAAGAGGTTTACATAAGAGAGAACATTAACTGATATTAAGGAAGACAAACTACTATAATGCATGGAAAATGGTTGACAACACCAGCCCTATGAGACCTACGTTATGTAGGCTTTAAAGGACTGAAACAGTTGTCCAAGGAAAAGTGTGAGTTGCTGGGTTTCAAAGAAGAACTTTACGTGTATGATTTATATACTTATACACACCTGTACTTCTGTAACCTTTGTTATTATGGCTCACAATCCCATGGCAATCCATGTTAATCGGACCAGGGTTCAAGACATCTCCTTGTTTTCAATACAGCATTTACATGGTTGGTGTTGATCAGAGTTTTACCATACATCTTCTCATTCTTTTTTTCTTGCACTGTTGCTATACAGTGAATTCTTACTATCAAAGGTAAACGTGACTTTGGCTTGAGCATGTATGCAATACTCTGTTTATCAGAAAAAGCATTGTGTACTATAATTATTATACATTTTACATCCAATAATTAGAGATTCTGTTACTACCAGCACTATCACATCAGGAGGGGGTTCAATAATGCCATGACCAGCTCTCTAACACCAGCTGTGAGATCTCTCACCACTGCCTATTCAGCCTGCAAGCAGGCTCTTATGTATAGGTATCACCCAGCTGCCTATTACATTATTGGCAGCTGCTTATGGAAAAAGTTATTGAAACCCCTGATAGACTATTTCTTTGCGAAAATATTACTATATTTTAGTTACTTTGCACATGTTGTAAGGTTTAATATCTGTAGCATCTTGTTTGTCCATTTAATCATGGTTCTTATAACCCATTTTGTAGTGATATGTTTGCATTACCAAACAAGAAAGCCATGGAAGTGGTGATGCATTTTCTTTTTACAAGACTTCATCCTCAGTTGGCATATGAAGAATTCAGGTAAACATTTCTTAGATGCTAAAATAACCTTATTTAATTTCAAGTTATATGATGCTCTAATGGATTAGAAGTATAAGGTGATTTCAAAAAAAGGAGATATGAGTCTTGAACTGTCATACTTCTGAGTGTCTTTTCTATCCATCTTGGTAATTTATGTTTATTCTTTTTATGTTTTTGTTTTGTTTTTGTTTTTTTTTACATAGGGACTGTTGGCCAGTCCGTGACAAGATCCTTGAACAGCAATTTAGGAAAGTTTGTTTTAACTGGGTATCCAGAGTACAGAAGGTAATATACTCAATATTGGAAATGATTGGTAATTAAAGGTGAAAAATGAGCATCGATGATTTCCTTTGAAAGTAATTATCGATATTACAGAAACAACAAACTCACTGATAAGCCTAAAGCTTCAAGTACCTTCTTTGTTATAGAATAAAAATGATCATACAGTACTAAACATTAATGTCAGTGTAACTAACAGATTTCTTGGAAAACAGTTGTTAAGTCAGACAGACTCATTTCAGCCTAAATCATGAGGCAAAACACCATTAAGTCAAAATGTAAAGCCAAAGTGGGATTCCTATTGCCTGACCCTTTTCATTTTAAAACAATTTGAATCATTTTTAATTTTTGACAGGAAACCAGTAAAACATCAATTGTAAAGAGAAATTGATACTTCTGTTTTGTTACAATTCATAGGAAGACCCAGAGGCAAGATTACCAAGAATAGTCCAATCACTTTTTCATTCTCCTGGAGGTAGATATACATGTCCGTACAGATCTTGTCTCTATATCAGATGATTCTGTGATTGACTAGTTACCATGTTGGCTTTTACTACCAGACTCAGAAAACCATAAACACCTGGAATATGCTTGCAATGTTTATTGTGTCATGACCAACCATGTAGGTCATAACACAGAAAATGAGAAAATGTGAGGAAACCACTAATCCACAAACAAATTTTGGGTAGTAATTACCTTTCAAGACTAAAACATTCCATGGAGATTTCTGGTGTTCATAATTTCTGAGTTTCACTCCATTAGTGATAACCTTTCATAACAGTATTTTACTCACTATTTCAAGAAACTAATATGTCTGCTTAGTATTTCACTTTGTTTCTGGTGATCTTTTTAGCCTTTTACACTTGTATCATAGAGATCTTCAAATAATTGTTTTACATCGCATGACATGTGTTTTTGTTTTTTATTGTTACAGGAGATCGTTTCTATTCATTCCTTCATCATTTTTCCTTGTATGTTTTGACAAAAGTTATGTATCGTGATCATGGTGAGTTCATTATTTAAATTTGCTACTTTAGCAGGTAGTCAATTGTGATTTCTTGTAATATATGTTGCTGTATTTGGTTACCTACATGTACATGCATAATACTTTGAGAAAACCCACACCACAAACCACATACAGTAAATATGTGTAGCTCTATACAGATGGGTTACTCAGGTGATGGAGAGATTGACACTGATAAAACAATTTCATTGAGTCTTGAGTCATTGAGTGAGAGAACTAAATCATTTCATTTAGTAAACAACTTCCTTTGCTTGGTTGCCAGCCAGGCATATACCCCAGCAAGTTCCCTTCTTCTTCATTAATTGCAAGATGAAAACTCCAGAAAAGAAACTCTTATAAAGATGTTGAGATTTAAAACAGGGTTGTGCAGCATGATGTCTCTTTTGACAGTCAACAAACATTTCAGTTTTACAAACTGGCTGGGTTCAAAGATCTACTGTACATAGTTTATCATAAAAGTTTTTTTTTTAATCAAGCTATGGTGCAGCCCCATTGCACTTTGTAATTTGCTGCTTTTGTTGTCAGTTCTTGCCAGCTATGACACAATTGTCAGAGTTAAGTTTCACCACTTGCCTACTTTCCTGCATGGAAAAATTTTTATGTCCTTCGCTTTATAATTTCTCTTCCTTGACTGGTTTCAAACAGGTAAAATTATCAGCATTCCTACTTTTCCAACAAAGACTGTTCATAACTATTCCTTCACACATGTAATGTCTAAAGCACTGGAGGCCCACTTCGTTGTTTTAAAGAAAAGGTAAAGTCCTGTCAAGTTTTATATGAAAAGTAATCATTTGTAGTCTGGACAAAATTTACATATGTTTGGGTATATGAGCAACTACTCCGTTTATTTCTCTGGTATATTTTCTTACCATTAGGTCCTCAGGGAATCTTGTAGACTATGCCATCTTCTTTGTTTGGTAGATAAGAGCTTCTTTTTGCTGAACTAAGAGTGAATGAAATGTAGTATCTGACTTGAACACAGGGCAAATGCCTTGCTATGTAGGGCAGTAGTAAATTTTTCAAATATACCATTGGCACAAGGTAAAAGGGCAGTGGACTTGAACTTGTGAGTGTGGTTAAGTTTACACCTAATATGATTATCCAAAAAATTAAACCCTGCAGAATGCAATTTATACTTCGCATTGTGAGACAAACAGTACTTAGCACTTCATTAACTGTCATGGTCTTCTGCATGAGTATATATGGTGCATATTTGCAAAAGGAGTTTGTGGTTTATGTAAAAATAGTTGTTTAGCTTGTTTGCCAGGTTGTTGGTAAGAAACAACCAACATCTGGAGCACAATCAAATTTTGAGGTGCTTTTGAGGTTAAAATGAGCTTATTGCTTTTGGCATCAGTGCCATAAATTATGAATGTAAAATCCTTTAAACCTTCAAAGGGTAGTCATAGCATGTAGAATGATGTAGAGCCCAGAGTGTCTATCAAACTTTTTCAGTCATCAATTGAAATGTCTCAGCATATAATAATATTGGTTGAAATGGTGGAAATGTTGTGGTGAAGCATCTCAACAACATTTTATTGTTTTCTATTTAGATTTATAGAGTTTGCACAACATGCAGTAGAAGTGGAAAATCACTGGAAAGAATTTGCCATGTATGTATAATGATACGTGGTTTATTTTAGCCAAAGATCCATAAATAATGATTAGTATTTACAAGAAGTGAGAAAATGGGCAGAAAGTAATGCTAATGCACCCAAAAAAAACAATGTAGTTTCATCAAGTTCCTCTAGAACATTCAGAGTATTGGCAGGAACTTGTTAATCATCTAGAATAAACATATTTACAAGAAATCTTCAGATCCTCATGTGTAGTCTTATTAGCATTGGAAATCTTTTCAAGACCTTGAATTGATTTTGAAGGTCTTTGGTTTACTAAAAAGACCACTCTCAAAATGGTACAGTCGAATCTCGATTAACCAGACCCCGATTATCCGGACTATTCGATTATCCAAACTATTCAATTATCCGGTCTTTCTTCTCTGGTCCCAATTTTTCCATGAATATTTATTAGTTGTGATCTTGAAAACTCAAAGTCGCAAAAAGCCCAATAATCCTTTCAAAAGACAGTTGAAACAGCGTATTATCCTGTGCGCTTTTCAAAATTCGAAAGTGTGATGAGAAAAAGAAATATTCTGATGTGTTCAGCTGAAATATGGTTGGCTCAATTGTTTTGTTGCCAAGGGAATTTCATGCTTGTTTAGTTCCTTCTGCGTGGGTTATGTAAACACATGAGCAATCGATCGTAAACTCAAATCAAAAACATGCCTACGAAGCGAAAGCTAGCCGTTCTATTGATTAAAGATAAGCAGATAATTATTTCACATTTCTATCTCATTAATATTCATATTTTCGATTATCCGGACTCTCGATTATCCAGACTATTTACCAAGGTCCCGATGAGTCCGAATAATCGAGGTTCGACTGTAGAACATTTCATAATTGTACTTTCTAAATTGGAACTTTCCAATAATTGTTTTTTTTTTGACAAAGTGTTATAGTTTTAAAGTATGTTACCTCTCTCAGTAACTTACATATATCAATGACCTGAGTAGACCTACATGTAGCAAAATAAATTTGGTCAGTTTGATGTGGAGCACAATTCAGAGGTAATGTACTTACTGTGATCCAACTAGAAATAAGCAACTATATACCACAGCCTGTTCTGTATCCTTTGATATAACTCTCCTTGCAGAAAGTTTCTCATCAAAATTATACTTTGATTTATCTATTTGGGTGACTTACTGTTTTACCTTTTATACTTACCCTCTATCAGGGAGTCAACCAAAGAATTTAGAATTCTAGTTAAAAAGAAGCGTGATCTTGAGCGACATATCTTGGAACTGGATGGGGTTATTGCAACAAGAGGGAAAAGTGTTGGGTAGGACTTAATACTTCATTTATTTTTAACAATCAGCTGATTCCACATGTGCTTCTACTTTTTGTATTTTAAATTAAGTGCAATATCGTTGGTTGTAAGAGGTATTTATTGACTCTGTGCTTGCATATTTTTCCATAAAGTATACAAATTGTGTAAAATAATCTCTTTCTGAAAAAGGAGAATTTGCAACATTGTCGGTCAGTGGACAGGTTACTGAGCAAGGCTCAAATTGCCAAAATCCATAAAAAAATTTTTAGCATGTTTTAGCCAGGGATTGAAATATCAGGGGTAAGTTTGTATAAATGAATGATTACATAACAAAAGAGTTAGGGAATGTTAGATAAAGCATTGTTTATACTTTTGTTTTCAGTATAAGGACTGATTACCAAGAAGATGTTGAAGCTCTCAAAAGGACACAGTATTTACAAAAGGTTGGCAGTGATTTCTTTCTTTTATGACCACCTGATGGTAAACTACATAACTCATATATCATCAGTAACTATAGACCTGGCAGCTGCAGTTCAGTTGTCCAAGGCACACTCTGTCTTCGACAAATCTTTTTTTTGGTAGAAGTTCTATTACACATCCACTCAGATGTGGGTTTACATTGGTGGTAATCATCAATCAAATGTGGGATTAATTATGGAGGTTTTCCATGCTCAGTTATTTCTTTTAAAAGTCAAGTGGATCCTCCTTTATTATATGCTGAACAACATGGCAGGAAAACTAAATGGTTATGAACCAAGGTCAAGAACAACCTGAACTTTTAGACAACTAGGTGGCTTGACCCTGATACCCTTTGTAAAAAGATGAATGTTGATTACCTGAGTGTAATGTGACAAGAAAAACAGGGGTCATCAAAGAATTGTTTCAGAGTTGAAGACACTGAATGCTAAGGTTAAGAGTGCCAGTGAGAGGTTGCAATGTTGCTATGGAAACTTAACCCAACAGAGAAAAATCTTAACTTGCTGAGAAATAATAGGGAAATGTTTTGATATTAGTTTCAGGGAAACATACCTAAAAGAGCAGTAGTATCAATTCATGAAAGAATTGGTTTTAAGAACTTGAAAAATAATTCTAAACTGTCTTAAGCTATAGGTTCATTCTACAAATCCTAGGGTTTGCTTTGAAGAACCTTTTTCACTGATTTGTTTCACTGATTGAACATAATCAATTTTTAAACACAGAAAAAATCTGACATCTTCCTATAAAATCATAGAATTCTTATGTCAGTGTGGATTAAAGGACTCTTACACCATTTGCAATTTGCTGGTTTCTTAATGTAATGTCCCTGATAAGTGTATTTCCTCGTTGCAAATTAGTTAAAAACTTGTTTACACCATGTTTTATTGGCAGGTTCGAGACTTGTGGACTGGAATTGCAGAATTCCACTCTATGCAGGGACCTCAGGTATGTAAATAGCATTCTATGCAAAAATTTAAAAATTTCACTTGTTAAGTTGTTTTCATTGATGACCCTCTTTTTTCAACTTTATTTTTATTAAAATTTTTCTTTACCTTATTGAACAGAGAAAGATAATTGACACAGTGCTCATGGGTGAAGCAAACAACTACCACATTGATGTTTCAGACATAGAACCAAGAGTGAGTGAAAAATGCATCTCAGTTACTAGATTTATTGGAATATAATAATAACATTTTGCCCACTTTGTGTGCATAATTAGATGTGGGTTGATTGAATTGCTGCTACTTGTTTTCCAAGGCATCACAAATGGTACAAATTATTACATTTTGATATGTATAAGGTGACAGGAATATAAAAAAATGTAAACTCACCAGGTTCTCTTGACCATTAACTTCTTTTGTCAAATTTAGCCATGGCATGCATGTATCAGTAATTATGTAATCTTAAGGGTGCTCTGTTTGTTTCTTTGATGTATGATACTCATGACAGTACAAAAATTGTAACTGGTATTGTAAAACCACTACTAATATCAAATCCAGATTGTTAAGTGCAAAGGACCCTCACCAAGTTCCTCAGTTGTTTAATTACTAAAGGATTAATAATACCTCTTTCATAACCTTGCCAGGTTCCTGACATGCTGCTGAGAGATTCTGAAAGGGAGATAAAAAAGGTATGAGGGGATGACTTATGCCATTTATTTCTTATAAGTGATAATCATTTGTTAATCTTCCCTATTTGAGGAACTGACATGAGTTTTCTCAGTGATATCTCACTTTTTTTCTCAGAGAAATATTGAAGATACTTACTGTGGTGGAAAAGTGAATCTTTTGAGGTAAGTGTTACAAGTGTCGATCACACTGTCAGTATTTTAATAAGATGAAGTTTTTTAAGTAAAAAATGTTCTAGTTGATTAATAAGTTATATAATTGTCTGAATGAAGGTACTCCTTAAAAGGGCTGCTGTCATGCAATTACATTGACTGACATTTTGACAACCTCAGCTGTGGTTTGCCAGTTGAATGTTGCAAGTCAGGCAGGAACTGAATGATAGTTATTAGTTTTGCAATTTTTCTTTGGCTCAGACAGCATTGATGAATCCGGTTTGACTTTTTGGTAAAGTTTCATTGTTCCATTTCATTGTTCCATTTCATTGTTTGATTGGTTATACAAACATTATGAGTTACTAGTAGTTTTACAGTTTTGTACAGTGCTGATATTTGCTGACATCTTTTTAGAGGAGTATGTTCTAAGTTTGTAAACCAGCATTCTAAAAATAGTTTAAAGTTAGAGCAATAGGTTAGACATTGAGCTGAGGCCCAAGCTATTATTTGAGTTGATGTTCAGAGGCAAATATGTCAAAATTTTTCTCTGCTTGCATGTGTTCAGTTAAGTCTTAAATGAAGGTTCCTTATACTTTTCTCCCTTAACAGAACAAAAATTAATTATATCCCTTCGGAAATTAACATTTGATGTACACCACTAGGTATTAAAGAAAGCAATAGTACTAGTACCTTATAAAGCAATTATAGTACTTTAATTTGTATTTGTACCTTTCTAGAGTTCTCTTCTGTGTTTGACTTCATTATTTTTATTTTGACTTTTTTCCTCAATGCAGTCTGATTCAACTTTGGAATTTGTCGCTTTATAAGATAAGGGAGCAGATTTGCCAAGGTTTGTTCTCTAAAAGTTGCAAACATGATTTTGAAGGTTGACTATCTTTCATGACTTCAATTAACTTACGCTGAAAATTTGCAGACAAATCCATTACATAGTGCATGTACTATCTTTTATGATTAGCTTGAAAGTACATTGTGTTGTTTAATAGAACCTCTGCCCAGTTTGGATGATTACTGTCCAACAGTGAGGTCAGCTTTTTACACCCATGAGGCACATCTTACCAACACTAAGTCACTAAGGTAAGGCATCGGAGATGGAAACATGTGTTACTGTTCATGTACATTGCAATAGAGACATTACTGTTCAAAATTTTCATACCTGTATTTACATTTGTTTCAAAATTAGACTAATGATGAACTGAATAATTTTGAGGGTGAAATTAATGGTTAAGTAGGCAAAATATGAAGTGTTTTAACACTGAATAGACATTAGCATTTCTAAAGACCATAAAAAATTTTAAAAGTCCTCTAATATGGCTGTACGTAATGCTTTTCCTAAAGGGCAGCTATAGAAGAAACTATGCCAGCCATGAAGGAATCTATCAAGGAATTGAAGTTACAATGTTACAGGATGTTGGAGCAAAAACCTAGCAAGGCAACACAGGGACCTGTTGTGTTTGTAAGTTGGTTGAGAGTCTGGGTAGGCTAGTTGATATAACATTAAAACAGTATAATTTATCTCCACTGTCATATTCAAATTGAACTTAATTCTGTTGTCTTTGTGTGCTTTTGATTCCCATTTTTAAAACTTGAAGGGATTACTTTTAATATATATTTTGTGATGAATGTTAGAATCTTGGACTAGTTCCTCCTACTCCCCCAGTATCCTTTGCACCTGCTGACACACCAATGGCACAGAGAATTACTTCTTTTGAGGACAGTCTCAAGCTTTCACCAGAAACAGGTAAATGTTACAGGCACATCTTTAAGAAATGAGAATCTTCATTATCCATTACTAGTTTTTTACTATCACTTCTACATTCATTTTGTTTGTAGTTTCTACACCAGATGTAATTCAAGCATGGACCAAATCTGCCAGAACAAAGCAGTTGCATGGTAAGTGTACATGTAGGATCAAGTAGAGTGACCAGCTTTATTTCTAACATTATTGAAAATTATTTGTGGTCTGCTTAACAATCCAACATTTACATTTGGCATTAAAACAAGTTACATGTCTGAGAAGGTTTTCTTTTTCTTTTTTTTTTCTTTTTTTCCAACAATTTTGCCTTTAAAAGAAATTGAAAAGATATTGAATAGAATATTATTTTTCACACCTATCCTCTTCACGATTCCTATAGTAGATGCATGTAAGGTATTACAATAAATATTGTATTAAATTGAATTGCATTGATATGAACGTGGATCTCTCTTTGCAGGTGAAAAAGAATCTCTTCTCAAGCCCAAGTATGTTTGAGATCTTCTTGTGACTCTGCTAAAAGGTTACATCTTGAGCTGGCATGGTTATTTACTGTTATTAAATTTCATTTATTTCAGAAATAAAAAGGAGAAATCTTCCAGGCTTCCAAGGCCAATACAGCATTGCCATGTAACTGAAGTAATGGTTTTGTTTCTTCACACATTTAGTGATACTGTAGTTCAATTTTTTTGGTTGAAAAGGTTACAGTAATGGACTGGAGATAATGAAAAATCAAAGTTAAATTGATTTGAAATTTTCTAAACCAAGGAAAAATCTGTACCACTACATCTTTATTCAATTGAATGAGCACTGCAATGCTTGTAATTGCTGCAATCTCTCTGTCCATAGTGTGGTTAGCTGGGCAAACATCATCATCAGGTTTTCAGTATAGGAAGAATTGAAAACTCAGTAAATTCAAAACAATGTTTGTTCCTCTGATTTCATCTTGTTTGTGTTACCTACAATCAATTTAATGTCATGTAAATGAATTGTCAAATAACTTCTAGAAACAAAAATGTAAGAATCAATCAGTCAAAGTACCTCTTCCCTGAGCCTCAAGGGTTGATTGGCTGAGAATGACACTGTACATTTCCTTTTTCCATTATCATCCTTTGGTGGATGATTATGATACTGAGGCATGAAGGTTTGAAAGTGGCCAGTTGACAATTTCTATATATTTCTTGAGAAGACCAAATACACTGAAAAAAGCACAGCTGCTCTGATGATCATCAAAATACAGATTAAACTGAAGAAGTAATCATTCTGATTAGAGTCAGTGAAAGTTTTTTAATAATTACTACATATTTACCTTTGTTAAGCTGACTATAATACAAGTATTAGTCTTGTTTCCTATAATTATCATGTGACTTAGTAATGAAACAAAATATGGTTTATGGCAGACGAAGTTTGCCGAATATTGTTATACTTCCTTAGCTGTAATCAGTGACAGCACCTTATCCAGCCAATCATCTATCTTCACTGAGGAAGAACTCTTTGATTGGGAAAGATTCCTTGTTTTATTCTTTGCCTTAGATTCTGAACACAAAAACTGCCACCTCCCAATCAACTGAAAAGAAAAAGAAGCCATCCCAGCCATATGTTGAAAAAAGTCTACCTTACTCAGTAGGTGTTCACTACTTTAAGCTTAAAAGCTTGAGCATGTGTGAAAATCTTGCAGTCATTGATCTGCATAATATGGTTCCAAATATACATGTACAAAGTTACTCACCACAGCTAACAACCTCAGGATCATGATATCCCTGGCTCAAATTCACACATCTGTAAGAGGGAACTTGCAAACACTAAGACAATTTCTTTAGCTACCATTTTTACTCTCTTAGTCACCAGACATTTTCTCTTTTTATTTTAGTATTAGATGTGAAGTTAATCATTACCTAAACAGGCTTTAATGCAATGTATTTGTCGAGAATTTTTTTTGTGTGTCATCTGCAATTCTTTTTGTTGTCTGAAATGTATTTGTATTTCAATTTCAAAAAGTCATATGTCACTCCAAGAGCAGAGCAAGTTGAAATTGTACCAAAGCACCAGTCTCTGAAACCTACAGTACAGAACATTTTGGCAGATCAGGTACCGACTTTATACTTTACAACAACACGTATTTACACTTAAGTGAATGAAGAGCTATAAAAGATTGAACTTTCTTGGTATTCTCTCAGTCTTTCTCCTTCTCCATGGTCACTGCTCCATTTGTGGCTGTCACGAGTTTTGCTGAATCACAGCTACAAGGTTTAACCCCTGTCACATTGTAACTCTGTTTACAGATCGCAGATGCTGTTGCTGTACAGGAAATCACCTCAAGCTCTCTTTCATCGTCAAGCTCTTCATCCCGTGCCACCACCCCTCAGGTGAGATCCCTTCTCGGGTGCTCCTTTCTAAGACAGGAATGGTTTCTCTTTTAGAACAAGAAAGAAAGATTATGAAGCCCTCCCAAGGGCTGTGGTGTTTGTGTACTCAGAAATCAAATGTGCTCTCAGTTTATGATGTTTAAAACATGTCATGGGAACATGAACTTTGAGATCCGTTTATTATGGTATAGTATAATTATCTATCTATAGTATATTATCATATATCTTAAGGCCATTGGTCCGAAATTTAAGAAGGATTTAGAAGACAAGTGAGGAAAGAAGACAACTTTTAGTGGATGTATTTACAGAGTGATATTCTCCGGTCTCTATTGCAGCCTCAAGCATTGGAGGATCCTGCTGGTGCACTAGGTGAGATTGACTGGCTGCTCTAGGATATAATAGTGCCCAACATTTTCTAGAAGTGTGGGCAAATAAAACAGTAACAAACCTTAAGGCTACCAACCTAGGGCTGTGAAATACTAAAATAAAAGTGTTTAATAGTCTAATATAACAACTCTTATTTTCGATATCAGGACAAGACGCATTTAAACCGCGAGATCGGATTCCTAGAACTCCAGCTAAATCCGACGATGGTAAGAGTGGTTTCGCTTTTGTCTGCACGTTGTCTCTTCCACTTTTTTTTTTTAGCCAGTAAAAATCTCACTCACAAACATTTTCGTTCTTAGGCGAAATAATTCTCTTTTACTTTACACCTACCATTTTTCATGGAATAAGTACTGTTTCATTCTGACGAAGTCATGATTTTTACAGGTTACAAAGGAGTAAAAGAGGAAACATTGACTCGACAAAACGCTGAGACAAAGACTGGTCGGCTTCTCCAAACCATCCTTGACGAATCCACTGAAACAGCCACTCCCAGTCCTGTCAGAGGAGGCCTGTCAAGGGATACTCCTCCACCAGATGTTAGTGGTGCTACGTATTCTGAGGGCAAAATGTCCACAAGTCCACTTAGGACCTCTTTGGTCCACGAAAAATCTCCTGAACGTGGTGCATCGTCATTGCGACTGTTTTCGTCTCTCAACCATTCTAGTGATAAGCTCGCTTACAGCACCTCTGTACACGAAAGTTTTAACCGTACCACGTTTCAGCCTACACCAAAGTCAGTCAAAAAATCGCTCTTTGAGGAATCGCCCCAACAGCAGGAAACGTCACAGCATCAAAAGAAGGTTACTCCCGCTCAACCAACCACCAGTCTAACAACAATGTCAGACGAATTGCCGTTATCTATCGGGCAATCTCCAAGTCTTGAATTCTGGCTTCGTCCACAAGGAGGATGTTTGGATTTTAATGTCCAGGAGACAGCTACGTCACCAACGACAGATCTTAGTCTTGACGAAACTCCTTTAGAGAGCGGCAATTCGTCGTTTAATGGCATTGAATTTTTCAGTAGATTCACTGAAAAAATCCCACTTAACACGGATAAAGCCAAGACGTCAGTGAGGACATCCCAACCTGACAATACTTCAAGCGCGCATGCCTCATTCAAATCCGGGGCATTTGTCGCACAGACCGCGCTTCAAAATGTTCCTTCGTCAATTAGTGAAGTCGATACTTCTGCACTGATTCAAAGACTTAACAAGATTAAATTGACGCAGCTCTCGTTCAGTTCTCCACACGCAGCTCCGTCAGGACCGTCTGAGTCCCATGCAGCAGATAACTCAACCAATAAACAGGACGGGAGGGAGGGCCAAACACCTTCTGACTCGTCTTTATTGGCCTCCAGGCTGGATCAGATAAAACAAGCGCAAAAGAGTCAACAGGTAACTAGATAACGTAACAGTTGTGGCCTTGAACTTGATCAGCAGTTGAACATCTCATGTAGCAGAATCACTTAGCATTTGGAAGAACTATGTTCTCTCAAGGGTCTTCCCAGCCTGAAGGTGACGCGTACTCAACCGAACCCGTTACCTGAAGGAGATTAGCAGTATGCAGTCGAAACGTCGCAGTCCACTTCCGATATGACCACATCGTGAAACAAACAATTACATTTCTCTTTTGAAGTATTATTTACCGCGATGACTAACCACAGGCTATTTTACGGTCTTCCCATTTGCTAGAAAGTGCCAGCCAAACAGATCCACTGATGAAAAGGGTTCCGTTCTTAATCAGATATATCTGCCCAGACGAGTTCACTCGAAGTTTTCCCTTATTTGTGCAACGACTTGTACAAATGAGGTAGAACTTTCTCCTCTTAAATCGACCGATCTGGTTTTTTAGTTCCGCATACTGCCATTTATTTTATTGTAAATTTAACGTAACCGTCCATTGGAATAAACTAGCTCAGCCTGACTCTGCACTATAGAGAAGGTCACTGTGAAATGTAGGAAGGAAATTTTTCCAAGCTATTCAGAACAAAAGAATACCCACGTAAAGCATTAGGAAGTTGGTAAGAAATCCAGATTTTAATGGAAAAATTTTAATGGAAGCGAGGCCTAGGGGTTAATTTTCAGCAAAAGAGGACATCATTCATGGAAGCTTTTCCATGCTCTTAGAATTTACCCTAGTTATATTTATTTTACTGTTTGTTAATTTCTTTAGTTTGATATCTGTACTCTCAGGTGACCCCTGGAGCAAACACCGATGGAGACCTTAGTAATAGTCGTACAAGTGAGCCTGCTCTGCTGACACCCCTGACCCCAAGCAGTAGGAGTACACCTGATGAGGATGGTATCAAGAATGACTTCGCTAACTTTTCATTCAACTCACCGCAGCTCATAACAAGTGTCTCTGGTTCGCCATCTTCGCCAATAGATATAGATCTCTCCGGGCAAACTCCGTTTAGACAAAAAAATGGCGTGGGATTTACCAGTCCCCTTCAAGAAACACCTCACTTGTTGGAAGAGTTTTATGAAGGTATTCCTTGGGAGACAGCAACACCAAGTCTTCCAGAGAGAACCTCACACAAAGTAGAGAGTGGTTTAGCAGAAAAAGGTTCTATTTCTCCTGGGGTGAACGGTCTGTACAGTTCTTCGCCGTACAACATTTCAACACCTCTTCTGTTGAGTTGTGTGCATATGCCGAACGGAGCTAGTGAGGTTTCCTCTTCCAAACAGACCTTTTCAAGTTTGGGTGGTAACACCTTTCAAGGTGAGAAAATTAGGGTTTCTTACCCAATAGATCACGGAAGTCTTCGGAGTAGTGGTAGTATCTTTCGGTGGTTTAAGTTGGAGAAAGACCCAAGAATGATGGGAATTTGATCGACTGTAAGTTATCTTTCTCTGTGGAGTACATGTGGCAGTGGACTCTCTTATTAAAACAGAATTAGCCTTTATCACGTCAGATAGGTTCTCTGAATTGCCTAGTTTGCGTGAAAAAAGGTCACATTCATTTTGAAAATGTCATTTGGTATCCTAAGTAAGCAGAAGAAAAAATCGTTACTTTGGAATAAAGAAATTAAGTTTGAGCAGTGACCAGCTAGTACTAGTTATGTATGGCTTCCTAGCTCAATAAATCGAGCACTGCACCTTTACAGGATAGTAAGACCCTGATGATAACCTTAAATTTTTAAAGAGATGATTTCCTAATTTCACAGCTGATTGGTCTTTCGTTTGATGTAAACACGCAGTGTAAGAATAATTCTTTCCATTTTACTTTAATGATGAAAACTACAGCATTGTCTGAATCAATAACTTCGATATCTTTTTGTTGCTTCTAGACGAAATAGACGTATCAAGGCGCCATGATTTACCGTCTCCGTTCTCACATCGAGGTGGGCGTAAAGGAACAATTAATTTTGATTGCTAGTGTTATTGCTGCTAATATAACAGTAGACAGAAAATGTTTCGTTCCAAATATTTTAATATTTTTGCTTCATTGTCACAATCTGTATTTCTCTTTTTTATGGTGAAAAATCGTCAACGAGGATATTACAAATTATTTACCACTTCAATTGTGTTTTCTACTGTGTAGAAAAATTGTGGTTCTTTTAATTTCACGATTTGAGTTTCATCTTTTTATCCCAAAGCAACGAAACTTGGAATCGTAGTTTCTTCTCATAACTGTACAATTTCACGAGTCGTTGCAGCGTACATATGGAGGAGACAGAGACAAGCTTTGGGTGTGAATGAAACAACTGAATTAGAGTTTAAAATACAAAATCCGACGTTTCATTTTAGACCTAAGGTTTGTTTCTATTTGCTTTGTATTATTTTCTGTTCTTTAGTGCTTTGTTATTTTGTCTGTGCGACCAAAAATTGGATGCACCAAGTGTGCAGATCTTTTCTTAACAGGAGTTCTTATCGTTTAACTTTTCTATCTTTCAGGCAGTTTAACAAGTCACGTTACTTCCCCTTGGCCACAAGAGTCTCATCACTCCCCTGTCGTTGGCCAGTTGATAGACTTTGATTAGAATTATTTTCCAATAAGCACGGAAATTGATTACTTCTGGTTTCACGATAGTGCAGCTTCTTTTCACAGAATAGTAGCCATAGACTAAAGTTTTTCCGAACTGTTATATTTTTAATCATGTGAAATGAAACAATAAATCATTTAAGAAACATCACGAAATAGAACATGATTCCAGCAGACAAATAGCTGCACTAGACTTGTGATGGACAGAAAGATGAATTTAAGTGTTGAAACGTAGTGTGGTTTATTGTCTCTATCTAGTCATTTTCCCTACAAATAATTGTGATATTATACGTTTTGAGCAGTAGGCATGTTGGTAGATATCGGGTGCCATCTCGTTCTCAAACACCTCTTAATTGAGATTCTTCATAGAGTCCTATATCGTAACGGAGAGAGTATATTTTGCAACTAAAAGGGCACGCGTGGAAACGCTTGGTTAAATACCGCAAAAATTCACTTCCCACACAAAGCTTTGGGCCTATAAGGGTACCCTATTTAAATCGCTAAAAAGATAATGTTCCTTGTTCAGGGCTCAGTACTTTGAGCTTTGGAAATGAGAGGGTCAAGAGGGTTTGTGAGGCTGACATGTGTTCATCGTTGATTGCGTTTTATTTGCTTGAAAGAATTTTTACTAAAGGATGGGAGAGAGAGGCTGCCTCTGCACGTAGTTTATTGCGACCACGTAGTCGAGAAATTCTAGTTTCGATTTCAGGTCAAGGAACCTTTTCTTTTTTGTTACAACAGTCTTACTTTCTTTAGTCCCCGCTGTAAAACATGCTGACAAACACTGAAATCCTCATACATCTACACCCAATTTGAATGTTCTTAAGTCAGTAGTACTTCATGGAGCGCTGGCGTATCAACTAAATATTTCTTGCGCGATGATGATGTAAATGACAATGATAAATCTTAAGCATGGTGATGATGTTTTCAATGAATGACGCAGGCATGAGTTTGGTTTTGACCTAGCTGCAAGAGAAGAGAACCCTTTGTCTGTCCTTACAGAGTTATTCAACCAATTAACACATAGAGATTCTTGAAAAATACGCCTTTATTGACATTTTCTGTTCAGCTAAGAGTCCAAACTACTCAAAATGAAACATGAGAGCATGCCTTTCTTTGCACTAGCATCCTGTTTTGCGACATAATCCAAAATTATTTACCCCTCCCCTCCCTTTATTCTTGTGGTCCACCCCTAAGCATCTGATATATCTATTTATTATCAAAGACTGTGCGACTGTTACCTCATATCACTCTGTTAATTTGGCACTCATAGGTGACGTCCAAACCTAACTGATAACATTCGCGGTTAAAGAACGTGAACTAAAACAAGAAACTACAGAAACTTGTAATATCATTCGAATGATCTACCGAAGAGGATCTTCTCTAACTAATGTAAATGACCAAACCATCGAAACAAATCGTAATTTATTCACCAAGGGGACCGCCCCCCTGTAAGAATACGTTACGCGCAATGAGCCTCTTTGCCAATATTGGGTCAGGATGAGCACTGGGATTGGTCGAGCCTGTACCAGATCGCTTAAGGGACATGTTATATCGCGCGGCCTCGATCTAGTTGTTGTTGTAGGAGATGCAGAGCCAAAAAAACTTCCCAAATTCATTTAAATTTGTATGTTTGAAAACCTTTCTTCTTTCCATGATGGGTCGAGGTGATCATTAATATCAGTGTGGAATTGTGAAAATGACCGTAGACATCCCACAAGGTACAAAATTTTAACGAAAAACTTTTTAATTTCAATTTGTGGGTTCGTGCAGAAGTCTGTAATAAGTTGTTACACCTTCCGTTCCATTCGGGCTAGATCGTTTTTAAATGTTGAAAAGAGTATATGTTTGCAACCTTATTTCGTTCTATGATGCTACAATAACCGAAGATATCCTGTAAGTTACGTGAATTGAAGAAAATCTTTTACATATATTTCGCGGTAAAACGTTTTGTTCATAACATCGTTAGCTTCCATGACAATTGTGATATCCAACCCCGCCTGTTTTTCTCTTCTTTGCCCAATTTTCAATGGAAATCAGTTGATAGCTTTACTCCTATGGTTTTTTCCAGAAATAAACATTTAAGATGTCAATAAGCAGATTTGTCGGGATTATCAGATAATCGCGTGCTACCAAAGCAAGAGAATTATGAACCCATGAGAACACAAACTGTATAATATATTCTCTTGACCTAAATTTATTAATAAAATGCAAGGGAAAATGAGCAAGAAATATTTCGTTATTCAAAAAAGTGCTAAGATAGACCTCTCAGAAGCAAAAAACGAACGAATTTCTTGCATTTACGAGACCCAGTTGAATATTCATCCGGCGTTGATTACATAAGTTCACGGCCATAAAATCGCGTAGCGTTGTATTGAAAATTCTGAAAGTTAAGTTATTTAAGGAAAAATTCTTGGATTGAACAATGCCTTAAGAAAATATCAAGACTCTTTAGGTAAAACAAAAGATCGTTAGGCTAGCAAGAAGCCTCGATGGTGTTTCGAGGTGTGCGATGATGAACGTGCATGTTACTCTAAACAAAAATTTTAATAATTAGAGTCTGACGCCTCTGTAATTAATAAAGGGGTAAGTTTCTAGAGAAACTGTGGTGCTGCGTCGGTGGGAGAGTATGGCAGGTAATTTAGTGTTAACGACTGAGTTGAAAACGTAAATTAGCCACCGTAAAGGGTAAAAAAGCTGACGTTTCGAGCTTTAGCCCTTCGTGAGCGATAGACGAAACGTCAGCTTTTTTACCCTTTACGGTGGCTAATTTACGTTTTCAACTCAGTTGTTAACACTAAATTACCTGCCTATGCAATTAGTTTGCTTTAGCCTATTTCTATCACTACATGTCTTTCAAACTCTCCATTTGTTCTGTAAGGATAGATTCCCTAAACAAATTGGTTACTGGCATTCGGGTGACGCCAAGTTGCAAGTGACGTTGCTTCACATCTCGGATCAGGTAAGTTTATCTTTGTCCCGCTTAGCCCACTTACCCCGAGACTTCGCAAGGTTCCTCGATGGAAAATTTTATACAAACACTTGCGCAACGACAAATATCGACCGACTGTCGACCGATATATCGGTCGAGTATCGACCGACTCTCGACCGATATATTGACCGCTATATCGGTCGCAAGTACCTGTAGTAAACATGATCCAATATTTCTTGGTAGCAAGAAAACTCTTGTAACAAGCCATCTACCATTAATGATAATAATGATTTGCCTGGTATGAAAACTCGCGGTTATATTCATGGAGAGACCTCAACTTTTTAAAAAAAAAAGATATAAAAAAAAGGAAAGGAAAAGAAGAAAGATGGAAAAAAGGGAACCTAAGGCTAAATGGACATCAATTTTAAGTAATGATATATACATTTATAATATAGTTCCGTACGAGTCCGCAAATGATCCCAGGACCGCAATTCGCACTTTCCCAATAAATACACCCATGCAAAAATCGAATTTCAATTGTTTGATATCACACGCAGAAAGATTCTTGTGGACATTAGAATTTAAGAGTAATGAAGCCGACTAAACAAAACCATTCTGCCTGTAGTGGGACTTAAAACGGCTTACATTATGCAGATTATCATTTTAGACGTCGAGTACTTCAAAATGAATGTCGTTAGTCGGTTGGTTGTCGTTGGTTGTCGGTTGTGTCAGGTAGCAAGTTCGAGGCGAAAATTTGTTGCGTAATGATTAACATATAAAATACCCATACTCCAACACGAGCATTATAACAAATCAAAATGGCGGACTGGGGTGAGTTCTCTCTCGCACATGTACAATTTACTTTGCCTTAATTTAGTTTTTATCTTATCTGTAAAATTAATTTTAAACTGTCCAGATGACGAGGATTTCGAGCCACAAGACTTTTCCGTAAAACAATCGGACAAATGGGAAGGGGAGGACGAAGAAGATCAGGATGTTAAGGTAACAATTTATCTTCGTAATTTACAAAACGTGGAATTCAGTTTGTTTATTCCTTAGATCGGCATCAAAGGTTGATTTATTTGGGAAACGTTTTGTTTATAGGAAAACTGGTTTGATGAAGAAGAGGATTCAGAAAAGAAATCGGAGCCATCCGAAAATCAAACTGGTAACTGATAGATCGGGTTATGAAACATCTATCCTGATGCTTCACAATTCCAAATTTTAATTTTGCGAATTATTGCACGGCTTCTTTCACTAACAATGTCTACAAGCTTTTTATTCCCTATCCAAATTATTCTCTTTCCTGAAATCGATTGTAAACATCATTAAGTGTTCGAAATAAGATTAATCCAACTATTCTTCGCTGTTCATTTGAGTACAGTATCATTGTAATTTACTGTAAATGAAACCCAATACCCCTTAACAAACATAGCCTCAAGGTTACCTCGAAAATTCTTCGTTTAAATCAACCTTTCTTTTCATCTCGTGGAATTAGAAAGAAGATGGTCTTACCATCTCTTAAAAAAATCGGGTTTTCTTTTTCACAGTTAGGGAAACATTGCTTATTATCAAACAAGTTGAACATGTCTCAATATTGAACTATGTTCGGTGTAAAATTTTGTTTGTTTGTTATTATTCTGTTTTTACATGTCTGGCATAACACGTATCTGTGTTATTTAAATTTCACAATTTCAAAGTCACAAAGCACTTGATCCTGGCTTAGCTTGGCCCTGTAGTTTTCTAGTCCTACATTGTACTATTTGACCATTTCCTAAGGTATATTATGTCCTGTTAATTTTTGGTCATGTCATGAAATCGCATAGATACCTGTGTTGTTTGTCCTTTGAATAATATAATTTTGTTGTCAATTTGATAGAAGCAGCTCCTCAAGCTAAAGTAAAGAAAAGAAAAACAATTAAACAGGCTATACAAGATAAGGAGGACAAGGCCAAGGAAAGAGCTCTAAAGAAACAGGATGAGAATAAATCAGCACAAGAGGTGAAAAAATATTGCAGTGCATTTGTAGCAATTATTATGGCTCCTTTGAGTAATGTCTTTGATTTTGCCCATTGCTCTCACAGAAAGAATTAACAGAAGAAGAACAACTTGCAGAAAAGCTTAGAAGACAGAAGTAAGTAATATTTTAAACATCCCAGAGACCAAAAGGTGCTAATGTTGGTGTATTGATATTTTGCTCTCTTGTGAACACATACATTAGGGAAGAAAACTTGAAAAAATTAACAATCAAATTTTAAGGCTTTTGTGAATTAACCAGTCTAGTTACTGCCAGTCAGTGGAAAGCAAAAGTGCTATTGCTAGGTGAATTTTGTGACTTTTTTGCCAAAAATTTGCTCAGTGTCCTATATTTAGTTGACTTAAATTTATAGTTTTAAAGAGATGTAAGAAATGGCAATTCTCCTATTTTGCAAATTTGGCATGAAGCTATTGTTTCAAATAATTTCAAGTCAGATTGTTACAATCATATGCAGCAACTTGTTAGCAGTATCACCGACGGGCTTTGTTTGCTTGTGTCTTTTTCAGATTGGTAGAAGATGCAGATTTAGAATTAGCTAAACAAGCTTTTGGTGAGGTTCTATATAAACAGACTGTTTCTACACTTTTAAACAAACTTATTTTCATTGCCAGAAAATAATAATTCAAATTTTTAAAATTTTTTTTATTCGAGTCCTTCACCATAAATGTCAATAGTGTTTAAAGTTGACCTTATCTTTGAGAATCACCAAAACAGTGACAACACTGTGTGAAACTAGGAAATGTTGGTTTATACATGTACTTACTAACAACTCAGCTCATCAGCTTCTCACTCGTTTACCCCAAATGAAGCAATCATAGATGAGGTTATGACAAGTTTATGACCCTCATCCAAATATACATTGGAGTGTTTTGTTACCAATTTAGCTTGCAATTTTTATTATTAGAAGTGTTGTTATTATTTCCTGAAGTTTAGGGAAAAATTACTGAATGAAATAACTTTGTTCTTCATTTCTCCAGGTGTGAAAGATGATATAGGATCCAAAAGTATAGATGACATGAAACCTTCAACTAAAGAAGAGTTTGTAGAACTGTCCCAATTACTTGTAGGAAAATTATCCAATTATGAGGTATGAGTCACATATTTGTTAATTGTATCACTCACTTTGGTATATAATTGAAACCTCTGCCATTTTTTGACAAAACATTGCTGGCACCTTGTACATTTCTTGAAAGAGGTAGCACTGTTCCTTGTTGGATTTTTATAAGAACTGTTAGCACTAAATTTATCAGGGTTTGGTATCGTGATAAAAAATAGTTTTTGTATGCCACCAACACAGAGTTGGTGCTTGTCAGATTTCAAACGTCCTGGTCCTTTTTACTTCAGAGTATCAAATAAGTGAGTGTGAACCCAGTTGTGAAGACTTTCCTTTCCTTAAAATCTGATAAATGTTATTTCATTAGACTCTAGCATTCTTTGTTAATACTTTAAGTTTTCTTGTGGCCTTTTTTGTCTTAAAAGTGAGAAATTATGAAGGTAGTGTGATTAACTCTTTATTCAATTTTTTGTTTTCAAGTCCAATGCAGAATATGTCCCTTTCTTGGAAATGCTTTTTAGAGATTTATGTGCAAGCTGTAAGTATTCCTTGGGATAAAAACAAATAGATGAAATAAGAAAAACATTTGCATACTTCAAATCCTGGTCACCATTAACAGGCCCTTAGCCTCAACAAAAAATAGGGTGAGGCTAAGAGGATCTTATACTCTTTACCTCCTGTAGGGGGCTAAACAAGTTCTCTATTTATAAACAAGGAAACTCCTTCATAGATATAGAATGAAAATGTTTGTCTAAGAATCTGCGAAAAATTGCCAATAAATAACACTAGAGGATATAAATAATTAGGAAATTAAATTGACTTTTGGTGAATAATTGTTATGTAGATGTAAATGTGATTTGTGGTCATCATTATTCATTGTTAGTACTATGAACAGTCTTTGTAGGCACTATGATGTTTTACATGTCTTGTGCTGCTCATTTTTTTCAGTGGATGCTGAAGATGTTAAACGAATAGGTAGCACAATAAATGTCCTCTCATCAGAAAAATTAAAAGCACAGAAGGCAAGTCACAGATCTCTTTTTATACCAATAGGACTTCAGCATTCTCAGAAATTTTTTTTTTTTTAATTAGGTTTGAGAACTGAAGCTTTATTATGTGGGTTGTTATTAAATGTTACCTTGCTTGCACACATTATTGTGTATTTTATGGATTACTGTATAATAGTAAAACACAAAGGTAGGGTTCAGTTGACCTTAGGATAACACTGAGCACATGAACATTCATGTATATCACAAGTAGTAATAAATATTCTTTGAATACTCCACCCTCAGTGGTTATTTAAATGTTTGTTGTGTCACATTCAGCTTTCTCTCGAAGCATAAATTAACAGTATTATTCTCTAGAATAATTTTTTCTTCTCTGGTTCAAGGTCTCACAATTTTAAATACATCAAGTGCAAAATATCTACAAGAAAAAATCACCTGTGTATTTAAGCGTAATCCTCTCCTGTCAGGGAGGAGTGAAAACAGGACACAACTAATTGGAATGAATGAAGCTTACAATAGTATTGTCCTGAATCTGTAGTATCACTGCATTGTGAAATTAGGGACCAGAATAATCTTATCATCACCTATTTGATACTTTTTACAGGCAAAGAAAGGGAAAAAGGCTGTTAAGAAAGCCACTCTCTCAGGAGCTAGTGCCAAGGCTGGCAGAAAAGAGGACTTGGATGCATTTGGTGGTGGAAATTATGATTATGGAGATGAATTTGATGACTTCATGTGAAAGTGACCGCAAATGAACATGCAAGATTCTGTAAACACAACATCACCAATCCACCCTCAAACTCTTAACAAGAAGTTATTTGAATTCACTTTGGTTGGAACCTCAATAGCGTAAATAATAATTTGGCAGATAATAAAGTTTGCCTCTTTGCATCTTAACATTTAAAAGTGAGATGCAAACATCCAAGGCAGTCATGTTTTGTTGGTTTAAGTCCTTCCAACCAAGCCAGCCCAACCATATTCTGTGTCCTATAAATCAAGGCAAAAAATTTAAAGATTAATAATAACTTTGTCCTAGTAAGTAGAACTGCAATACATTGTTGTACTTGTTTCTCAGATGGCAAGAAAAATGCACATTTAAAAAAAACCAATAATATATGTTTGTCCTTTGTGTAATAAAAGCACTGCCATTGAAAGTGTATACGCATAATTGTAATGATACTTGAGGCAAAAACTTTTTTTCTTTTAATATGCTCTAAAAACAATTCTTAAAAGGACCTCATACATTACGAACACTGTAAACAAGAATTGATCAGAACTAATGGACAATTCAGAATGTCTCTAAATCTATTACCTGAATGCTTTCTTTTCTTATTTAGTACAAGAGAGTTGTGTATTTCTTTCCTGAAAATTAGATTGTGGAATAAAAACAATAGAAACCATGAAAGAATCTTTCCTCAGTTGTCTGTCTTTCAATTGTAAAAGCTTAGGAAAAGTCTTTTTTTTGTCTTCAGATTAAATGTTTATCTTTTAATTTATTCTATGTTAATCTTTTAATTTATTCTATTGTTTGAGTTCAATAGAACTTTCTCAACTTTTCATCACTGTGTAATTTTTACTTTACAGTAGCTTGATCATGCTAGATGAAATTAAAAAAACCTTTAATTATTTAGTTTCTATCAAACAAAAGAAAGAGAGAAGTACTGAAATGTATGTGAAAGAATTGGGTGTTCAAAGTGGAGTCCTAATCTTTCCTTTACTTTACCATGATCCATAAATGAAACTTCGGGAGCCGGTAGGTTCTCAAGTGATGTATCAAAATCTATCGGCGTTGTTTCGATATAACAAAACTTGATCTCTACTGTCGTCCTGTTTTAATTATTCACAATTTATCTCCTCGCTTCCCTCTCCACATACGGGATTACAAATCACAATGTGGTGTCGGGGGTTGGGTCAAAGGCCAAGGGGGGGTGGCCAGGGTTCAATTTTTCTGAGCGCTATGACCAGTCGAAAGAAACTAGTTTCCGCTGTAGTGGGAGGGTAGAGAGAGAGAGAGAGGTCCATTTCAGTCCCGTAAAATGCAGCTCAACACCCAAAAGACTAACTGAAATAGCTTAAAATTGGTTTATCCAAAATGTTCCCAATGCAAAAATTCAATGTTTGTAATTTTTGATACAAAGTAAATGACCAAACTTTATTGATAATGTGGTAATAAGAACAGGTATAGGTCACAACGTGTCCGTTGTCACACCTGGGATTTTAGTTAAATTTGAAAATATGTCTGTAAATAGTCGACAAAAGATGTAGTTAAGAGCCAATGGTCTACTATAACTCCAAAGGTTCGCTTCTACATTATTTTGAGTCCTTGAAACAGTGAAGCGTATTCTATCTCCCCTTGTTCAGATTTCTGACGGTTTGACTACTTACTCTTGTCAAGCTGTCTGAATTTAAAGACAAAATTCAAACTGGCTAAGAGCGCATATACAGATAACCATTTATTCAGTGCTATCTTTTAGTATGAATGTTTTTAGACACAATAGTTAACCGAAGTGTTAAACGCATTACATCCTAAATTGAAGAATTGGGTATATCCAAGAGAGGATATTTAGTATTTACATAAACAGCGCAATCGTATCCTAGAGTAAAGAGCGAAGTATTGCTCACTTATCTCCTGGCTTGCCGACGAAAAAGTTGTGTAACAGAAAAAAGGTGCAAGCAGTATGTTACACTTTTGCTTTAAATTCCACCTTCGCTTGACGTCAGTGGACAAGCCGATGAGACATAAGAAAACTGCGCTAAATCTGCAAAATGTAAAGTATTTCCGTCCACAGTAAACTTCTTGAGGCAGCCTTTGAATCCCGTGAAAACTGAAGGATATCCTCCCAACTGATCAGCTGTAGTTTAAAAACGGAAAAAACTAACATTATTGTCTGTGGTATTCAACATATCGTAATGTGATAAATAGGGTTGCCGCGGTCAGGGAAAAGTCAATATCAAACTTCTAAAGTCGAGAAATTTTGTCCCAATGTTTCATAGAGAGAAAGTGTAATTTTTACCGATATGTCTCAAAGTTAAGTTGGTAACTCTGGTCGTGTTTCACTTAGCGTGTATATTGATCCTTTCGGTCCTGTGTTACACAGAAATTGAACCTCACTAAATAATAAACCTAATGGGTGCTTTAATACCGAAAAAAATACAAACCATGATTATATTTAATTCTCGGTCGGCGCTTCAATAGTTAGACAAAAGGGCATCAGCTATTTAACTAGTATTCAATTGTTAGGATTTTTCTGTTTGATTTTTATGTCTGATTTTTCAATGATTTGATTTTTCGCAGAAGGCTGCTTGAGGACGTGCTCGAGCTTTGGATACTGCAGAGGAATAATCGAAAGGAGCAGTAGACAAAGAGCTGGTTGCTTGCAAGTCGAGGAAGCGCAGACTTTTTTCCCGTTTTCGCTCACAATCCCCCTAACATTAAGAATGAAATTTAACCTGGATATCCGCCAAGAAATAGCTGCCCGGTTATGTTGGTGCCATATCGAACCGGCTTGGTGACGGAATGGACGTCATCTAATGCGACGGTTAGATTAGATCCCTGCTTGGTAACTCTAACCGTGTGCCAATTCATTTGGCACATCATGTAAGACGATTGGGTATCATTTCCAAGTCCAGGTTCGGTCCAAACAATTTGTGATTCGTTTGTCGTGGTGTTGTAAGTCAGAATCATCTAAGTTTATAAGGACAAGGAAATCATCACTCTATCACAGATATGTGAGTTTAACTTTTACTTTAGGTTAACTGTGGGCTCAAAGATTACGAAGGAAAACTTATTCAGGTGTATCATACCATCACATCCATTCCCGAATCCATAGCCCTTCCCCGCCAAATCGATTTCTACCTTTTAAGTATTCATGATTTCAATGATAAATTAAAACTCTAATCACTTTACGTACCTGACCACTCTTTTGTTCCAGACGGATGTGCATTCTGTTTCCCGCTGATGAAGAATACCAAAAATGAATAAACAGATAATTAAATAAAAGCAAAGAAAGCTTTGTCAAATCGAGACATGACTCGAAAGACTCAAATTTACATCTATTGCATTTACCATCGACTATCGAAATTTAATTTCGAAGTCGTCAGTCATTCTTGCTGAGTTGTACAGTTCATTTGTACTAACTCAAAACAAGTCCTTAGCAGTATTCCTTTTATCTAAAAACCCCATTGCTCCTTCTTCCCTATGAAAATTGTCAAATTTGTTGAAAGATCACACAGCAACTAAACAAAGGGAAATCTTAAGTCACCCTTTGCTATGACCCTCGTGATGACAACTGGCACTAATAATCAAACTTGCTATTAATGCAGAGTGTGGTATTGGTATTAATATACCTCAAATGAAAAACATCCAATTGTTGCTCACAACCATGCGCGAAGTCACAGACAGTTTTACTTAGGTGACGTCTTTAGAAGTGTAACATAAGTCATCTTTTACTTAGTATATACTTTCACGAATTTCAAATCATTCAAATCCTGTCTTTGTAGCACTAACTAACCTGTAGAATCAGGAGCACTTGTTATCATAAACAACAATCCGTCGCGTGATGAGGTCCGAAAAGTCACCTGGACATTGAACTCTGCACTTAAATTGAAGTCATCTAAAAATCAATAAATTTTATGAGATTTGGCTTTTGTAACTCTCGAATAGAACTCCAGAAAATGACAAAGGTATTTTCCAGTATAATGTCATTCATTCTAGAGCATGTTGTACTGTTTTGTGATAAGTTTCAGCAAGTTGTAGCTTTTCGTTCAGAAATTACGCGTGTGATTACTTTTGGAAGTATTCCAAACTATCTTGCCATTTAGAGTTCAGACAGAAACTGTCTTAAATTTGTCTAAATATATCGACTATTAAGATAGCACAGTATCACTTGCCAAATCTGGCCCAAGAGGAACCATTGAAACCGAGACCTGGCTGAGCCTTGTCATAACACAGACCGCGAGTCTCGTTAGAGCCTCTACTATCAGGTTTGTTAAAATCGAACAAGGATTCACTGTTGGCAACATCGAAATCTTTCATACAGCCTGCAAACCCTAAGAACCTAAAATAACAACAAAAGTACACAGTAGATTATAACTAGTTTACTAAAAGATAGTTATGATTATCAAACGATGTACGAAAGTTCTTTAGTTAATTGTCCATTATCGGGCAGTCTGCATGGTCATCACTACAGAACTATGTTCATTAAATTTAGCATTGACATCACTAATTTACGTTCTTCAAGAAGTATACCGTTTGTAATCATACATGAATCCGAGAATACAGCTGATTTAGTTAAAAACCACTATTTGCTTGTCACTTAAAATTTTCCTTGTGAAAAAATTTATAAAGAATTCAATCCATGTTACTCTATCTTCATGAAACGACATACCGTTTGTAATCATATTGGAAATCGAAAGCAAAAATTATTTTGTCGAGATTTAGTCAAGGGCCACTATCTGCTTGTCACTTAAAACTCTCCTTGTGGACAAATTTTTAGAGAATTCAATCCACTTTACTGTATCCTAATGAACAACATGCCTGTTGGTGACTGTTGGAGCAACCACGTAACTGGGTAGTCCACCAATATACAAGTGGCGTAGATTCATCGAAAGACTGGGCGGGTCGTGTCTTCCATTCACATAATCCATAGTACTTGTTAGCATAGCACCAAAATGAAACAGGCGGAGAATACGAACCTGATATTATGTCAGTCAATTTAATGAGATTAGACTTATAGATAATGGTTGATATGTTGATATTGAGCCTAATGAATTGAACAGACCAAGAAAGGATTGAGGAAATTAGTGAGACAATTGCCTGTTAACCTTCATTACTGTCATCCTAATGCCTGTGAACTCCGTAATCATTGACTCCACGATCTATACTTGAATATGAAATAGCAATGTAATGAGATATTCTTACCGAAAACCATTGGCCGTTTCCAGAGTACTTTTCTTCACTGGTCATAGAAACCAGGCCTTTACCCGAGTTAAACTTGAAGACCAATTTTCCGTGGACAAGTTCGAGTGAAAAGAACTGAGTCGGGTGTGTGTCATTGTCGGTGCCATATAATAATAGGCCGTCGTCTGATAAGGCTCGGAAGGATAATCCAACTACAACCCTGCAAAGCAAAGGAGCATTACACCACAAGTACCATTTGTTGCCGATATTTTGTATCTCTATTCGAATCTTTGAGTCGACACCATTGTGCGCATGTATTTGACCTTAGTTATTGGCAGTAAAAGGCAATTTTAACAAACTTTTGGGAACATTAATTTATAGTCTTTCACAGCACTTTCTCTTGCATAGGGGCAGTGCAATTTCCTCTCCTGGATTAATAGAATTGCATCAGGCACAAAAAACGTATAATCGATCCTCTATGTAGTTTATGTAATTTGTGTTTTCGATCGGGGAAAGTATTACAATGTCAAAGTGTAATGTCTTCAGCCTACTGATTAATGAAATAAACCATCTCAATAGATAGGTTTTTACCTGGATTCGAACACTATGCTTTGAATTTCGTTCAAATTGAATCCAATGAAGCCTTTTCCTCTGCTTTCTTGAAGATCGAAATGTAATGCTCCACTACTACTGGACGCAGCGGGTGGAGGAAGGGAAGCACTGCAGGACGGAGGGATGGGTGGAGGTACAAAGGCTGGCACCACTCCCGCCTTTGATACACCCACAGTATGTTCAGATAAGAAATCTATTAAGCTAACCAAAAAATAGTAAATAAATAAAGACAAATCTCATAGCGTTCATACGTCTTATATCGATTTCAGTAACTAATTCTAGATTTAATTTGGAGAGTAAGGTGTAGGCTTGCAATCAGAATTTAAAAATGACCTCTTCACCATATTTCATCAAAACAGAGGGTAAAAATTCTGACGCACATCAATTTGTAGCGCAGGACTTAAGATAAAAGATAACGAAATTACCTGGAGTCAACGGTCAAATTCTTCATGCCACCCTTGAAACAGAGTGCGTAAGGAGTCTGGGATGACTTATTGGAAGGAATGCCACCCATATAAAACGGATCATGAAGAACCAATGATAAAGCAGCGAAGTTATAGACACCAGTGTAAACAAGAGTGTTATTCACGTAAAGTTCGTATCTGTTAAAACAAGAGAAACATCACAGCAGCTAACTTACTTGATAATGCAATTTTGTTTTTTCCAACCTTTCATAGGTGTTTGGAGGGTGGATCTCTAATCTTATGTCGTTCTTATCACGACTTATGAGCATTCGTAGTGAAGAAAAGTGCCTCCCCCTCATAACGAAGTTTATTCTTTGTTGCAGACTTGGAAATATAAACCGTAAAGGAATTAAGCCATTGGGGATTGTAAACTAATGACAGGCCTTGTACATTTTCGGTAAAAGTACAATAGTTGTGGCTTTACACATTGCCATATAACATAGAGAATTATTGCACCCACCCATTGTCCGTGAGCTGCAAAAGCACTGTGCGCCATGAATTGTCCGAGAAGGTGATATTTGACGAAGAGAAGACAGGAACTGATTCAATATCCCCTAACCAAAAGTATAAGTCTCCGTGTCGTAATGCCATGTACAGCGATGGTGCATCCTCCGTCTGAGTAAACGTTTAATAAAAAGAGAAGTAAAACTTTAGGCGTATGATATATTCACTTTCTTGTAAACATCTTGACATAATTTGTAAAGTCTGAACTCCTCTTTTTATGGTATCGACGAAGTAGATTCGGCCGGGTATAAGGAGTCACTCAACCATTTTTTTGTAGGTGTTTGACAAATTGTTTTGACGCACCTTTTAAAGGTTTGCAAACCAAATGGAGTGGTGTTTCAAAAATAAAAATCCTGAGTGAAATGAGAAATTCAATGCACTGGATAATTTTGAATGAGATTAAGATAAAGCAGTTATTTGATTCTCGCAGAAAATCAAATGGGAATGCAATGTTGCTCACGTTTTTTTCGCTGTAGAGAAGAACGCCACTTTCTTCCTTTGTCTTAAAGGTAAAGTGCAATGTCGAAAATGCTGCTTTTCCGCTGATGATGTCAATAGTTGCATATGAACAGTCGCTTATTTCCTCTTCGAACCCGTAGAAACGTGTTCCATATTCTATCTGAAAAATTAATACCAAAAAGGTTAAGCAATTTAGGGACTTTGAAAAAAAAATTTTGACGAGCCTGTTCCCGTCAATTGTTTTATAAGTGATTAAGAAGTGCATGAAGTTGACCCCTCGAGGGTCTGCTTTTCAACTTTTCCAAGTAAACAGGTGCGTCTCCGCCATCTGAGGTACTATTTCCTCAGTTTCTCATTTGAATGTGCGTATAGTTCATGTCAATTAACTCGTGATTCGAAAATGGAGAACGGTACCGTGCGAAATAGAGCACTTACCAACTGAAAAATTAGCGTTTGGTCTTGAAGAAACTTTTTTAAAACCAGCAGACAACCTAATCCGGCATGGCAAATCATTTTTTCTTTAGCTACTGGTTTCCCTCGCTCTTAGGAAACCACCTAATCGTAATACATGCTATTCATGCCGGTAATTTCTTCCTTACAAGTTGAATATTTAATATTAAAATACCATTTGTATCGGGGGTCATCTCATTCAGTAATCTTACCTCTCCTTTGATAACTCCTCTAAACGATAATCCTTGTTTTGAAAACATAAATGTTGGGTCGTTGAAGAGCCGCGGAATTAGGGATGAGGACACACTGCTGTACAGCAGCAAGTTTTTCATGTCTCCAGAGAATACTTCGTTAGCTTCAAAGACAACGACACTAAAGAGAAGAAGATCACATTAGTTTACACTTTAAGCTCCTCACAGAGGGACATTGTCAGATGACGTGAGATGTGCTTATGTTTCAGACGTGCATGCGGATTTATTTCACATGTCAGTAAATATATGCAAAAAATAGTGAAGGAAGATGTTATTCTGAGAAATAGGAGACTCGTGGCAAACTAAGCCGTTTAAAAAATGTCCATGATCACAAGCTTACTGCATACTGCGAGGATGTAAATGTCGATATGTGATGGTTATGCGCAATGATGATGCAGACAAAGGTGGTAAATTTTTGGCCTAGCGATTTAAGAGAAGGAAGAAGTTATTCCGTGAATGACACAAACTTACGTCTTTCCGATTTGAACTTTAGACGCTCTACCACTGAGCTCTGAGAGACTCGTTGCGAGTAAGTCGAGTAAGACCGTTTAGCTAAGCCCAAGGTGACATAATCCGTACCTACTGCAAGAGTAGGAATGTCGATATGTGATGCTTAGGCGCAATAACGATGTTAATGAAGATGATAAATTTTAAGCGTCGCGCTTTAGACGTAGGAAGACGGAATAACAAAAACAAATGACCTTCCAATTACTACTCGAGATGCTCTAGAACTAAGCCACGGGAGACTCGTGGCAAGAAGATCCGTTTAACTAAGTTTAAGGTGATGAATTTCCTGCATATTATAAGGTAGGAATGTCGATATTTGATGCCTATGCAGAAAGATGATGTAAATGAAGATGGTAAATTTTAAGGGTAGTGATTAAACTGAAAGGAGACCTGATTCAGTGAATGACAGAGGAAGACTCGCGAAAGAAAAACGCGAGTCCCGGTGCTCGAAACTGGACTCAGACCCTTCCATTAGTACTTGGACGCTCTATAACTAAGCTATGGGAGACTCGTAGCAAGACAGCCAATTTAACTTAGTCCAGGGTGATAAACGTTTTCCATACTTTGAGGACAGGAATGTCAATACGTGATGCTCAAACGCTATAACTATGAAAATGAAGATGGTAAATTTTAAGCGTGGTTATTAAAGTAAAGGAAGACGTCATTTAGTGAATGACACAGGCGAAATCGGAATAAAAAAGTCTTCGTCTGTCTAACCTAAGACCTTCCGATTAGGACTTCGGGCGTCCTACAGATAAGCTACGGGAGACTCGTGACAAGTAAGGCCATTAAGTAAGTCCATAGCGATAAATTCCCTACATCCCTTTGAGGATAGGAATGTCGTTTGTGATGCACAAGTGCAATGATGGTGTAAATGAAGATAGGAGATTTTAAGCCTGGTAATCTAATTGATGGAAGGTGTTATTTAGTGAATTACACAGGGATACTTCGAGGGAAAAAAACTCTGAGGGCTCCCAGATAGGAGTCGAACCAACGGCCTTCCAACTAGTACTTCGGACGATCTACCACTGAATCATGGGAGACTCGTAGTAAGTACGGCCGTTTAACTATGTTCATTGCGACAAGCGTCTTGCATACTCCGAGGAGAGCAATTTTGCTATGTGATGCTTTTGCGCAGTGATGATGCGAATGAAGATGGTAATTTTAGAGCCTGGTGATTTTGGCGAAGGAAGATGTTATTCAGTGATTGACGCAGGCATGCTGGCAGAAAAATGTATGAAAGCACCCTTTAATACAGAGATCAGCTGGTGTTTTCTGTAAGAAACGCAAGACATTTTACTGTTAATGCATAATCACCAACGAATACTCGTTAAGTTCTCAGTACAAACCTGTTAGGGTTTAGATCTCCGAAAGTGATTAGATGACTATCGGCCATTACCGTTTGACCGGTGTCGACAAAATGACTGTCAGATGTTCGAGCTGAGCCCACAGGATTTACAGTTAGCGTCGCATTTACGGAAGTGCGCATGATACGAACATGATACCAGCGCCCATCGCCGTATGAAGACCTGTGAATATACTTACAATGAGCTACCTTTGTTAGCATTTAAAAAATGTCTAAGAGAGACAATTGTAAATACAATTGTCTGGGGAGTTCAGTTCGTTTGGCCCTGAAATTCGAACTTTCCTTATTTCTTTAATCCGGTGAGAGCCAGTTCTATAAAGTTAAAATCACAATATGCAATACCTCACTTAGGGAGACCACTACAGAGAAATGCTAAATCAATGAATGTGTTTTTTTGTAGTATGATACGATAATTGGGGTGTCCTACTCACCCACTGCTTGTCATTGTAATTCCATCATTTTCCCCAAGTTCGAAAAAGTATTTAACTTGTCCATTATGAAGATAAAGAACAAGAACATATCTCTGTTCTTCACTGGATATAGCCATGATGATACCATTCTGATGCAGGGTTCTGAAGTCTAATTCTACAGATGCATACCCAGAGCTGACATTGAATTGCCCAACTGCATGTTGGAGGAAACCATTTCCATAAAAACTAACAGCTTTTCCATCGGCCGGATAGTAGATGGGTTTGTATCGTGGAACTGCGTACTTGACACCATCATGAGATTGTGCAGAGTTCCAGAGATTGTAGCGATAGTTATCAATAACAAGATTATCGACCATGCCTCTGAAGTGATCCATCGATAGAGATCCCTGAGGAATGGAACGGCATCAAATTTCATTAGGCTCGTGTTGTTACACGTGAGAAGATTTCAGTTAAAATTAATCTAACGTTGTCTCTTGTCTAGAGAAAGGATGTGATTGATGATCGCATTTGCACAATTTTATTTGTAACAGCATGCAGTTATTAATATTATGGCCATTCCGATATGGGGGCGGTATGAACTATTTTAAAGCCAGAGTGAAACTACCATCACGTTTGAAGGTACGCCTCCCAGGTAAATGATGCTTTCATTGCTAAATTGCAATGTCCTTCCATTAACTGATGAGCCATTTATGGAGATTGTCTCGCGAATCTGTCGGTCTGCGCTGACTGTTAAGAATGCCTCAGCTTCAAATCTGTTCAGAGGTAATTTGCAAAGTGTAATCACAATATGAAATGATAAAGCTTACCTAATAAAAGGTATACTTTTCGGAGACATCAATTGAAAAAATTTACATTCCAGATATGAGAGAGTTGGCATTTTGCCAGTAAGTATGCTGACTAATGTTAATAAAGTTGTAAAGGGTAGCAGAATCTGGTGTAAAGACAAGGGATGTGAAAAGGAAAAGGGAGGTTGTTTCCTAATATGACTACAAGTACGATTGTATAGTCTGACCATCCAGGTAAGGGTAATACTGAGAAAGACTGTTCCCCGTTGTGGACAGTTCAACAGCGGACACAGCACCAGAGACGGGTGTAGTACTAAGAAGCAGGTAGTAAGTAAGTAGTAAGTGACAAGCATTCTGCACTGATATGAATCCTTTCGGTTAATTCCATGTTGATATCGCTGTTGACAAAATATGGTTAGTATGAATAAATCACTTCCAGATGATTTCCACCTCTTCGGGTCCGTAAGTATGGTAGTTACGTGCTTACCTGGTGAAATACACGTTGTACCAGGTGTCATTTTTAAGTACCAAGGGATTCTGAGCCGTAATCGGTCCAGCACCGAGGTCATACACGACACTGATAGAACTGTTTGATATGAAGAAGGCGAGGCTTTTTGTCTAAATATAAATTAGGAAGCAGGAAGATGAACAAATGAATTACTGAATAAAACCAGCTGAACGAAAATTAAATTAAATAAAATTTCAAATTTGAAAAAAGGTTTTTTGTTACCATTGATTCAATGTTCGCTACTATAAAAAAGAGACGGTTTTGACGTAACAATTTTTGTGAGAGTTAAACCAAGTAGACAAAAATTCTTATTCCTGACCAGCGGTAAACGAATCGTGTAGTGATCGTATCAGGCGCTCTTTTTCTCTCTTTACCCGCTGATTCCTGCGCTGTTACACTATCGTTTTCCCCTGTATAACTTTTGTATGTACCTTTTAATAACAGGGGAAAAAGTTTATGGTTTCTAGGGCACGATTCTCTGGGTTATATGTCCATAAACAACATTCTACAAGTCTTACCAGCCAATTAGAGCGTTCCGTGGTCTTTTCATGAGGCTCTGCTATCAGATACATCACAAGACCCTCGGTGACGTTAGTCTTGATATCAAACGAAATCTCGTTTTTCAAAGGATTTCCAATCGTTTGGGCAGATGGAACAAATTCTACCCAGCTATTGTTCATAATGAGAAGGGCTAAAGGCAGCGAGGCGGCCATTCTTCTCACTTGACTAAGTTTGTCTGATACATTGGTCATTCGTGTTTCTACTTGACTTCGGATAGGCGAAAGTGAATCCATTGCTGTTTTGGCTTCTCTAACAGTAGCATTTACTTTCGGCTCATTTGGATTTGGTACAAGCTTTGCTGAGATATTTTGCACTGTAAAGGAACAAAGAAAACTTTCTCATGAGAAGTTATGAAACTCAAGTTTTTTTTAATTTAAAAATTTGTCCTTTACGGCCTAAAAACGATGGTAGCCGCTTGAAGTTTACTGGAACAAAACTTTTTTATGGGATGTTAGAAACTTAAGTTTTTTCTTTCATCTAAAAATTTGCTCTTTACGGCTTAAAATCGATGATAGCCGCTTGAAGTTTACTTAAAACAAAATTACATCGTAAATCAGGCTGAACACGTCTGAAGTTTCAGCATTAGGTACTGTCCTAATTTTTTTTCGCAGTGATAGCTAAACACTTTACTTACCATTGCTAAAGGCGTCATTAACCAGCTTTATTCCGTCTTGAGATGATTCTTTAATAAACCACGTTTTATTTAACAAAGTCTCTATAAGCAAGCCCATTACATTCAGCTCATCCTCCAGTGTAGATAGAAATACACTTGCATTGGTCACTTTGTCTTGTGCTTGCATCAGAGGAGGTGAAACATCCGGAGCTTAAAGCAAAGAGTGATGAAAATAACGTCATTATCACCCCAGCACTCCATGTTCGCAATTCACGCCACTTTGTTTCCCTACTTACCATTTTTTGCACATTTTAGTTAAGGTAATCTTTATAATACTCTCATGAAATACTTCTATTTAACGTAATTTCGCAATGAATTGTAGAATTTCATTATATCATTTTCTTTATGTCCCCAAACTTTCTTACTGAAAGGCTTTATAAACGTTAAAAGTTAGCTTATTAAAGCATCCACAGAGCTCACCTTTCGCGGCAGCGATACGGAACTGGACGGCTGCATCCTGAATGGCGGGAAAATGCTTGTAAACGTCATTCCATACATCCAAGGAATTTAAGAATGTCAAATTTGCCTGATGAATCGTTTTTTCCAAGTCTTAAAAAGAGGAAATAATCTTTTAAGAATTTATTTTGATCGACATGTACGTAAAAGGAGAGCTACAAGAAAATAGGGATCGCAAAGCTGTCAGTTTTTCAGACCGTTGTGGTTGTTTCTCCATGTAAGCTGGGATGCAGAACTTTTTTCATTAATTGTGAATTTATAAATCACATAACTGCATGTTCTCGGTTGAAGGGTTGCGGGCGGTAAAGACAAAGTGGTCCTGTAGGCGAAGTGTGAATCTTCTTTTATCCCAGCAGAGCAAGTTAAAGTTATGCCCGCATAAGATAATTCAGGGGACGTCTGTGTTTCTTAAGGGGAGTCTGCCTATATTTAACGAGCAAAATTGAGACGCTCAAGGTGAAAATGAAGTGTTTCTCGCTGATCTATTAGGAATGTTTGCAAATTATAGGCCATTATTCAGTGTATACATTTTTCGTTCATTTTTGGATTGGAGTTCTGAACCTTCTCCATCTTGTGAAAGGCGAAGTTAACTATTCACGCATAATTTAGTAATTGTACCAGGTGACACACCCAGCTGAATGGTACAGACCCACTGAGGACAAATAGGGACCGCCGCCGCCCCCCTCCCCCACGGAGGGGGTTTGTATAAAATGTAAATAGACCTGGCGTTTCTTGGAACTAAGCATTCACTTGAGAAAATATAGCATCTGTCGCAAGACTCACTTTGTATAGTAGCGTTTCGTTCTTCTGTAACGTTGTAAAGCTCATACCATCCTTGCCACGCTTTTTGTGCCCCGGTTTTAAGGTAAGCCAGAGAAAAAACGCTGAGCTTTAAACCAGAAATGGGAATTATGAATTTTATTACTTGAAATCATTAAAAACGTGGTATCCCTATGCAGCCATGTCATGCCGTCTACTTTAACAAATGGCTGACAACATATAACGGGTTGAAAACACGAAAGAAGAAATAACCGATAACAAATGGCAAAAAATGCGGTTCATCGACTAAGGACGAGTGTAAACGAAAGACCGTAACTTGCTGCATGAAAGTTTTTCGACCCTATACCCAAACTTTGACAATCTTTTAACGTTGATAGTAACTCCTCCTGCGGATCACTTTATGTCCCGGATTTCTCACTCGTTTACATCATAGTTCAAGGCATGGGTATATCATCATTAGATCTTTAAATTTGTATTTATAAAAGCGCAGTACATTCCATTATGTAACGTGCTTTAATCTTTAATTGTCAAACTCAACGTCACGCACCTGTTGGTCGAGGACGTGCACTGTGTTGTTTGCCTGTTCCACGAGACTTAAAGACCTGTTCACAAGCTTACTTATCTCAGAATATCTGTCGATCGCCGATAAAGCTTCAGCACCATGAGTCTGACTACGATTGAACGTTCTTCAAATAAGGAAAAAGACAAACTTTTTAGTACACTGACCAGGAATAACGGAAAATAAAGAGTTTTTAAGAAATAAAAGAATGAAGAAATGGTGCGTTTGAAAGAAGGTTTCTAACCATTCAGAAGGTACTCGTCTAAAATTTTTCAATAAAATTGAAAACGAATGAAAAATTTCCTAATCATAGCTAATGTGGACAACCAAAATTGCTGACTTATTGCCCATTGTTATCCTAAATAAAAAATGCGATCAGAGAACAAGAAGCAGAATCGTCCCCCCCCAAAAAAAAACTTCATCGAGAATTTCGCAAGTGGGTGGTATTTGCTTCAATCTCTTCTTTGTACTGATGTAATTTGCACTCACTGATCCATTTGGTTAGCGAGTGACTGCAGATATGAGGCCTGGTTTTCAGCCTGATACAGTTTAACTTCGGCAGAAAACAGCTTCTGCTTGATGCTGTCAACTTCCATTTCCAGTAGGTTTGATACATCTGTTAGTCCACTCTGTGGAACAAAGTTCCCACTGCTTATTTCAGACAGGTCCTAGGACATAACACAAAAATAATCATTTTTTTGTGACATTTTCTCTCACACTATGGAACGTTTTACGAAGACCAAATTGCCCAAAATCAATTTTAAACAAAAATATTTGAACCGATCCTACTTGAACATGAGTACAATCGCTTAGGGTATACTGAATAAGATACAAAACTGTTACTGATTTAAGACACTAAGAAAGAGCACGCCAATTTCTGGATAGAATGATAAAAATTATTTTTCGAGATTGAAAGTACAGTACGGATCCTCAAAAGTTTTCAATTAAATTCTACAGCACTCAATAAATAAAGTCTTTATAAATTTGTAATAGGTATAATTTGCGTCAAAATTATAAGATTTTGAATGATAAGTAGTTGACACTATCAAGCAGCGCCATCCGGATCCCGTAAATCACAAACATCACCCTTATGATAACATTCATTCAAATTCTATTTACACATTGTCATCATTACAGTCATTATATACCTGTGGAATTAGTGGATACCATTCGGTGACGATGTTATCAAGGAAGTTTTCTACTTTGGACAAATCAATAAGTGCCATGCCAATTAAATCATCCTCTTCACCAGGATCGTGGTCATACACGGCTAGCTTCAGTTTGGTAATATTCAACTGCTCCATTGATATGGTGAAACGAATTACATCGCCAAATGGGAAACTTGGGTTTAAATCACCTGTAGATGATTAAGATGGAAAATTCCACGATCAACGATTCCTTTTTTTTTTTTTTAACAGCAACAAAGGACCACTTGTTGGATAACAGTATACATCACTTCAAGGTATGCCAGTCCGTTATTACGTTCAAAATAAAAATCTTTTTGTAACAGTTATTGCGTGTAGACATAATGAGAACTACTGGCTAGTTATCAGTTTCAATGATCAATATTGAAAAATCCTTTTGGGGATGAACAGGGTGGTTCGGCAGGTGGGTGGGCAGTTGCCTAGATACTGATATTGATCCGTTTCCTCTTTGTAAATTTTAAATCTACAAAGAGGAAACGGATCAATATCAGTATCTAGGCAACTGCCTACCTACCCCTCCCCTAACCCAACATTAACCCTAACTTGTTATCAGTTGACTGTTGTTGGGTTAGGGGAGGGGTAGGTGGACAGTTACCCAGATACTGATATTGATCCGAGGAAACTAGAATTGTGATATTCTTTGTTCATGACAACTTGAGTTATTTTTGGTATCGTTTAAAAAAATTAACGAGTCAATCATCAGTTATATATTTTAAAAAGTCATCTTAAGCGTTCATGTTCAGGATTAGCCAAGCAACAATAAACGACAAAATTCTAATCTTTACACAAGATGTGTGAACAGATCCATATCTGTGACTGTTGGATGGTCCGAGAACTTACATTGAAAATATTAACGATGAAAAAGCTTGTAAGCACAAATAAAATTACAAGAATTAATAAAGTAAGTAAATGTAAGGAACGTATACAAAAGTTGATAATCTAGAGGGGCTATTTCCTTTGCAGAGAGTGCAGAGCTAGTAAACACCTTCAGCAGAGACAAATATTGGCCTCACTTAAGTCCTTATCGTGAAGTTTTATTATTTCATGAGAGCCTTACCGTTTACAGTAGATGTCGTTTTAGTCCCCTCATTATTCCAATCGGGAATAATCGATACCAAAACATACGGGTCTGAGGTTTGACGTGAAAGATCCTTTGGAGGAAGATTACGTCCTCTCTCGATGCGCAAGACAAATTGTGTTTGTCGCCGTTCGTACTGCAGCATGGATACCTCCAGTTCGCCATTAACAGGAGATAAAGAACTTTGATATTCCTGATGCGTAAAGAATAATCACAAAGATTATACAGGAAAAGGAAAATTCATGCAGGTCAATGCATATATCCACGACTACGACAAATGTAGTCGCGACAACGTTGTGCTAATTTGTTTTATTGGGGCTCCACGAATTTGCCCTGCAAGATAACGCAATTAGAACTCGTATGATGGGTACTCCAACTTGTCTCAATAATTTTGCAAGTAGCTGGTTGCAGTCAGCGCCTCGACATCACACGGCAGAATTTAAACTACGTGCAAAGTAAATTTACTACAGCATGCCAAAATTTGTATCAATAGAAATACATGTACTATACTGGCTTTAAGCATCATCAGGATAAGTTTAGCGCGTACTTGAATGATTAATTTGTGTTGGCAGCAGATTAAAAGCCATCTATCTAGCAATTACCCACCTCTGGATGATTTTGTTCACGGGAGTGACAGCGTAATGATTTCTTAAAGGTAAAATTTTTTAGCCACAATCCCTGAGGATTGCATCGACAAAATCTGGAACTGCCAATTAGTACTAAAAACTTCATATCGTTTCCCTCCATGTGTTGATTAGTTTTTAAGAGAGGGAAATGAACGAACAGGCTTGCAATAGATCAGAGATGATGGCTTGTTACCTCAAATATAGATGAGCCACGCGTTAGAACAAGTCTTGTGTTATTTAATGTCATATTTGTGTCAGCCAACGAAAACTTGGAACTGTTCAAAGCGTGTAATTCGTTCTCCAGAAGATTCTGTAATAGCGGATCAAATCACGTAAAGAGAAACATCCTAGGTAGATATAGCATGGTAGATACCTTGTAATTGGTTTATTGCCGACTGATGCGAGCCAAATACGTTTTATACAAAGAATTTGAAGCCCTATCCGGCTGGATCTTGATTTACGCATTTGTACAATTAATTCAAGTGAAGTGCGTTGAGTCTTTAATCTACCTGAAGTTTAATTCACAGAAGGAGCTTATACTACCAGGTGTAATGCATCACCCCTCAAAGTGCTTAGTTTGCAACACCCCGTCTTTCTTTGGAATAGGCGGACAAAAAACCTCGGCATCAAGGGCTTCTATTTGTGTGTGATAACAGATAACGAAACAGAGAAGGGAGGAAGGCAGCCTTTGACTTTCAAAGAGACTTGCCTCGATTTAGATTTTATCTTTCACCAAGTAATTATCCTGTCTTTACTTTTCATGTAACGATGCACTGCACAATAAATAAGAAAGAGAGAAAGCGTGGCAGCTGCATTACCAAGACAAACATACCTTTGCCTCCGTTAGAGTGGCATGCATTTCGCCAGAATAATTATAAACCTTTTCTATCGTTTCCTTGAAGGTTGCATGTGATTGATTCCAGCTCTCCTGGATCTGTATGTAATTAGCTGCTTTCTCTTGTACCGAGATTTCAAGTTTTTGAGCATGAAACAGCTTGGACATGACCTGATACATATGAAATATATCGATTTACTGGATGTAGAACGGCAAACCTTACAGGGTGTAGTGTATTGGGTTATATTGCGTTTCATAGCGTTACATGGCATTATCATTGTAAGGAAACTTCCTTTCTTAATCGTGTCGTAAATCTACTTTCCTAAGTAAAAGTAAAATAAATAATTACCGGTATTGTATGGTAGATATAGTATCTTGAACATTAGATATAAGACAGTTGATTTAGAGTAATGAGAGGAATCACTTATGAATATTCCACACAGGGGACATAGATAATGAAATTCAGATGTAAGATTAAACTTAGCAGGTGAAAGAGCAGAAATTAGAGAAGTTGTAGTATTTCATGAAATTGAGGAACACTGAGGTTGAAGCATTGGACGAAACTCTAAATACTGTGATTTCACTGGTATGGATAAGACTCTTTCATAAATTTCTAAGATGCTGCTTTCAAATTTTTACACTAAGATGAAAAAACCTAATTATTACGGTAAGTCAAGGGTAAATTTGAGTCAAACAATGTATTTATTAAATACTTGGAACAATAGCAAGCTGGCAAAAGTACCTGCTGACCCCTGTTTTCCCTCAGGTAGCCAACACTGGTTAAAAATATGAGTTACCGAGCCAAGTTGAGCGGGGATTACTACTAGTAGGGTTGCATACCTGTTCCAATGTTTGTTCGGCAAGAACAGACGTGTTTTCAGCCATCCATAATTTTTGACTTATATCCTGAGAATATTGACTGAAGTTCCTATTCATTGTTTGGCGTAAAGCTTCAGCTGAGTGTCTCTGGAATTTTAATGCAGCAACATGGTGTTCTTCGAGAGCATTTCGCACGTCCTCAATGATGGTATCCACAGCTGAAAGAGAATTGCCTACATGTTTTTGCTGTATTTACGTATAACGTATGCTCGGTCGAGCAATAAAGCAGGGTGGGGTCCAGGGTGGCCAAGTGAGATCAAAAGCTACGCATTAGGAGACAGTGCATTGGACAATAACATTCTCACTTGAGCCTGGCGTGCAGCCACTCATTTTCCCCCTTAATCTCAAAGGCCATCCGAACTGGAGGGTATTACTCTGCGTTGGGTTTTTGATTAAAATGATTCTTTAACGCTTTCTCGACATCGAGCATTTGTAGAGAAGAGAGATTCCCTGATCCTGTATAAATTTCAACTAGCTTTTGAAAGGCCCTTTCCCAGAACAGTTCACGAATGGAGTATGGTTCAACTCAGCTAAAACCAGCCAGCTGATTATTCTTGTGAGAGTTACTGTACTTTTACAGATGCTAGTACACTCACATGTAAGGTATGTCTTTGCAGATAATGTTGCATTCTTTTCATAGTTGATATTCACCAGAGTATTAGTGGAATTAGCTTCAGCTTCTTTTGAAAAACTGCGTAGATCTTGAGCCTATAGATTAAAAAAGATAAAGGATACGATCTCTATATCTAAATACCATATTTCAACGCAGTGCCACACAGTTTGAAGAACTGAATTATTTTTTTTCTCTTTGCACGACGAAGAAAATCTCATCTTAATGGGTACAAGAACAAAGTCATTATCGTCATCGTCATATAATCTAATTCGTCCTCATTCTCGTCCTCGTTCTTGTTGTTTTCCCCGTCCTCATCACTGTCTTCGTTCTTGTCACTGTGATAGTCCTCGTCAATGTTCTCGTCCTCGTTCCTGTCGCTGTCTTCGTCCATGTTCTCGACACCGTATTACTTCTCGTCAATGTTCTAGTCCGCGCCCTTGTCTTTCGTCACCGTACTGGTGGTCGTCCAAATTTTCGTCCTCCTCCCAGTACTCTTCCCCGTCGTCATCTATGTCCCTGACTTCGTCACTGTACTAGTCCTCGTGCATGTTTTCGTCTTCTTCACCGCTCCGTCACTGTTCAAGTCCTATTTGTTGTCCTAAACCCCGTCTTCGTCACTGTACTAGTTATAGTCTATCTCCCCGTCTTCTCTGACCGTCTTTTCACCTTCCTCATCACTGTCTTTGTCACCGTCACCGCCCTCGTCCTAGTTGTCATTGTTATCATCGTTGCCTCTGGCCGCTTTTTAAACCACAGACAAAATATCATATCCTTACCCTGGTGGAAAGACTTAGCAGACTGTTATTAGCTTCAGGAAGGTCAGAAGTCATGACATTTTGATATACTACATTTCCTGCGGATATACGAGCGTAGAACTGCTCTCTTTCGGTCTGAAATAGTATAAGCATATCTTGTGGGTAATACAGACAAAACCCTATGAATACAAAGGAAAAGGGATAGATAGAGAGGGTAACATGATAAGATTTCCACATATCCGCAACGATGCGTTTTTAATTGTTTTCATAACATAAAATTCTACCCTACAATGTTTTCTTTTTTTATATTAGGTAAATGAAGAAGACTCAAAACCTTTTATGACTTCTCTATCGAATTGTTGGCTAGATATGCTAAACAAAACGAAATGTGCGTGGAATATATGCAAAGGTAGGTCGTATAATTAGATCAATTGGTGTGGAACATCACCAACCTTAGTTCGCTGTAGTGAACGAGACACGTCTACCATTGGATTATTGAAGTTTGCAAAGTCTTTCAGCTGCATAACCTCTACACTTGTTTCATTCACGACGTATGAATTGTTCTCAATCGACTGCCGTAAATTCTGTATGCACATGGAGCATGCTGGATGGGAATCGAGCAAATGAGTCGAAATTTTAGTTTCTCATCTAGAAGCATCAATTATCTTAACGCCAGCCGAACTAACACTGTCGTAATGCCAGGCAGCAACTTGATTTACCCAATACATCGTGAAATCTCAATGAATACAGCCATCATCTATCACCACGATAAGGTCCATTTCTTTCCACATGACCATACCATGCAGCTGAAGTTGCTCACGTTGCTTAAAAATGTAGAAACTACATAAAACTTTCGTCATTGAAATATTCTGTGGTTATGACAAGGCTTTCATATGGGTTTTTAAGCGTTTCAAAGTTTGTGTACATCTGTCATAAAGTTGTTGTATTCGTGTTTGAATCTGATTGCATGTGACGCCCTAAGCAAACGTAGTGCTATGTAAATAAGCCCTAATACAATTTCAACTGGAATGTAAATCGTACCTTCACATCCCTTATCCGATAGGCTGGTGAAGAATTTCATACACTGATCACATGACCTTCCCGTGACACCCAGCTTGCACTGACATTGTCCAATGGTATCATTTGTACACACTGTGCCAGGAATTGTACCCGTTGTGTTGCAGTCGCATTCTAGGAATATCAGAAAAGAGGGCGGAAAAAAGTCTTTAAGCTATCAAATGGTAATCACAAGGCAAGATTTGTATTGAAGAATAAGATACCATGATGGCGCTCGGAAAGGATTAGTGAGGTTTTATGCATTATGATGCGAAGGGTCTTGTTTTGAGTATAAAAAATACCCAGGTAAGGTTTATCCTCGGTTTATTTCGTTGCTAGTGCTAAGAAGAGTTTTTCAGGCTTGTGTTTGTAGGGAAAATATGCCAACGGTGATTGATTTATGAACCTGAGCTGTACCTCCACACGGTCCTTCTGGAAGTCCATAGAACCCGGATGCACACTGCGTGCATTTCAGTCCTGTCGCATTGGCTTGACATGGGCACTGTCCACTCGAATTGCACTGCAAGCTCGCTGATCCAAACGAGTTACATCGACAGTCTTCACAACCCGTGGGACCAAAGTTAAACGTGTTGGTCTGTCGAGTAAGGAGTGAAGAAGTGAGGTTTGTGGAAAAAGTACTCATTCACTGTAAGTCGGAAAAAAAGAGGATAACTACCTCACACAAAGTGCAATTTCTTCCAGTGACGCTTGTTTTACAGTTACATTGCCCCGTAACCCTATCACATGATTGACCCAACGAACCAATTTTGCTGCAAGCACATGCTGTGGAGGTATGGGTAAAAACATGATCGGATGAGAAGTTGCTCTAAAATCACACATTCAGTTGACATTGCTCTCTAATATGAATAATTAAGTAAGGTCACAAGGTCATGTCTTAACCAAACAGTCAGAAACAGTGACGATTGCAGTAAAATTAAAGTTCTCCCAACTTCAACGGCTGAAAATCATAAACGTGGTTGAGGAGATGAAATTCAATTTGTAAAAATTGGTTGGCTCGGAAAACCTTGTTTATCACCTAATGATTATTCGCATGTTTAAGAATTTAGTTTTTTTAATGACCCATACAACTTGAATGTCAAAAAGTCGTAAACGTTTTCATAAATATTTAAATGATTGCAATTTTTGTTTGGATCTTCTGTTGCTAGAATACTACCCAACGTAATGCCAGATTATGCTTACCTTCACATTGCTGAATGACTGCATTTCCAAACGTCCCGTCATCACAGTGCTGACAGTAGAAGCCAGTTGTGTTAGACTGACATTCGAGACATTCTCCAGTCCTCAGACACCTGTCTGAATTATTGTTACATTGACATGGCTCGCATGTTCGTCCTACGGTATTCTCTGGACATTCGCACTTTCCAGTTATAACGTCGCAGACTTTGTTTGGCCCATTGCAACCACAAGCTAAGACATGAAAAAAATAGTTTTTCCTCAGTGTAAAGCTTTACTTTCCGTCAACTAGGAAAGGCTAGGAAATATCAAGAAGTCCGTATGTTCATTTATGAATAACAACATACTCTCATTTGTATATCGATCGAAGCTTATCATTTCCAAGAATGACTAATAACTTTACAAGCATTCGGTACAAATATGAATCAAACGCTAAAGGCAGAGCTTACTGTCTCTTTAAAATTCAGTATGAGAGAAAAGATCCGTAAGAATCGCAGCAGGTAACTATAGTTAGACTCTAGCTTCTGAGGATAATTCAATTTTTAAAATACTTACGGGTACAACCTTCCTCCGTAAGATTATAAAATCCCGGCTTGCACCTACTGCAGTCTCGTCCTTCCACTCCCTGCTTACATGAACACTGGCCCCCATACTCCTGACAGATTGAACTGTTGGATCCCAAAGGATGGCATTCACAGGCTATGAAGTAAAACGAGGAGCCGTAATAGCACTAACCAGCGTGTAACAACAACAACAACAACAAGATTTACTTTTACGAATCAATGTCTTTGATTTCCTTGTCTGTAAGTTATGACAAGATCGGTGTTTGAATAGGTCGGTCAGTTCGTTTAACTGCATCGTTTCGTAAAATTCGGCCGAAAGAAAGGGAGGACTGAACAAAAGGCAGCTAACAGAAAACAAAAGGCAGTCAACAGAAAGACAAGATACAAGATAATTGTATGTAACACATAAGAACACAAGACAACCAAAAAAAAACAAAGGTTTCCTTTCTTACCTAGTGCTCCATTTAGATAATCCATGGTAACACTGAATAACCACGGTAAGCACCTTGGTTCTGTGCTAAAAGCATGTAATTATCAATGTTTTGTTGATCGTAATTGGGGACATAAAATGAAAATGCATATCTAGTGCATATCTACCTTGAAGTTCTAAATGATAAATAATGCTTTTAATGATTAATAGCCTTTTTCTCAAATACGTTTCGAAAAAGAGTTCACCCTGCGGACGTAGGAATACCAATTGCAACAACTGTGATCTAACCCGGCTGCTTCCTCACACCATTGACCCTTTTATCTTGAAACATCAATTCTTTAATGAGTTTAAGGAGAGAATTTCTGGCGAATGACATGGCACCTTCTTTTGTGAGAAAGTGATTTATGGATGTTATGTATCGCATATGTTCTTACGTCATATCATTTCCATCAACGCTACAAAGAAAATCGAACTGTGCACTTTCGTCGCCAAGTACCGTGGCTTGTTTGAACTCTTTAGGAATGGCTACAACACCTTCCTACAAGAAATGAAAAGTATATCCTTGTAAAGTAACGTCGCATATCTGGTTTAGTGAGGATCATCCATTCTTCCCCGTCGAGGACTGGACCTTTATTTTTTCGCCATACTAAATGTATATAACCTAGTTCTAGGTTATATGCTTCCTCTAATACTCACAGACAAATATATATTACACTTCTCGTAGTTTTGATTCTCTCGCTATTATGATTTCGTGACTACATTTGTGTTTTTCGCATTTCACGTTTCTATGTAACAGAATTGTTGAATATCATGATATTGCAATATAATTCAAATAGTATAGAAGAGGGGTTAAAGCAAACTGGCTTTTTACCAGTTTTAGTTGGTCATAACGCTGCATAGTTGTTATGCTGATCATCCAGGTTCCATTTGTCAACGAAAGATAGTCAAGGTCGGGATTTATGGTTTCAAGGCAGTTGTCGCACCCTTCCGCTAATGAGGCTGAAAAGATCATCGGATCGCTAGCTCCGGAAGTGTTTTGAAATTGAAGGGCAACATTCAGTTGAGCTTTTACGCCTTCATTGGTGTATTTAACCAGAACGCGGTACTTCCCCGTTTTAGGGATTTCCAATGACACGTTAAGTATGTCCTGCAAAAGAAACGTACGGAAAAATTGGTTGTAAACTTGGACAACAAAATTTACATTGAGAGATGAGCATAAACCTTTCTCTCGGAAAAATAATCTTCTTGGTTGCCTTGGTTCATCGTCAAAGCTGAATTCCTTGCTCAGTGAATTGCCTGATTGTGACTTTTGTTTGCACATGTTTGTTTTGAGTAGAATAAGTACGTGATTTGAGTTTCTCAGTGACGAATCATTCAGTTTTAGGATTGTAACAATAAATAAATAAATAAAATGTTGTATTACACTTACTGTGGGTGGTTTGTAGGGATTTCGTGAGGCTTGTATAAAGTGAGTATCTGGATAGTAGAAGCCCATGGCCGTTCTTTGGAAAACAACAACGACAGGGAGTTTAAAAACCAGTCGCCCTTAAGTTTAAGAGATGGCCTTTGTCTACACATCACATGTATTGACGAGGAAACTGTTCTATGTCGTAATTACAATTTACCTAGACTGGATAACGAATAACCTGTATAAGCATATACTAAAACACTGGATAACGTTGTAGGCGCGCTCTGATTGGCTATTCAAACAATCCGAATATCCTTTGCGCAGGATTTGCGCCCGAAAATATTTGCGATGGTTGAAGAAATAAATGGGTTAACTACCTGTTTAACTATATATATAAAGACCTATTCACCTCGGTGTCGTTGTGTAGCAATGGATATTTACCTCACCGCTTTGCGGCTCGATAAATATGCATCATTAGCCACCTCCACTGCGGTAAATAGTTGTTAATTATTAAAAATCCTTAACTTAGATGAACGCATCGACGGTGTTGCAGTCATTCCCGAGGGATGATGAGTGAGGTTAAAAGACTGAGTCATTTATGATCACAGTACCTGTTGCAAGATGTTCCGGTGACGTGTGGTCGGCAGTGACAGACACCTGTCGTCTTGTCACATATCGCGCCATTGGCTGTCCCGCCCACATCGCAATTACATGCTACAAGAATGAGTATCGGGAAATTCAGTGTCGTTTCCAAAATACACCCTCAGCTAAGGCAGAAGGTTTATAACGTTTTACCAATTAGGATGGTTTCTTTCACTATCTGGGAATTGTCACATCTTTAGAAATACATGAAAGTTCTTCTGGCCGTTTATTTCGTGATATTGATCCACGGTGCATACGTAGCTTTTAAGTAAACGGTAACACTCGGAACATAAGTGAGCTTATTGAACAAAAGCTTGCAAATAGGTGAAAGGAATGAAAGTGCGTAGATATAGGTAAAAAGAATGGGATTAACAGTGGGTAGAAGCGAGAAGGAGTTACGGAACTGATGATTGCTAATAGCTAGTGATACAAGTATGCTAAAACGGACAGAACTAGCATTATTGCCGATAAACGAGTCAATTGTGACGAGGCTTTTTTCTTTGCTATTTTAAAACAGGTGCTTTTATGGCAAGTAAGCCCACTAGCATTATTAGCATTATTATATCATGTCATACTTAAACAACTGCGGTGAGTGTTACTCACCTTTACAACCATTGCCATCAGAATCCTGCAAGTCATAATATCCATCTTTACACTGGCTGCAGTCCCTTAGATCAACATTTGGTTTACAGTTACACTGGCCGTAGTAGTCCTAGCCGTGACACAAGTGAAGATTAACAGAAAAAGTTATCAATATGTAATACACATGATTTGTACTTTTCTTTGTTCTGTTTTCGCATTTAGTTCATCTTTCATTTTCTTTGGAAGGCGCCAAGTTTAGATATTTTGAAAGGCTCATGTTTGCTACCTCAAGATTGGCGTGAAGGACCTCGAAATATTATTTTGGTACGTTGGAAAGAAAAACGAAAATTCCAATGATATAGAAAATTGTCGACCTCAGATATCTCATTTCTAGTTTTCTGAATTGGTTTAAAATATACTTTCTGTTTGGAACACTAACCCTTTGACAGACACGGGATCGCCCTTTCGTTCCATTCAAGTGACAACTGCAAGCTGCAAGGAAATTTCGTTGTGTTAGTCAAACGTATTCCTTGGCATAACCTAAATCTTCAGCACCAAAGGTTTGATGTTGAGTGTCAGACGCGAAATAATTTAAGCTATAACCGTCCCAGGATCTGTGAAGGAATCAACTTAATTGTGGGACTCGGGTGCCAATCTGGAAAATCGGATTTCAGGATGGAATATGTTCTAGGCACTAAAACGTTACATAGGTAATAGTTTACGATCTTCTCACCAGTGCACCCCTGAGGGTTGTCTTGAGTCAGTCTGTAATATCCCTCCTGACAAGTGTCACACTGGCGACCTCGCACAAACTCCTTGCAGTAGCAATCGCCTGGTTGCTAAGGAATAAGCAGCCATGCACGATATAAGGAAGGTCATTTTTACTTAGGTAGATAATCCAAAGTGTTTCGTTTTTCAGCTTCCTCTTATTATCAAAGAATGTGGTCAAAAGTAGTTAGTGTACAGTGTAAGTCATAAAGAAGTTTTACAAGATATTACCTTTCCAAAATATTTTGACAACTCGTCTTCATCCCGTACGCAGTCACCAAACGACAAACTTGACACATTTGCTGTTCCATTTCTATTACAATTGCATGCTAAAGATAAAGGGGAAAGTTATGGATTATGTGACAGGTCCACTCAATACTTTCCTATTTCTCCTTAAACAATCATGAAAGTATTTTAGCTATATATATAGTTATTCTGATACGGGATCTAATTCTACCTAAAATACACCGTATTACCAAATTATGTCGTGGTAGAAAACTTTCTTGTAGACAAGAAGGCCCCCAGGATCTTCATAATGTCCAAATTTAAGACGTAAGCAAAAAGATAAGGGAGTGGAATCGGAGGTCTGTCTGGAGATCTCGCGATACTCAATTGCACATCAACAGCGTTAAGCTATGTAAGTTTCATGTGGTACTTATAAAATCTCCCTCAAGTTCATGATCGTTTATATAGCCAGCTATTTTGCTCTAGATGGCTTTTATGATAAAGTTCGGATATAATTTGCATTGAAAGATTGAAAGAGCGTGCTCAATCAGAATACAAAGCATAGAGCTGAGCTAAGGCTGTCACGTAATATGCGAAATTGTACTTATGTCTGACCATTTCTCTAGCTTTTTTCGTTAATGAAAGTGAAATTTCGGAACAAGCGAGCCTTCTCACTCTAACCGCTTCCTGCTGATTAACTGGGCTAAGTGACTCAAGAGAGACGAGGAAAAAAAAAAAACACTTATGACAGCATATGATGAGATGTTTAGTTCTATCATAAAAAGGCAACACTGTTTTACTCGTGGTTTTGTTTTGAGTGAACAGAATCCAAAACGTCTAGTTTACAGTGTTTTTGTCAAGTTAGAAGTTGAATTAAAATGTAGAGTGAGGAAAATTTAAGAATTAAAGTTTACTCTTCAAAAACAGAATAGCAATGTGAAAATGATCTACAATTACACAGACAAAAGAAATCATCTGTAATAACAGCTCGCAAAAGAAAGATTAACTACGGGCTAGAAGTTAACTTTCTTGTTTGAATGTCTTCAAAATTTACCTGACACAACTATTACCCATAAATGGTATTTGTATAAATCAGTTTCTGCCTCTCTCAAACGACTTAAACAGCCATCTACTAAAAAATTCAAATTTTCTGTAGGATGAATTAATGAGATCGTTAAGTATCAGCGTAACTAAAAGCCAGCCTCCAAGATCTGTGAGGGGATCATTGACTTGTTACAACACGTATCAGTATCAGTTGTCAATAATATTTTTGTTGTGAGATTAATAGAAGCAAGGCTTTACAAACACGTTACTAGGGAAAAACCCTACGGATCGTCATTCAGGTAATTTTAACCCAATTGTTTATTGGTCAGTTCGCTTATTGAACTGAAATGAAGTAGCTTCATGACCTCCCGCCAAAGAGCAAACTAGAGAAGCATTGAAACATATAAACGTGTCAAATCTATCTACCCAACGAAACACACTACAACGGCTGTACCACCACATATAAAATTGTAACAAATACTTATTTTAAGTATTTTACCTATTCTATTACGTGAAGAGGAACGGAAGTGAAGACCAGCACGTTTTTTCATCACTGCTACACGGGCATTTGCTACCCATCCCACATGTCTCTTCGTGGCTTAGCGGGTTTAGGGCCTTAGAGACTCTTAAAGAGGTTCTCAGTCAGAGCCGAGGTCTTTCGGGATTTATTTTCTTTAATTTCGTGAACTGCAGTTTACCTGTGACGATCAAGTCGTGTTTCATGCAGATATTCTGCTCAGAAAAAGTCCCATTCAAATTACTCTGTATTTGGTTAAGTAATTTCCTTTCTCTCTCACCTTTGCAAGCGTCGGTATCTGTGTTATTCTTTCCAATTGGTCGATAAAAGTAGGCTTGACACTTTTCACAGTTAATCCCTTGCGTATTATGCTAAGAAAGAAATACAGATGACAGGAAAGCGTCAATGCACACAATATCTGCAGCTTTGCAGAAACTAATGGGACTTAAATATTAACGGAGAATCTCAAATGAGTAGCTCACTAAAAGATGAGAATAATTTTTTGGTTGCGTAAGAATATCATCTATGACTTAACTAAGCTATCGTGTTTAGAACTTAAAAACAGATGAACGGAAGTCACCATTTAGCGCGAAATTATGTTGGGATATTTTTCCGCGGAGTTATTGTGTTCCGAAAGGCGAACAGTCTTCCAAGAGTGAAGCTCTAGTAAAACTGTGAAACTCGAGGAACTGATACGATGTCCGCAATTAAATATTATGGCTTATTCTCGTGCCAAATGGAGGCCGTTGTTTATCTTTCACCTATAAAATTTATTCCGCAGCGTACAGGATAAAATGCTTATAAACACCGTTTATTCATAAACGTTTGCGGCTCAAGATGCTGGCTTCTAAATATTCATTGGTAAGACTTAATTAGCAAAGGAGTTTATCTCATCTTATTGAAAAAGAGTGGGAAAATTCTCTCTGACGGTGGCAGAAGTCAGCTTTGAAAATGCGAGAACATCCCTTAGGGAATATCGCCTACTTTTGCCAGCTTTAAACTAAGAAATATTCGGTCAGCTGTGGCCTCTAAACCAATGACCCACGAGCGACGAGTTTTATGGATTTTATCCAGTGCTTTTCGTGGAAATTCTTTTACAGAGTTTAGGTAGAAAGTGTTTGACGAATATCTCGCGAAAGGCAGTCACAGTGAGTATTGACATCACTGAATTTAGTATGGATCCAAAGTTGATCGCCACATTTTATTGGTCGCAGTCTTGTTCTATATTTCCATCAGAATAGCGAGTTTTAGATAGACGCTAAGGATTCATCTGTCCATTTTGGCAGCTTTTCAGATGACAGGCATTTCATTTAATAACATTTCTTTTTTTCCACGACAACACTTCCTTAAGGTCATGAACTTGTGGTCTGTTAATGTTCTCTAAAGCATCATAGCAAAAAAGCCATGGCTGACATATTTATTGCCGTCGCTCGTTTTGCATTTTTTACTCTCATGGCCTTGCAGTGCTTTTTATTGGCTTCGTATCCAGCGCACTACGAAGATAGTGGCAACTGGTACGCAGCCTCCATATTTTACATGCCTGCTGCAGCGATTTGGTGGTTTATCAACAGCAATAATGGTGAACTTTCCCAAGTGCTTTTATTTTGGATCGTGTATGTTTGGCTGGGAATAGTACCCATGGTAGGCATCGTATTTGGTCGTATCTGTGGCAAAATCGGAAGTGAAGGATTCTGGAATGCCAGCACTTTAATTATGACTCTTTGCATAACGCCATTTCTACTTCTCCTAACACTGCATACAAGGATAGCATCAAATCAGCCCATAGTCCATGCGAATCGTGTCTGCGAATGGACAGCGAAGGTCACCATAAATGCTTTTGGTGGAATTGAATTACTTAGTGTCCTCTTAGAAGAAAGCCAGTACAACCAGGAGATTTCGAAAGATTTCAAAAATGCAATTATTGCCTTTACTTGTCTGAGTTTCATGTGGTGGCCCTTGGGTGCGTCTTTAGACCGCGACGCCGAAAACGTGGAGGGTGACAGAACATGTTATTTATTAAGTTTTGGTATTCAAGTAGTCTTTGACATGATATTCTTTGGACTCCGTTTGGGATTATTCCAAGGATGTGGCAGAAGCGTTTCTGTTTTTATGAGCAAAAATATAATTTTTGTCATCGTTTACTCGAGGCGTATTCTTAGGTGCTTATGCGGACTGGATGACGCTTCAAATCCCACCGTAAGTGAGCCGCCCAGGGAGCAAATGGAGCCTTCGACACAAATAAACCTACGTGCCAGCTCGTCGAACCCTTTTACGCTCAGTAGTGTTCCAAACAACTCAGGTTCCGCTCCACCGCCGCCGTACACAGCAGATCAGCAGCAAGGTCAAATCATAGAATCTTCCACATTCAATACTCCAGTTGTCAGTGAATATGTGGGATCGAGAGTTATTAATGTTCGTGGATTTGACACTTTTGAAGATCGTATCCCATCTGCTCCACCTCCACCGTATGAGGCATGACTAAGTACAAACTATCCATCAATAGTACTGGCCATCAGAAATGGAACTATCTCAGATCATATCACAAGTTTGTGACTTATCATTTTCCAAAATTTATTTAGGTTTCAGCATACTTATAGTGAGGAGATAGATATTAACTTGTAGAGGTCAAAGTTTGCTAGCCTTCTTAAAATGTGCAGAGCGGGAACTGTAGGCCTAGTTTTTGTGACGATTATACTATTTCCACATCATGACATAGTTACATAATTCCTACCGTAATCAATATTGTACTGTATTATTCCCAGGAGTTTTAATGGCCCAAAAGTCCTGTTGAGCTTATCCTGATTTCGACTAGTGTGGCTCTTATGCTGGAACATTTTAGAGTAACGTCGTACAACACTAAGTCTTGTGTGAAGTAATATCATTATGCTAAAGCAATATCTAAGTGACGAATCTGAATTCAGATTATACCAGATAATTAAATCAAACCTCTCGTAAGAGGCCATTCTTGAAAATTCTGAGGTTTTTTTCAGTTGAATTCGGTAAATAGAACCCCTTGAAAGCTTTAATTAATGTCTTGTTTCAATTATATCCAGCTTCATCTTTGACCTGAAGCATTAGTGGGTGAAACTTATATTTATAACCTCAGGAAAGGGTTGTACTTGACGCCTTTGTCGTCTGCCAAAATTAAACATAATGATTTAATTATGGTCCAATAAGTTCTTGAACCTAAGATCATGAACGTTGTCGATTCATTTTAAATTTTGATAAAAGAAACATTGCCGTTTATTCATTACAGTTCTATCGGTGGAAACACCAGCTTTGCTAGATTCGAGTACTGTAGTTATGTTCGAGCATTGAGAAACACACCTGGCAATTAAGGCATACTCCTCCACCCATCCTTGATCCATTGATACTTATGCTCAGGCCCAGGTCATGTACGGTTCGGTTGTATGCGCAGGTGACAGCGTGGTTGTGGCAGTTACAGGCTTGAACGAAGATAGATTTGTGAGTCACTTAGTTCAAAACATTTCGATTGGGAAGGATAACATGACTCGCATCCTCAACGACTAATTTAAATTGTATAGGGTATTAAATGTCGTGATAACGGCAGATCAGGTGATGACAGTTCAAGAATTCTGGGCATGTTTAAAAAATTAAGATAACTTAAGGTAACGGAATACTATGGAAAGTTTGGCCACAATTTGCTCCTGCAGTGGAAATCTTATTCACTTCGTTCACTGATTTCAACTGCTTACTTACGTTCACACTTTGTATTAACGTCATTGGTCCAGGGAGCTCCACCGCCTATCTTCCAAGCGAACTGATTGAACATTGGACAACAAGTATCACAGTTGACTCCACACGTGTTACCCTTGCACTGGCAGGAGCGCAAGCCTGTTGACTGGTTGAGCGGACAATGATTGCCATCTCCGTGTCCTTTGCAGTCGCACCGACCACTCAGTTCAATTTCGCGTACAGTGTAATGATGCTGTGAAATTGGAAACTTTATTTAGCCATGCGGGCCAGTTGTTGGTAATAACGATGATAATAAGGATGAGATCAGGGCTAAGGGCTAAGGGCTAAGTTAAGTCTAAAGTCTAAACGAGCTGGATGAGTCAAATATTTTCTGTCGTTTCTAACAATCGCGTTTGGGTGACAAATAGAACATTAAAAAGTGTATCTTGCAATATTTCGAAAGCCTTGGAGACAGGACGTTTGGCTTCCAAACTTTCCTATACGGAATTGGTACTTGTAATGGAATGTTCACAAGCTGGCATGATGTGCAAACACAAAAGTTCACTCACCCACAATGTTGCCATGGTATCAAACTTTCTAAAAAGTCCCGAAAAGGTGAATCTAACTGCAGTAGCGTTCATCCAGGCCTAAAACATAGGAGAAAGAAACGAAAGCATACGTCGCGACAAGAGAAATAAGGAAGAAGAATGTCCTATTGATTTAATTTGTATCTTACCTGAAAACCAGGCGTATGAGGGTCTGGTGTACCATCTCCTCTCTGCGGCTGATTTAAGTCAATGTATATCTGAAACAAAAATAAAATTTACCTAGTTTTTCTGTGTCGTGAAGAGCTACACACAACAGCCACAGCTATAGCTATCCTCTTTTATCTATTCATTTATTTATTTTCATGGTTGCATATTTACATCTGTACTTTTTAACTAGTTGATTACTAACCCCTAATGTAAATCTGTGTGGCTTCTGTTCCGAGTTTATTAATGTTTATATTCATTCATTTTCTTTATCTTCATCTTTATTTCGTTCATCAAATGATTCTTATTTAAGGGAAATTATCTTCCAACGATTTCGTACTACTCTCGTGATACTGATACTCTCGTATCATAAAGGGGCCTTTAAGAAGTTACTGATATAATTATCTAACACCACCTGACATTTTACAAGGCAGCTAAGAAGGCAAACATTGCATTCGGTCATTTTTCGAGAGGGAGAGGGGTCCTAAGGCTTACTTACAGTTTCATTATATTCTGGTGGAAAATAACGGCTGTACTCCGTACACAACACTTGATCTACACTGGATATAACTCCCTGGTAGGCAGCAACACCAAACTGTGTACTACATTGGCGGACTGCAGGAGAGGTTACCAAGTAGTGCCACGGAGTAAACGTGGCACCAAAATCTGTCGACTTTTCCACCTTTATAGCTCCTGGCCTTCGATAGTTTCCAAATGTAATGTTCATATCCTGGACAAAGAATGTCTGCAGTGGAACAAAATAGGAGTTAGTTTACTTTTAAGCAACAGCTCCAGCTTTAAAATCACTGTAAATCAGTTGAAACTATATAGGGATAGCAGGGTTCGTAAAAACTTTTCTTGCCTGCACCATGATTTTCTTTACCTTCTTTTGGTTATACCACCTTCACGGCTGATACTATTTTTGTATACCATCAAAACCGAAGCCATAAATATAACACCAGTCAAATGAAACCGATAGTTGAATTTGTTCATGTGTCTGTAACGGAGAATAATTTAGTCAACTGTCGATGTTGATGATTGGCCTCTCACATACTGGTCATGCTAACTAAAAATAACTCAAGGCAAGAAGTTATCATTCTCTTGTTCCAAGTTTTTGACTGAATGTTTGGCAGCGAGAAACAAAGATTGAGGGCCAGTATAATGTTTCCCGGCGGTCGAATATGTTCTGACGTCTCAAAGATATCTATACATTTTCGAAAGCCACGAATAAGTGTGTTTGAAAAGATTCAATGTGAGGCCAAGGATCATGCGGAATCCTATACCCTTATGAAATAACATTATTGCGGGTGTTATCGCGTAGACAATCCATAAACAGAGGTACCGACCTGGAGAACTTCAATCAGAGCGCTTTTACTACGTGTCTTTCTGACAACCAGCCCAAATTCGGCCTGTGTATCAGTTTTTCTATGGCCACTACAAAATCCTTCATGACTTCTGATTATCAGTCTGTCCAGTGTTATATGTTCGTTCAGGTGGAAGTGAAATATGTCTTCCGTGTTGTTAATCAAGCAAAAGCAATAAGTCGAGGGAGCAGTTGACAAGCTCCAACATATTCGAAGATATGAAAGAGGAAATAAAGCCTTCACAGTTAGTCAACAGTGATGGCCAGTTTGAGCAAGGGTTGAAACGGTTTATGTGACTGAAGTCCTTTAGTGCCTCTACTCTCCAAAATTTAATAGAACGTTCGAGCCCACCGTACAACATCGATGAGCATATTACTTGAAAAATTTCAACGTTTCTCCGTCATCATCAAATAACTAATACTCTTGTTGTTAAATGGCTGTCTTAAACAAAAGATGAGAATGACCCATGAACTACATAGCCGGACTTTTCCCTTAAGAATCCTGCTATCACAATTTATGTAAATTCTACTCGTTAGCTTATTTAAACTTAAAACTATTTATGATACCTGTTCAAAATGTATTGTAATTATTGCCAGGTCCTCTCCACCTTTCGATTGCCAATGAGTTGATAAAGAGCCATCGACCATGTTTTGCGGAGGATATGCATTTGCTGGGTCGCTGGAATTACATGTGAGTGGTATCCTGTCCTCAGCGCTCAGAAACCCTTGCTGAGTTTCAAAGAAATCTTCGGGAGGATTTCCGCACGTAAAGTTTGCTTCAGTTTGCTTCATGTAAACAGCATTGAAACTTGTTTCTGTCACCTCCAGCACAGGGGCGAGGATAATAAGAATTAACAGGGTCTTCTCCTTAAAACGATACATACTAGATACAGATGTTGATGCAGAAAACAATTTCGTCTGCCTTCTCCATTCCCATATCTAATCATACATATTCAAATCCCCTGTCTCATTAACTATACATACTTTCTCTATAAACAGACGCGTTCGGTTAGGACGCATATTTAAAACGTAGCTCTTTTTTTAGATCTGGTGCTGTAAGCCGCTGACTTGACGAGTTCTCAAGCGGATCACTTCGGCGATTCAGTTCAGCATAAGTGTGCGGTTACGAAATCGTGATGCAACGCGAATTCGAATGACACAAGATAAACACAGTAAGAAAAATGCTGGGTAAACTCTACAGAGCGGTAGGCAGGGCCATGGTACTTTCCTTCGCTGCCTTTCCTCCTTCTTTATCGCTTTAATTGCCCGCTAGTTATCAAAAGAACACGCAAAACGATAAAAATGTTATATCTGTACCCATCCATCATCTCCTAATGGTAGAAAAGTACAAAGCACAACCCCGAACAGACACTCGACAAAATGGAAAGTGATCGAAATAAAAGACTTTCGTTTCGTTTGACTGAGAGCAACTCTGCTTGAATTCATGTACATTTTCAGTCAAACTGAAAATTAACAGAAAGTGGCTCAGTAATTTAAAGACAAGTTGCAAGAACTCTTGGAACCGAAAATAGTCAGAAGTGGTTAAACCCGTTTACATTGTCACGGTTGATAGAACTACAAGCGCTTTCTTAACTTTTGTGGTTGACAGAATCTATTTGCATATCTTAGTACAGATTTTATTCGTCCCAGATCCTTTTAAGAGTCAGTCTCTTGTACATTGGTGGTCGTAATTGAAGACTGAGACGGGGGATCACTTTGTATTGTGTTCTCTAAACATGCTTTTATGATATAAACTTGATGAAGATCCGTCGAGAAACGGTCGACAGAAAAAAATTCTGTTAAATAAGCTAAACCAAGAGAAGAAAGAAGAGTAATGGGAAGTACAAGAAACGCTTCCCTGCGTTTGGTACAATTAGATATACAACTCCACCACTGATTTATAAATTCATCAGTTTTAGCGTGTCAGTCCTAATTAAATAGTTTTACAACTACAATTTTTACAGCCTTTTTTACGAGCACAGCTCTAGACCACACAGGCGGCCTCCATTCGACTTACAATAACTTTTTTTAGCTCATTATTATGTTAATATCTAAAATTTCCACTCAAATACTAATTAGTCGAATCCTTGAAAAAATGTCCCTGAAGACATAATGACGAATGAAATAAATTGATTTTTTTGGCATCGAGATGTGGAAACATTTAATGTGCATGTATCGAGGAGAATTCCAAACCGACCCCTCATTAGTAGATTAAGATGATGAATCCTTCTTGTTTCGTGTTTTCTCGACATTACTTTCATTACATCATAACTTTGATGATATTTCTAGTTTAATCATGATAACATTGAAAGAAATATTGGTATATGTAAGACAACAGATAAAAATGTTCCGATCTGAGAGAGCTGATTTGTTTTGGATTCCAGTTATCGTGGCTGCTTTCTTGTTTAACAGGCAAAACAATATATAGTGATTAGCGTGATGCCAGCACTCGGCAGAGGGAAAATACTAGTCTAGCGTCAACCCTATTTTGAAATAACCTCAGTTCTCGGCAATTATTCGCCTCTAACTCAAAATACCCGCACTTTTCCGTCTAAAAACATTTTAAAGAGATCCTGGGGTTGTCAGGCGGGTTAAGTCTGAGAATGTTGTAAATTAAACAATTTCGCAACCATCACTTCAAGACCCTTCCAAAGCCGTGGTTATTTAGAATCAGTCGCTTGTGAAAAAGTGATTTAGGAAAGACGCTAAACGAGACAAACTTATGCGAGGACATCTCATGATGCGTTTTATATTTGGCAGGTATGACAAAACTCGCAGTTGGAATTATTAAAATTTAATGACAATTAAACTTACAACCTGCAGCCTTTTGTAAACGGGACGCGAAATTTTCGAAGAAAAGAATTAACTATCGATTTTGTTTATCGTTGTTAACGAACGATTTGAAGCAAAAATAACCATGGAAATTGTTTCAAATTAGCGAGAACTGTACTTATTGGACAAAAGGCCGTGTTAAGTGGAGAACTAACAGATATATGTTATCGTCTAGAATGTAAACAAACTCGCGTGATAACCCGCCAACGCGGAGCGCGGACGCCCTGTTATTGCGCAGATTATTTTGCGCATGCTATAGTCGCTTTCAGTTAGCGCGAAGCAAAGATGTCGGACGAAGACCTTAGAGGTTTTTAGCTTGATTTCTCTCGTTGTGATCGTGCGATTGCTGTAGATCCTGTCTTTAAAGAAGCCGATTGTATTTTTTATTAACATGGCTGTGTCTTGCTTGCAATTCTCCGCTCCTAGATACAAACACAGGCAAGAAGAAAGGACTCTTCTCCAGCCTCAAGCGTTCGAAGTCTAAAGGAGGACGTGGTAGGAAAAACGCCAAATCGAGATCCATGCCGCAACTACCTCAGTCTTACGTTGATATGAAGTGTCAGATAAATGGCACTGCTACTAAATCTAATGATCCATTTAATATTTCTCAATCAGCTAAAGGTGCCGAAGAAGACGGGGCTGCACCCCTGCCTTCACCAACGGAGGCTGGAGGTTTAACGGAATGTCCCGCTCAGGATGTTACCCCGGGCGCTTTGGTACGTCATCTTTGAACATTTTTAGTCGTAAAATTCCCTTTTAAAGTAGTAAACCACCGTTGACCTGACTTTCGTTAGTAAATCGCTAACAGAATACTATTGTTTTTGTTTTTATTATTGTCGAGCGCCCATTTTTCCCTTGATCTTCCGCCTTCGAGGATTTTCAGTCAAGCAGTTTGTAGGAATTTGTAATTTCTATGTTTTTTCTTCTAGGCTGGTGATGTAGCCAGAGCGGGGAAATGTTCATTCTTTGCTCTTGAAGTAGAGCTTAAGGATGGAAAAGACTTGGCAGCCCGGGACAAAACAGGTACCAGTAATTTTAATAATACAGTAGTACAATGCACGCGTGAATGTCCGCATAAATCCTTCCTAATTATTGAGTACCAAAAAATGCTAACAGTACTGTTAAGATTTAAAATTCTTATAACGAGTAAAAGCATCCATAAAAATATACTGACTGCCTCTTTCGCAGAGAATGAGACAGAAGATGGACTCGAATAAATTAAAGGAAAACTATTGTAATTTATATGCACTAAACAGGCTTCAAGTGAAAATTAATAAACAAATGGCTTATGGAACGTTTTAAGTTTTGAGAAAACTAAACTATGAACAACCAAATACTCAAATAAGAAGAGCTGTGTCTAAGTTTGATTTAAAGGCGAATAATCGAGTCCAAACGTGCCATTGCGTAGGTTGCTTGATAAACCAAAGTCATGCATTTAACCTTCGAAAATGAACCAGACACTTTGCTAATTATATTGCTATTTCATACCAGTCAGTTGCCTTTGATGAGGATGATATTAAAACTTTGAACCAATTTTGCCCAAAAGTTTTTCTTTTAATCCACGGTTCCTTTTGAGAGTCATTCATACATATTCTGTGTGGTAATAGATAATACTTAACCTGTAGACTTGACTACTAGTCAAACCATTTACTGATGTTATTCTTAATCAAACTAGTTTTTGTCAGATTTGTTTGCAGAACTTAGAATTACCTGGAAAATTTACCAGGGTCTCTTTTAGGTTAACACCCTGTTTTGCTATTAATTATTTAATAGAATATTAATTATAGATCTCAGCTGTAAACAATAATGTCAGTTTGTCAAGGTGCAATATAAACACACCACTTGGCAAAAGGTATTGTTAACAATTCTTGGAAACTTTTTCTACATGCTGATGTTTGATGTCAGCAGGTGGCCTGTTTATTTCCAAAAACCCCTTGTATTTATGCAAAGCATTTAAAAGCAGTATTAAATGTAGATGTAGCATGGGTTCAAGATATTTTTTTCCCAAAGTTTACAAGCAATTTTAATCACAGCATGCAATCAGATACTTAAAAAAAATAAAGAGGAATGTTTCCTTTACTCATGTTTGATTATTATTTATGTATGGTATGTGCTGACTTTCCTAGCATTACTGTAGCATTTTATTTGTACAGTGATATTGAGGATATTTTATATGGTTGAAAAAAATTTACATATACTTTAACATGTAAACATGCAAATTGATAATGCTATAGTAATGTATAATTTTTATAAATAATCAACAGTTAGAACTTAACATAACCTGTTAATGACTGTATATTTAAAACACTAACTTTTCATGGAAGTTCAATTGTTCTTGGCAGGATATATTGTTCCAGAGTCGGTGGTGAATCATTGTGAAATTGATAACAATGTGCAAGCCATGCTTTCAAGATAGTTCAAATATGTATATACTTTTGCCGCAGTTAAAGCTCATTTCTCAGTTTGGCTGCTTGGCTTGCAATGAAAGAAAAGAAATTAGAATTTTTTCTTAATTCTTCTATATCCTTGAAAAATAAATTGTGATACAAGGTACTGTATCTAAATTAATACTCCTGTACCTACACTGTGAGACATGTATACATATAAACATTATAATGAGCAACCTAAGGGGTTGATAAAAGTTTTTTTCTTGTATCACTATAAGGTACAAGGTATGCCTTTTTAGAGCTCATTTGTGTCCAGTAATTACCCTCTCACTATGAAAGGAAGATTATTGCTTTGATAGAAGCTTTTATTTAAATGATTGTTTATTTGTGATCATTTTGTCAGATTCTTTTAGTGTGGAATTTCTTCATGAAAAGCCAGTTACTAAACCTATCACCAGGGCACCAGGTTTGAATAAAAGCTACAGACACTAAACATGAACATATCTATAACCTTTCATTAAAACGACTAACACACCGTCTTATAAATACTATGAATAACAATTGAAATGAATGAACTTAAATTTTGACCTCTTAGCTACCAAAGAGATATACATTGACAAAGCATACCAATTATGGGAATACTACAGCTGTAGGTCTGTTGTTCAACTGCACAGATGAATTTGGCTGCAAACAAAATCTCATGTTGTTAACTTACTGTTATCATGTACAGAGATAAGGTTTCCAAGCAAAACATTTCCATTTATTGTCATTGTTTATGTCACTGGTGACTAAGAGGTATTTGAAATGAATAAGGTGGATTGTGATAAGCTTTAAAATTCTGGAAAATTAAAAAACTTGTTTGTCAGAGGCTCTTTGGTTTTTTTTTTTTAAATTGAATGAAAATTAAATGTTTAAATAGGACTTCTTTCAACAATAAGAAAAATAAATGGTCAGATTGTCCAAATGTATCTTTTTTCAAAATTAAAATGATAATAAATGAATTGATGTCTTTTTTCAAATAATTAAATTCTAAACTTTAAACAAAGGAAAAATTAAACCTCAAGAAAACTAAAATGGGTGTTAGAGTGTATTTTTTAGTGGACATTCTTAAATGAACATTTATGCATTGGGTCCTTGAAAACATTGTGTGATGTTTTGTTTTCATTTCATAAGAAGCTGCTTTTACTGATTTTATCATCATTTGTTGATTTCAGGCACCAGTGATCCTTATGTTAAATTTAAAACTGATGGGAAACAAATCTACAAAAGTAAAACTGTGCAGAAAAACTTGAACCCTCAGTGGAATGAAAAATTCTGTGTACCAATCGAAGACATCACTGTTCCACTCATCTTGAAAGTACTTGACTTTGATCGAGTTGGAAATGATGATCCAATGGGACGAGCTGTAGTTGACTTGTCAGCAATTGAAATTGAAAAGTAAGCCACAATATTTTGAAGTCAGTATTTTCAACTCAATTGTATTGTTAAAATTCCATGACTTCTATATTTCATTCTCTTTGCATGTAACCAGAGATTGAGAGATGCAAGTACATGTACATGTTCATGAAAAAAAATGCTGTCTTTTTTATCAAAGTCAAAGAAATTTGGTAGAAATGAGTCACTTAGAGGAAGCAGCACATGAAGAATTTGTCTATAAAGTAATATTTTTAAAAATTTTTGACTAAATGATCTTTAATTTTATCTGCAGACCCACAGAGATGATCCTTGAACTTGAAGATCCAGATGGAGGAAAAGAAAAGCTGGGTCAGATATGTGTTGTAATCACTGTCCAACCTAAGAACTTTGAGGACAGGCAAGAGGTAATATAAAGATATATATGGTTAATACACTGTAGTACATGTCAGAGGCTGGCAGTGAGACCTAAACCAAAATGAATTATTATTCTCTGTGCTTACATTCTCTAGTTGCCTGTGATACTGTACACTTGTACAGAACTTAAGCCAGTTCTTGATGAATTTTTTTGCAGACGTTTGAACATTTTCTGCAGTTGCTAAATGGTACTCACAATAACCACCAACTTGTGGTTCTAATTTTTGCTAATGTTATATTCATCTGCGATTTCCAAAAGGTTTCCCGGAAAGCAGCTGCAACAAAGAAAGGTCAAGCTGCAAAAGAACCAGGCAAAGCACAATTGTGGGATGGTATTGTTTCCATCATACTTGTTGAAGGAAAAAAGATGATTCCCATGGATGATTCAGGTTTGTGGGATTGGAATGTTCGAGGGTTTTTTGAAATAGCTGCTTCTGTGGGAAAGTAGGATGTTCCAATCTGTATCTGCAAAATTAGGGACTTCTTTTTTTATATAATATGATAGTAAAAGAAAAGTGTAAAGTAATCAGAGGACATTCTCCACAATTGAACTTAAAAATCTGTTAGACCATCAAGATTTAACCACAGAATTCTCAGATCTGTGATGCTTAATGAACATGCTGGATAGATTGACCAGTGCAAGTCTGGATTGGTGTTTTTTTCTTTTTTGTAATATTTCCATTGTGAATGGACATATAGTTACATTCATTTGACTAAAAAAAAATGAAATGGCAAAGGATGAAAAGGTTGGAAAACAAGTTTAGTGATGCATTCTATATTAATTTTATATCTTAACATGTTCTGAAGTAATAAACTGAGTTCCACCTTTTGGTTTTCTAGGACTCAGTGACCCATACTGCCGTTTCCGTCTTGGGAATGAGAAATACAAAACCAAAGCTTGTAAAGAAACCTTGAATCCACAATGGAAAGAGCAATTTGATTTGAAAATGTTTCCTGACTCCCCCATGATGTTGGAAGTTACAGTCTGGGACAGAGACATAAGGAAAGATGAATTCATGGGCAGGTGAGCTGAGAGTGTGTTATGTACACTCACCAAGTACACGTATCATCAGCAAACTACTTGAAATTAATTTTTTTGGTTCAAAAAATTATCATGCAGTATCACTATTCTTGTACATTAATCATCTTTCATTTTTGATTGTCAGGTGCCAAATTGATTTGTCAACCCTGGAGCGTGAAAAGTCACACAAGATTGAGGCAGCACTTGAAGATAATGCTGGAATTATAGTTATGCATCTGTCAATAACAGGACTTGATGCTCCAGGTTGTGAATCAGATTTGACTGCACACACAGAAAAGCCAGGAAGAAGAGGAGAGATTGTCAAGCAATTTCATTTAAAGAACACACCAAAGAAGATCAAAGAAATTGGATGGCTGCAGGTAAATTATTACTAAATTGAACATTGAGATTGAGAGATAGGTGTAATCATCATAAAATATAACTGTGGATTGAGAGGCTAAGGTGTGTGGGGGTCATGTGTGGTAATTTGAGTAATACAATTACTGGTACTTACATTTATAGGTACAAGGTGTAATGATGCAGTAGTTACTGGACAATTTGTCAAGGAAACCTAATAAAATACTGGGTTAGGGGGCATTTCTTCCCACTTGGAAGGAGCAATGAAACAAATAGACACTTCATCCTACCCAGACCTAGCTAAGCTCTGGCACAGCACTATGCATTGGCCTGTTTTAGAATCATACAGCATACCAGTTGTTGTAACTTCAAATTACCACTAATTGCCTATCATTTAAATATTATGTCTATTGTAATTGTATGTGGAGAAAATGTGCAAGTAAAATATTCAAATAGTTTTGTTAAATTTAATGGCTCTGAATCTTGACAGGTAAAACTTCACCGAGCTGTTGGATTGGCATCGGCAGACATTGGTGGCACTAGTGATCCATTTGCAGTGATTGAGCTGAACAACCAGAGGCTTGTTACACCAACATTGTATAAGACTCTGAATCCTGCTTGGGAGAAAATTTATGAAATGTGAGTACATGGACTTCGTTACCTAACTAGTCTGTGTAAGAAACAATGACAGATTTACACATGTTCAGTTGTAGTTAACAGGTAAGGAAAAAAACTGACCTCCTTTGAACTGATACTGCTACTACTAGCTTATCAATAAAGCCCATACTCATTTTTACACAAAAATGTACCAGTCATTCCTTTTGTGATGTTTTATTTCAATCATGTTCTGTCTAATTTTTCAAAGTGAACATTTCAATTTCATAGTCAACTTTTCATTTTCTTAAAATAATTATTTGTCTGACAAAGTGTCAAATTTTACGAGGTAGAAACGAGGTTTGAATGTAGCACTGGCTGCTACGTGTAGGGCTCAGAACAGTTCTAACAAATTAATATGGTTCCAACAATTCAGATTACAACAACAGCTAAAACAGCAACACAATCTTAATTTTAATTGTTTTCATTTTAATAGTTAGGATTGTTCTGGCCAGCCACTGCTACACCACCGTGAGGGTGCGGGGGGAAGTTTATCCAAATCTAATTACAAACACTCGTTATCTAGAAAATACATTCCAATAAGAAAAATGACAAAATCTTAAGTAATGAAATGTAAAAGGAAGGACAGAAAGAGACCAGACACTCGATTCGAGTATCAATGGGCTCTATCAATTATAACATTAAAGTTAGTTAAATAAAGTTAGTGTACTTTCCACGTCTATCCTTACAGGACAGTGTTCGATATACACGATGTTCTTGACATTACTGTGTTTGACGAAGACAAGAGAGGTGCTCCTGAGTTTCTCGGTCGAGTAGTTATTCCATTACTTCAGGTAACCATAGCAACACTCATATTAGGCAGTTTTGTGTCTGTTTGTAGCTAAATGAGAAAAAATACCGCCCTTTTTAGGCGACAAATGGTTTTGAGTGACTTTTTAAGTAACTTGCCCATGTTTTAGCAATACACTATTACCGTGGAAACTACCTCTTGGAAAACTAAGCAAAAGTAAGTTAGATGATTGAAGTAAGAATGCAACTTGTCATCGTTAGTTGTTCCCTAGCCGTGCAAAATCTTTTGTTATCGTGTTCACAGTTCGGGACTTTAACTTGATAGGATTTTCCTATTGGTCGATCAGTTCAAAATGATTGGAATGGCATTCAACCTTGTGCACGGTCAGATCTAAAAAATCAACTAAATGATTTCTTTTTCCACCACTCACAATTAAATCCGAAATATTTCATCTTACCGCACTTCGAGATTCCAAAGAGTGACACTAGTTGTGTGTTTTCAAAAATTGACTGCCGCCACTTAAACTTCAACGTAGTAACCTGGCCTCATACGCGTGTCGGTGCAGAGAATTGCAGAGGTCTCCCAACTGGTAAGAACTACAACGTGCTGTTCACAAACAGTTGTTGCTTCGGTTGTCGCAGAAAAATCAAACTTGGGGGTAATTTTTGCCACTTTCGAAACAAATTCACTTGTATATAAAGGTCGTTGAAAGTCGAAAACGCACTCTGTGTCAAAAGAGGATACGTTTGTATTTTAATGGCACACAATAAAGTTGTATGGTTCGGAAGTATACTTTTCCTGGAAACAGAATATAATTTGCTTCCCTAGGTCACACCTGGTGAGAAGCGTTTGTACCAATTGAAGAACAAGAGTCTGGAGGGAAGAGCCAAAGGCCACCTTATCCTGACACTTGATGTGGAGTATAACCCTATAAGGGCCGCTGTAAGGACCGTCAATCCAAGGGAGCCTAAGGTCATGTTTGAACCAGCCAAGTTCAAGAGGGCGGTAAGGATGTGAAGTAGTTGTGCTTATTTAATACTTGCAAGTAGATTACGGGTCTGGACTTTAAATTTGTGAATTTTTATTTGCAGTTATTGCAGCGCAACATTGACCGGGTAAATAAGCTGGTTGCAAGTCTGGTTTCAACTGGAGCATTCGTTCAATCACTGTTCACGTGGCAGTACAAGTTTAGAAGTGCTTTTGCTTTTGCAGTAAGTTTTTACTTATGCGTTCGTGTGCAATTATAATTGATCAAACGGTTTCAATCATTTTTCAATGAAAAAACAAAGCAAAAACAAAAACATTTCCAATTACGTGTACGTTGTGACAAGAGGTAAATGAGAAGGTTATAACGCGTTGGTTCGCATCAGTAAAATCGAGTCACCAATTTCAGAGCTCGGACATATGTCTGGAAGCACAATTTCTTCCGTTTGGCTGTGCTTTGCTGTGCTGTAGGGGTACGCACTGTAAAATGTCAGAATATGGGGAGAAACATGGCGGCCTAATGGGTAGGGCGCCAAGCCACGGTGTGGAACATCTGGGTCGACACCTTGCCGCTTGTGTTGTGCCTCTCCACACCCTTAAAATTTTCAATGGATACCAGCAAAAACTGGGAGGCAAACCTGACGTAATGGTGCGGGCTACGTGTACCTACATTGAATCATCGTCCTGTTTAAAAGGAATAGCAATACTCATAGACCACTGGCTTGAAATCAAAACTTGCCGAGATCAGAGAAACCCGTATTTCGTCAGAATACTCGTTGACATCTTTTAAATTGTTTTCTGTTGCATTTTTCAGATCTACATCATGTTGTGCTTGAACTTTGACTTCTATATTATACCGTTGACTCTTCTACTTACGTTTCTGAAGCAATACGTCATGTGTATGTTACTTGCTGAGAAGAACGTAAATCCAGAAGAACAGGTTAGCTTATCCTACATTTGATTAGCGAGGGCTGGAGTGTATGCTACAGAAGCACAGTTATCTTGTTCAGTTTGCATGATAGACGACCTCTTGCACGATGTGGTGAAACATAGCCACTTGACGATTTGCTAATGGAAGGAGAAAATGAAAATAGTTGACTAAAATACAGTTGATGTCATAAGCCCCACAAGCACGTTAACATTCCATTACATAATTGCTATGCATGGGTTTGTTTCAGTCAAATTATAAGATGCCCCCTTTACCCTCAAGGAACTAGACAGGTAGTCGCTCATCATTTTGACTGATGACCACAGCCATTATCCATCAGTAAGGCTGTCAGGAAACCATTGTTGTGAAATCTGTTGATCAATTTCAAATTTGAATGGCTGTGACAGGAAGGTGCTCCGGTGGACGAGGAAGAAGACGACGAGGAAGAAGAGGAAGAAAAAGGAAAGAAAGGGGTGAGCTGCTGGTCAATCAACTATTGGTTCTTAATTGACAGTGCTCGGTCTTTTGACGAGGCAATAACTTAAACATTTGTGGCCTTTTTTTAGGATAAGGGTAAAAGTTTCAAGGAGAAGATTGCAGCACTCACATCCATCTGTCAAACTGTGCAGAATGCGTTAGATATGGTGGCCTCCAATGGAGAACGAGTGAAGAAGTAAGGAGTATAAGTGATATGAGTACATGTGGCCGTTCATGCTTTTCTTTAAGTTAATCTAAGTCTAACCAAGCGACAGAATATCTTTTGTAAATCCCAATTTTTTTCCGTCTGTTTTTGAATAACTGTTTACGATGGGTGAGGGCTTAAACTTCTACACTTGGTATGCATCCTGCAGTTTTTGCAGACATTGATTGACGGTTATAAACATTTGTTTCTCTGCAGCACGTTTAACTGGACTGTGCCGTTTTGTTCGTACTTGATGTGCATTATCTTCACACTGGGAACCATCGTACTTTATCTTGTACCTCTCAAGTTCTTGCTTCTCGCCTGGGGTAAGCTGGTGTTTTAATAACTTTCGTCCACTTAGTTAAGTATGCATTTGAATTATTGAAGGAAGTGCTAAAAATTGTCAATGGTTCTTAATGACTTCAATAACTTTGGAGACGTTCCGTGGCCTCTAGATTGTTCTAAGGAATGTTTGTATTGGGGTAGTTTCCTTTACTTTCTGTGTGCTAGTTAGAAGTTCAGCTGCAAGTTCGATGACTGTCACCACAAGAGGGGAAATTAGAGCCATGATACGAATTGCCGCCTCCATATAGTGGTTACTAGCTATACCAAGTCTTATTATACTGATACATGTACCTTCACTTGATAAGACAAATTGAGGGGCAATTTTTGGCGGTTGTTGGTATGTTACCAGATAAGCCACCGTTTAAGAACTGAGGAGGGTTACGTCTTCGGTATTGTTTTTCTCATCACGATCATCGTGTTTCTTACCAAGGACCCTCTAAGATTTGAATTGTAGTAATAGCTTATGGGGCATGCGTGTTTTTTTTCTTCCTTAGGAATAAACAAGTTCACGAAGAAGATCCGCAAACCAAACGCCGTTGATAACAATGAACTTGCGGACTTTTTGTCCCGTATTCCTTCGGATATAGAGATTGTAAGTTTATGGAACATACTCACCAATTTCGTAATTCAACGACTTGTGAGTAGACCACTTATCTGCTTAAGAATAAAAAAGGAACAATCGATACCTTGTCAGTGGCTGCCACGTCGAATTTCATGACATGGTCGGCAGTGTTGAGGTCGGAAACTGCTAATATTTCGGTTTCATACTTCACAGTTTCACGTTTCCAACGGCCCAACAAACAACCTCTCAGGTCCCAACCATGCGATATGTTTGTCATTCAGATGGGAGGCTTTTGTAACAACGCTTGTTAAGACCAAAGGCTAGTCCCCAGTGAACAGATATCGAACTCCCTGCTCATTCACTTCAAGCCATGTTTTTACACAGAATGAAATTTGAAACTTAATGTTTTAATTGAAAGAAAGCTTCAAAAAATGTTTGTTGGGGGTAGGCAAACATGGAAAAGCTACTAGGAAGGGGGGGGGGAAGATGGCAAATGACGAACTTTTCCGAGAAAATGTGTTTCTTTATTCGAATTTAATTCTAATTTACCAATGCGTTCTTTTCCCTTTGTTGACAGAAAGAGCAAAAGGTACTGAAGACAGACCCGTCTCTCAGGTTAAAGAGGATCGATGGTTAGCACGCACAGTGATACAGTATGTATCTTGCAATGAACTCGATCAGTTGTTCGACTGCTCTCGAGTGTGGTCCCTGTGCTACGAGTTGAAACTTTTGGGTTAATCTACGTCGTCGTGGAGATGAGAATTTACAAGTGCTTTGAACATTTTCAGTAAAGAATTTTGCGAATTTAGCTCTATTTATTAAATTGTACAGTATTTATTACTTCTAGAGAAAAGAGAAAATTAATTGGAGAGCGAAAAGTAAGTTAAATGGCGGCTCCACAGTCACTGAATTATATTGGTTAGGTAGATAAGTAATGTGCTGCCTTTAAAATATTTATATTGGGTTTGGATGTACAGACTGAAATAATTATAATGGTTAAAGGGCAAACTTTCGTTTTTTGCACTTCACAATTTTTGAATCAGTGAAAGTTCTTTTTCGTTTTGCTTTGTCAAACAACGTAGTTGGAAAAATAGAACTTGTTTGAATTCATTTAAATTTCAAGCATGAAGTGGGGTAGTCGGTGATAATAAATTGGTTTTTAAGACTCTCCAGCCAATTGCTGGTGTCGTGAGTCTCGTCCTTTTTTGGTTTTTGTTTCTTTTCAAATGATATAATTAGTTAGAGAACGATCTTGTTTCATTAAACTTTTTAACTTGTTAAGTATAGCGTGTAATTTTGACTACAAGGTATGGGTTTAGCAAGAAAAGATGACGCTCCGTCATTGGCACACCGTTGAGACAATCAAGCAATACTCCATGTGTGTACACCATACCATTTTCGTACCCTTTCCATCTTTTAGTGTCGTTTTGATTCCGGGTGGTACAAGGGAGTGCGGTAAGTGCTGTTCGCTTTTGTCATGTTAGGTGGCAACATTCTGAAAAGTGAAGTTCTCAGTTGCCATAAAACAATTTGTTTGAACAGGTTTTGTGCGCGGTTGAAAATTCTTTGATCCTATACGTCTGTAGGTCTAATAACTGAGTAATGAGTAAAGGGGTAAGTTTCTAAAGAAACTGTGGTGCTGCGTCAGTGGGAGAGTATAGCAGGTAATTTAATGTTAACAACTGAGTTGAGAACTTGAACACGGCTGACCCAGAGGTCTCTCACTGCTTCATGGGCTGCACAGGGTAGCGGCAAACTATACAAAGAGATCTCACTGCTAAAGTCATTTTTCATGGTTGGTTTATTATATTTTACCGATTTCAACACAATACCGACTTCAATCTTCACTGAACACCCGAGAGAGAATGTGAGCACTTAAGGGAGCGCTTTAGAGATTTAAATAATTGAATAAGAAACCAGAAAAAATGGTGCCATTTTCCTCATTTCTTTTTAAAGATGCATTTGAAATGAAAGGGAAGGTCCATGTCCACCGTTATCTTCAAGCTGCAAACAAATTACGTTAAGAGACAGCATGAAGACACAGAATCTTTATATTGACTGCTGTGAATCTTGGTTTCAGGGTACTTTACTAACTTAAAGACTCAGATGTTGAGTCGTTGTGGTTGAAAGAACTCTTCGGCATTATGAAACTAATTTTGTTATCGCGAAAGCGCTTGAGCAAACCACGCCCTAGCTGTCGGTTTATTGGCAAAGATAATGGCTCTCTGCTGGTTTGGTTTCGCAATTCGTCACAGTTATTCGTCTCAATCTTCTGGCGTTGTGGTAGGAGCAGCTCCTGACTGTGAACCTTCCTTTCCACTGGCTTTCTTAGTTCCAGACACAATGTCATCAATCCGCAGCAAAAGCATGGCCGTCTACACAAACGAGATCAAACGAGTCTCAGTTTCATTCTAAATATCTCGGATTATCCATGTTTTTAATCTAAATTAAGTCAAGAAGATACCAAATGGTTCTCTTTTGTCTGTTTACGACTAGGTTATGGGTGAAAATCTTAAAATGAACTCAGCATCAAATACCTCAATGGCGGTCTTGAAAGTTTGTGCTTTAACCGAATAAGTGTCCCATACGCCAAGAGTATTCATGTCCGTGATTTCACCAGTCTCGCCATTAACACCCCAGGTTGTGTTATTATCTACTGCGTGCTTTGCCTGTAAAATTCAATTAAATTCCATTCAATTTGTTTCCCAAGGAGCTCTTGTATCTTGGTGAAGCCATTATCAGGTACGTATGACGCGTCCCGCATACATGCGGCTAGAGCAAGAAGGATATAAAATTTAAAGCTCGGTAATGAAATAAGAAAGAAGTTTTTCCATCTTGTCACAAGCGTTGTAAGTCATTAGTAATATTCTACGAAGCATACCCTGAGTGCTGTGAGAGTTCTGATAGTGTTAGCTCCACAGTTCTGGATCAAAGTACGTGGAATCACTTCCAGAGCTTTGGCAACTGCTTTGTAAGGCCACTGTTGAACACCTGCCACTGACTTAGCTTTCTCTGTTAACACCTGTAGCATAAATGAAGAGTATTCAACTTAGGTCTCTTGCTACAGTAATATCGGTATATGTGTGCCCTCAAGCTGTGAAAGTAGACACAAATCGTGTGGTTTAAAATTTTTACTTCGAGATGAACAACATTTCTGCTGGGAAATTCAAATGTGGTATGGAGTGTAGTGGAGCACACATAAGTGCACAGGTTAACATGGCATGATATAAGTCTGGGAAGTGAATAAATGTCCATGCCACAGATGTATTCTGTGGATGTACTTACATGGGCAAGAGCCATCTCGGCAGCTCCCCCACCTGGCACCAGTCTGGGATCCAACATGACATTCCGCGCTACATTCATGGCATCATGAAGGTTACGTTCAACCTAAACACATCATGTTAATCACCATTAGTTCACTGTCAGTACTGCTGCGAAACCAATTTAGATCAAAGCTGCGCTGATTGTACCTCATTTAAGATGTCTTTACTGGCTCCTCTTAGCAAGATTGTGCAAGCCTTGGGATTCTCGCATTCAGTTACGAAACAAAAGTACCTGCCATCAAAAATAAGTTGTGCTAAGATATCTTACTTGTTCATTGTAGTGTTCTCGAAAGTCGATAAACACCAGGTTGTGTTGGCCCTCAGCACTACTTGACTAGAACTTATTTCAACATGCACGACATTTTCTAATGTAAATATGGATGACTAATTACTAAATAGAATGCTCTAAAGAACTTAGAGAGCGACAAACCCCATTTTTATCCAAACTGTACAACTTAGTACATACTACGTACTAAATATTAATGTTTGACACAAGTAAGTCTTTCAGCTGTTCATCGTATTTTCTGACATATTTTACAGTACTAATATTCATGGTTCCAGGTGCAATGTCTGTTAAATGCAGTAAATCAGAATTCTAAGTCAAAACTTACTCATCCCCGAACTTCTTAATTTCAAACAATCCAGCCCCAGTGCCTATATCTTCTTCTTTCAGTTCTTCTGTTCTGTTCACAATGGTTGCACCGCATGCGCGGGCAATACGATTGTTGTCTGTTTTCCTTATACGGCGTATTGCTGTTATTCCGTTCTTCACAAGGAAATGCTGAGCAAGATCTAAACAATAACAGGGCAAGTGATAAAAATTGTCTTTTGTGCCAAGCATATGGAGAACGTAAACAATGGTTTCTTTAACAAAACTTGGCCAAGTACGGAACCATAAGATTTAAGGCCTTCATTATGCTCACTCATTTATCATAGTATACATGTACATGAGGAATGCAGATCCTAACTACTTAACAAGACTTTTTCATCAAGACACAGAAGTCAACAGAGAGATCCTTTCAATTCCATTTAGTTTTTAGAGTGGGGTTTGCATCTCACCTGATACTCCTTTTTCTGTGAAGACAACATCAGGTTTTAAGGCTATAACATCACTACAAACTTTTTGGATATACTCCTCTTCTAGCTGAAGAATACGACTGAAAAAAAATTTTTGCAGGAAATTATGCAATTTTTTATGGACATTTTGATATTAATGAGAAAATTTATTAGGTGCAAGACAGTGTGTTGTGTGAATGTGAAATAAAAAGGAATCAACTTACTTGAAGTCTGCTTCTTTGGATATTTCTAAGCTAGTCTGCATAAGAATATGAATTCATGTGACAAAATCAGAATTTAATTCAATATACTCTTCTTAACAGCAACAGGGAAGCTTAAAATCTTACTTCTAATACAAGAACTAAAATTGGTTCAAAAAAAGTTTATGCATCCTTCTCAACTTCTCTGGATGTAATATGGAACTGAACTGTACTAAAACAAAAAGAGTATGCAATTTCCTGCTGCAGTATATCACAATCAAGCCAGATCTATAAGGCATTCTTCATAAGATAGCTATGCGTGTATTAAATCAGGAAGGTGACCATACTTGACTCTCCCCTTTCTTGTACTCCAGAGAACAATCCAAAAGAACTATCCTAGGATTTTCTATTCTCCTGAAAGTGAGAATAACATAACAGACCAGATTACAACCAAAATTTTAAACACTTCCTAATACCCAGAAAAAAGTCAATAAGAGACATAGTCAGGACATCCATGTGAAGATGTCCAATCAATTAACAGACAGATGTTAAGATTATCTTTTGAATGCAACACACAAATTGTGTCAAAGAAGAGGTCTTCACCTTTTCATTCTTGGATGAGTAACATCTTTGTTAACCATGACCCCAGATAAAACACATGAATCTTCAAGTTCACCTCCAGGGATCTACAGTGAAAAATTGTATAAAATATGTTTGTCATCTACTGCTGAGATAATTAAAGGTCTTGGCCAAGTTAGTTGTGGATCACAACAACTATATTCAGTCCTTGACTTTTTTCAATGACTTTACATTAGGCACAAGAGTTTGGGCAAACCATTACAATTTTTTACTTCCATCTTTACTATTCAGTTCCTTACTTTTTCACACAACTTAATTAACCACGAACAAAATGTGATGTACTGGCTCCAATATGACTTGTTAGAGGATATTTACACTAAAATTAAACCATGGGTATATCCTGAATAAATAAATACATGTACTTATGCAAAAATGAACGAGTTTCAGAGTGTTTATTGAGCACAGAATTCTCCACCTAAATGTTAAGAGCCTGATTTCTTTTTCACTGAGATGTGGTGAATATGTTTTATTCTCAGTACTTCAAAGTATTTGCCAGCCTCTCTACTTCACAGTGAAAATCCTGAAACCCAACCTGCATTAATGTATTGTGTACCTTTTCCACTTTGGCATAATTTTTTATGTCTATCTCTTTTGTGTCTCCTTGATCTCTTGCAATAGTTCGTACTGCATCTAAAGCTATGTTACAAGCCAAATCTCCCCTACAAAGAATGTGAACAAAGTTAAGCTAGCACAAAATGCAACATGTACAGTGTGTAACACAATCATTCTTTCATGTATACTACAGTACTGCCTGAAACCAAATGGAAATTGTCTCCAGGTTTATGAGGAAGGCGTGTATATGTTGCACATGTTTTTCCCTATTTTGTGTTGCGACAGATGCATATACATGTAACTTAAAAGTGTCCAAATTCTTCTGTACTGTTTAGGACTAAGCTGGGGTTTTCATCTGCATAACCAAAGAGAAGCATATAATTATGCATTTTTTCCCAAATTTGGCATCAGTGGTTTAAGCAATAATTTGTTTTGGAAATCTTATTGTCACTCCTCATGGGGCCCTTAAAGTTTACAGAAATTGCAAGGTGTTACCACAGGTGTACAATGACAACATACAATGTAGCTGGTTTCCACACACCTACAGGTAAGAGACTAAGGGCAAGTGATTAATATGCTGAAATTGAAAGATCTAGGAAACTTGACAAAATGTTGCAGGGAAAGAGAAGGAGGTAAGCTGTGGTGTCCATATGCAGTCCCAACCTCATGCTAAGGTGACTAGGATAAGCTTTGACAGCAACTGGCCATCAGGCTTCTTAAGACCCTCAAGTAACTCCTTACTGCTACTTTAGTGATTAAATGTCAGTATAAAAATATTGAACTACCGCAAAAAGTGGGGATTACATACATACAATGACTTCTATAACTGCTTGATCTGTAGTAGCATTATATTTAGGGACATATATTAAAACTGCAGTCACAAAATGGAAACTAACCAATGATGGACAAATTTTGTTCCCACAGAGCTTCTAACAATCTTCAACATTTCCTCCCTATTTTCAACATCAACTGGAACGCTGATTTGATCTTTCAAAATCTCAAGCATGTCATCCATGGCTTGCCTGTAAGCTCCAATAATTACTGTGGGATGCATCTGATCCTCAAGAAACTGCTGAGCGACTGACATCATTTCGCCAGCTGAAATGTCACCACCACAACACTAATTACACTAATGATGGGATTGTGCTAATAACAAGACTCTTTAGACTGACTACATCAGATATTTGGAAGGAGAACAGAAATAAGGCCTTACCTTTTAAAAGTTAAGGATCATTTAAAAAATGTATGGGCCATCACAGTGATGGAATTACGGTCAACTTGCCAATGGTTCAACTCGCCAATGCCAACTCACTGACGTATAAAATCGAGTAGAAACGTCGGCGAGTTGGTCTTCAATCCAGTATAACTTATTAGAAGTTAAACATATAGAAAAGTAAAAGATCTTTAGTAAAAGAAAAAAGTTTTCTTCCAACAACAAAGTTTAGCGAACAAAGAACCTGACATCAGATGCTTAATGAGTTATGTGTGACAACAACACCATAAAGAGTCATCATGTCAAAGATTTTTTTTAAGAAAAGCTTTCTAGTCAAGATCTTTATTAAAAAAAACATCACCAATGACAAAGTTTATAAAGATCTCATGGTGAATAAAACAAGATAAACATCGGCAATGACTATAAAAGCTTCAGATGAGTTATTGTGTGACAACAACACCGGAAACACCATCAAAGAGTCATCATGTCAATTAAAAGTCATTTTATTTTTTAAAGAAAACTTGGCAATTACTATATCTTAGTCAAGATCTTTATCAAAAAAAATCGGTCAGATTTTTTAATTTGCAAAAAAGCAATTATTTTCATTTGCAACAAAGTTGAGGTGAATAAAGCAAGGTGTACATCGTCAATGACTATATCTGCTTCAGACGCGAACAAGTTATTGTGTGACAACAACACCGTAAAGACTCGTCATGTCAATCGCTCAGATTTTTTAAAGAAAACTTGGCTTTCTAGACTCTTTCTTGAGGTCCTTATAAACTTTGTTGCAAATAAAAAGAATTGCTTTTTACTAAAGATCTTGTCTTGTCTGTTTACTTTTCTGTATGTTTAACTTCTAATAAGTTGTATTGGATTGAGGACCAACTTGCCAATGTCTCTACTCGATTTTATACGTTGACGAGTTGGTGTTGGCGAGTTGAACCGTTGGCGAGTTGACTGGATACCCAGTGATGGAGTGGGTCAAAAGAAAAGAAATATATATGGAAATGAAATGATAAAAAAAAAAATATAACATTTCAAAAATTGGATTCTATACATTGACATCCCTTGAGTTTTTTAAGTCAAAAAGTGAAGATAAAAAACTCTACAAACTTGTAAACATTACTAAAACTTATAAATGCATGGTTGGAAAAAGCATGGTAACTTTTTTCGAAGGAAGAATAATATGCTTTACTGGTATACACTAAAACAGTGTATAATATTGAAGGTACACTCTGATTGGCTACTTAAACTCTGAACAGCCTTTCCTAATCATCTCTGAGCAACTTGTGCAGAATTTGTACCTAAAAATATCGTACTAGTTACTGAAATAAATGAGTTACAATCATATTTTTGAGTGATATTATTTAACTGTTTTAGTACATACTGAAACAACTATTTACCTCAATGTTGGTGTCTAGAAGTGGATATTTACCTTGCCACTTTATGACCACTTTCCTCCAACAGTGAAATGAATAGCTGTTAACTATCCAGGAAAACAGAGGTCATACTTGACCTCATGCATTGTCCTAGTATACACTCAAATGTCCTTTTCCTTCTGTCTTTCTTATCTTTCATTTTTTATTTTTTTACACTATGTTACCAACTGAAGATACGCCTTTGGATACAAATACTTGAAACAATAAACCTGATGGGTTCAATTTCATTTATTATAAAAACTTAGCATTTCACACAAGTTAAAATTGCATAATGCCAAACTCAAGGGACCAGAGTAATTGAAGGATCCAACGAGTGAGTTTCTGCTTCATACTAATAATAATAAAACAGGAAAAAATATAAAATAAGTTGCAGAAAAAAAATGGAGAGGAACATACCCAAAATAATGACAGATGTGGTACCATCACCAACTTCTTCATCTTGAGTTCTACTAATCTCAATCATTGACTTGGCAGCGGGGTGCTGTACTTGAATCTTGAGAGTAGATCAAATTGGTTAACTGGTAATATGGTTAACTGGTTATGAAGCATTTCACATTGTTCACTTTCAATGCTAAGCTTTTCTTGTTAGTGAAATGTACATTTAAAATGCTTGTAAACATGAAAAGCTCTGTTTTAAAAGGTATGTGCACTTGTTTGCATCTTGAAAGCCGTGTAACCTATGATAAAAAATGGTACAATCTTTGAATTATGGTCAAGTTGCCAACAGTTCAACTCGCCGACCTATAGAATTGAGTAGAAACGTCAGTGAGTTGGTCTTCAATCCAGTACAACTTATTAGAAGTTAAACACTTAGAAAAGTAAAAGATCTTTGGGAAAAAAGCAATTTTTTTCTTCCAACAAAGTTTATAAGGATCTCATGGCGAATAAAGCCAGGTAAACATCACCAGTGACTAAGAAAGCTTCAGATGTGAATGAGATATTATTGTGTGACAACAACACTGTAAATCTCAAATCATTGTAAAGCTCTCATCATGTCAATCGATCAAATTTTTTTTAAGAAACTTGGCTATCTGGACAAGATATTCAGTAAAAAAAAAAAATTTTTATTTCCAACAAAGTTTATAAGGATCTCAAGGTGAATAAAGCAAGGTGAACATCGCCAATAACCAAAAAAGTTTTAGATGCGAACGAGATATTATTGTGTGACAACAACACTGTAAAGACTCATCAAGTCAATCGGTCAGACTTGGCTTTGTAGACAAGATCTTTGGTAAAAAATAATTCTTTTTTTTTTTTCCAACAAAGTTTGTAAGGATGTCAAGGTGAATAAAGAAAGGTGAACATCACCAATGACTATTAAAGCTTCAGATGCGAACAAGTTCTTGTGTGACAACCATAACAACCACGCAGAACCACATGTTTTTTTAACTTTAAATAATGATTTATCCATGATCGAGAACGTTTGACTTACGATAAATTTTGATATGTACATCATGCTATTTTTCTGCTCTTGGAGGTCCGTTTAATCTCGATATCGATTTCAATAATTGAGCTGCTGTTTTTTTACCATTCTCATATTTCTCCCAAAATCCAAACACCTTACTCTGCAATCGCCAATTAGCCTTTCTTTAGATTCTGGTCAGCTTCTGGTTAGATACTAATCGTATTTGTATTGTAAAAGCATTTAGAAAATGTTTGCCATTCACTGGCATAGCCCGGTATTAAGACGGACCAAATGTAAACTCCTTCAAAAGTGAGCTACTGAAGCGTGAATCTAGAATGACGGTGGCCGTCACACAATAACTCGTTCTTGTTTAAAGCTTTTTTTGGTCATTAGCAATGTTCACCTTGCTTTATTCGACTTGACATCCTTATAAACTTTGTTGGAAATAAAAAGAATTGTTTTTTACCAAAGATCTTGTCTTTCTTGGTCATAAGCGATATTTACCTCGCTTATTTGCCATGAGATCCTTATAAACTTTGTTGGAAGAAAAAAATTGATTTTTCCTAAAGATCTTTTACTTTTCTATATGTTTAACTACTGATAAGTTTAATACTGGATTGAAGACCAACTCGCCGACATTTCTACTCGATTTTATACGTTGGTGAGTTGGCATTGGCAAGTTGAACTGTCAGCGACTTGACTGGATACCCAATCTTTTCCCATCATATGATAGCCTTTCCCACACTTTGGTTATTAATTTAGTGTAAAGAATTTTCAAATTTATTATCAGTGTATACTAGAACTGGAAGGACTGAATCAATTGAGTTTGAAAAATAACCAGAAGGAAAAAAAATAAAGTTGAGACATTTGCCAAGAGAAGATCATGGATATTATGATGCCAACATACTGTACCAGGTCATATTTAAAAAGGCAGATAATCTACTATGATGTGGTTCTTACCTCACGAAGAATTGCATTTCCATCATTTGTCATGACAATTCCACCCATGGGATCCATCAACATCTAATTGTCAAAACAAACTCTTAGATAAGTTTATGCATATCCTTTGAAAAGCCAAAGTTAAACTGCAACTTCAAGCAAATTTAAGTGTAAAGCACAAATTCTGCAGTTGGTAAGTATTAATAATTCATATTCAACTTTTATCCTTTCATTTCATTAGTTCCTTTACAGTAACATGCATGATTTCACAAATTATGTAACCATACAGTGCAGCTCAAAGGTAACAAAACCAAAACATGCCTGTTAAACTTACATAGAACAAGTCTAAGACCAGATACAGACTAGTATTGACAGACTAGCATACGTATCTGCTATTGGATGTGTCTGCTTAATTAGTGTAGTATGTAGGAGCTAGCAGAATCTCTTCTCTATTGTGGAATGGTCATTGTTTATTTCAATTGGCATTATATTTGCAGTAAAAACTGGTAGTTAAGATGCACTTGATGTCTGTTGATCATCTCAAGTTTCTTGTGGTTATGTTTACTTGTTCATCATTGTGGTCCTGTTACATGAGTAACTTTACACAGTTTGATTGCCAACAAATTTTTGTCAAGGTTTGCTCACCAAAATCTGATAAGCTCATCACAGAAACTTTGAATTAGGGGTCTGTTTTTTTAAAATACAACCAGAGAAATGGTTTTCTCAGCTCTAGCCATGAAGCTACATGTACAAAAGTCACAACAGCATCTACATGTACCAGATGTATCATAAAAAACAAAGATTTTACTAACAGAAAAACCAAAACAAGCAGGTATGGTTGGCCATCATTGAAACTTAAAAGAAAATCTTGTCTTTAAAGAGAGAACATTGTGTGTTATGAATCAGCAAATTATAAGCCAAGTAAAATTGAAGATAAATTTTTTTCAGTTCTTGCTGTGATGCTACAGAAGACAATTAACATCAAGATGGTGTCTTCCTGCCACAGACAAGAGATAAACCAGTTGACTGGTCAGCAATGGTCATTTGCAAAGAGAACATCTTTCATAATACAACATTTTTCATAAATGCTGTTCATGATCTTATTGCAGCAGTGGCAGAAAAGCAGCAGAAAGGTTGTTATTAACACTTTTTGAACAAACAATTCTGAAGTTCATTGCAAATGACTTTTTGTTATGAATCAGTTTAAAAAGAACAAACCAAGATCAAAAGGTATTAAGGTTTTGTTCACTGAATTTGTGAACCATGCAAGGTTCCAAATACAATACCTTGATTATCTATATTATATCAAAGTTTGTTTTACAGAGGAGGGAGCATTAGTGGACAGGACACATCATGTGCACACACTGTTGTCTTGAGTTTTGCTGAGTTAACTTTTGTTTTTTAAATTTATGAATATGTATATCCAAAGTCTGGTTTTATTTTAAAATTTTGTAATAGTTTTGATTAATTGGTAACAGGATTTTTGTGTCATCAGATTCTGTCTGTAAAATTGTACTCTCGCTCTGTGGTCATTCAATTTTGTTTATCACTTGTATAGTTACAGACCGAACTGAATTCCATTCATTCCTATTACCATTTTTAATCAATAACTGTTTTGTAAATTTTATGCCTGTAGACTGGCACTTTTACATTATCACCTCCTTGGTTGTGGAACACAATGGCACACAAGCAAATTAAAGGTATGGCAATGAATACAGATACAATTTGTCTAAAGGTATTTTTGGATGTGGCTGTTAACAGATGTGACAAGCACACAGTAGTAGTCCCCTAGTCTTTGAGCTGCTTTTAAGTTAACTAATGTCAATTGAATTTGTGAAATGCTCTTGTAGATACATTGTAATTATAATAACAATCATAAAACAATATTAATAATCAAAAAATATAACAATGTTCTTGAATGTGACTGGTAGTCAGCAGCCTAATTTGACCACTTATAGGACAGTGGACGCCTCATACTTGTAATTGGACTGAGTAATAAGGAAAGTTGATGCATTACACTTGTGTAAGTGGACAATATGGGTCATAAGTGTGTGCTGTTGTTGCACATTTTGCTGAGCTGTTGTTTTTTAAAGAAAACTTATAACAGGCTCCTAATCGTTTCTCAAATTTGGTTATTGTTTTGATTAATTGGTAACAGGACTTTCTGTAGTCCAATTCTGTTTTTAATCATACTTGTGATTAACAAATTGGACTCCTGCTTTGCAGTCTTCTGATTTTGTTAATCACTCATATGATTACAGACAGAATTGGACTCCACTCACTCATATTACCATCATTAATAACTCAGCTCTCTGTCTATGTTTTAAGCTATGCAGTTAGCCAAATATTGTGACACATGTGTAACAACATCCTCAACAAGAAGTAATACCAAGCAATATCTGAAGCTCTATTAGAAAGAAATACTGAAAAATAATTTGTGTCATTTGATATACCTTTAACATTGCCTTGGGTCCCAAACATGTTCGAATGATGTCTGCTATAGTCTATAAGAAAAAAAGTTGTTAAATGGAAAAGGAGCATATCTGATACTAGAAGCAATCAGGAAAAGGATTCAAGGTATTGGTGATGGGTCTACGAGATAACAATGGGTGTGGGCTTACACAATGAGCCTTCATATTTCATGATAACCCACTTACTCCTTATTCTCACCAGTCCAGCCCATTGGCATAAATAATGAATGGTCCATGCTTGGCAGTGAACTCAACTTCAAACTATGCAGAATTCTCTACCTAACAAGCTGAAGTCGATCTTATCCTAGAGCATTCACCCACAAGTCTAGCGTTTTATGGTCAATAATAACTTAAATTACACGATCGTATCGGCTCAAGTGATCTCAATCTTAGGGATCTAGAAGAGGTGTTTCAGTTGTGATCGTTCCATGCAGAAGATGGATGTAACTGTGGAAATGAACTCTGTTGCCTGCATACTTTTCCGCCCCAAGAAGTTTTTCTTACCTGGGAAGTTCGGAACAGCACCTTAACTGACACGATTACCGCACATCGTTTACTAATAACCTTCGGTAGTAGTTTTAGCTTAATGGACAAACAAACACGACACAGATGCCTCGTATCAAGCAAAGTTGATGTTACGAAACCTGAGTATTCAAATAACAAAGTTTGAGCTGCCCTACCTTAGCAGCTTCTACATTTCCAAGTTGAACTTTACGACCAGACTCCCGTCTTGTGTTCTGATCTGGAGAAGAGAATAAAAAATACATCCAACCTTATATAACTGGTGTGCGATATTTAAGGGCTAAGAGGAAAGAAAATATTCATACGTACTAAGAACAATAAGTGGTGTAGAAGACATTTTCAAACCTCTAAGGGCAGAATTTACTGAAACCTATCGCGAAATTCAAAATGGCGAACGCACGTGTTACTCAACTGTCAGGTATTATCCAATCATAATTATTGATATATTTCCCAAACGATTTCTAATGAAGACCAATTGAAAATGTCGATACAATTTGGGCTTTCAAGTACCAGTCCTTCGCGGATGAAAGCGAAATGGGTTTCTCAGGAAGTATGGTCGTTAATGAGATAACTCAATCTAAAGGTCCAGTAGGTGCCGATGTACATTGTTGACTTTAGTACATAACACGCTGACAACGCTAACCTTTGGAAAACGAATGTGTCTTCATGGTAATGTCCAAAGAAAACGAATCCCCCTTATCCTATTCAAGTAAAAACTGATTGAGAATGAAAACTGCATTTCATTCAACCTTCCATCGAAGTTTAAGATGGAAAACATCAGATTACAATCCAGTTTTTCACATGCGTTTGTAAATTGAAAAATTATAAGAAAAAAGAATACAAAACGCATCAAAAAGAAAGAAAGATAATGAGGAGACGGCTTCCAGTTAGAGATTGTTGAATCATCTGTGCTTAAACAGATGCCATGTAAGAAACTTCTTAATAACATTGATAGTTCGCTTGGTATGAAAATATCAAACTTGTCCTCTTTCATATCAATGCACTGTAAAAGGAATTATAGCGCCTCAAAAGTACCGATCGCTCATTTAGGCAGTTTAATACAGGTAACCCACGCGGTTTGGTAATTCATGATAGATAATTCGCCATTGGTTAAAAGGTGGTTAATAGCATAGACTTCTCTCACGATTTCCAGGTATGTATACAGTTATCGGCACTGTAAAAAAACTTGTTTTTTTGCCTAAACAGACGTTCGGATCTCGAATAATTAACTTCCCACCGATCAATGTTGTACACCCTCCGTAATGAAAAAAGTCTTCAGTCAAGCAAATTGAAGTATGAATCATGGCAAAGGGAAATATAATTTAACCATCAGCAGGTTAGGTTCACGTTAATGAATGGAGTGGTCATTTTAGACAAGAACACTGACAAAGAATATCCCATAAGGATGAAAAAAATATCTTATTCGCAACATTCAATTGCTTAAATCAATTCTGGTTAGAAACAGAGGACAGTGCTATTTAGATGATAAGTAAACAATGCTAAGCAACGTTTGAACTCGCCTGCTTTTCATGAATTAGCGACGATAGTGAACTTTTAATTTTCTTTTGTTTTCTGAGTTCAAAAAAGTTTTCTTTCTTTTTAGGTGTTCAGACCTAGTAACATAAAAAAGGCAGTATTCTTTACAACGAATAGTCGCTATGGAAACGCATAAAAGGACCTTTAAATATAAATTAACACTTGCAACATGAGAATGGTTTTTTAAATTACGTTTACTATATTGTGTCACTTAAGATACGTCGTGAATAGCTGAACGAAACAGGCGTACATCGAACGAGCCGAAACAGTTCACTTTTTCTCTCAGTAGATCCATGATGGTGAGCATTTTTTTTAATCTTATTATTTCAAGTTTTGTTGAGAGAGGTAGCTACTTAGGCCTTGATTGTCAAAACGTACATTATCTCTGTAAACTTAAAAGGATACTCACTGACCAAATGAAGACAAATGTCAAACTATGTTTGACCTGGAGAGACCCGGGTGGTTTAACTTTTTCGTATTGAGTAAATTTTAATCATTCACACAAGAATATTATGGTCAGCAGAAAGGATCGGATAAAGTTACTATTTATATACTGTTTAGATAGAAAAAAAGGATATAGGTTCATACGAAAGTGCCGAAAAAGTATTTATCGTTTTTTATGGAAGTTCATCCCCATCTAACTATTTTTTAGTATCACATACACGTGTAATTCGACATTGTATCCTTTTTAAACAGAAAACATGAATGAGCCTTGAGGCAAGTCTGCTTGCTCTGTGATGGTTATTAATCCTCACCATAGAAATAAGTCAATTAATCTGAAGCCCGTTTGCTTTTTTGGTAAATGTTAAATTTCTTGAAATATAAGAGAAGCAATAGAACTCGTCTTTCCAATAGGCAAAATAATGGCACTGTATATTTGGGAATAGCGAATTAATTAAAAGTATTTAGAAAAGGGGGCTGTGACAATGATTTCTGTATAACAAGCATCTGGTGAGTTCTTTCTAATGACTAATAACACTGATTTACAACGATTGTTTGTATACTGAATTTTTTTTGAGGCCAAAGATAAAATCCAGCCTTCACTTTCAATCAAAAGTCAATGCTATAGTAATGCCAATTGATTTTCTAACTTCACTTACGAGTTATGCTTTTTTTCGATTTGATTTGACGTTTAGAGAACTTGGTCACAAAAAAGTATAGTATTGTATTCTATTGGCATAAAATGACAAAAACATCATTAGAGATCGGAGAGAGAGTAACGCAGTCTACAACCTTCGTGAGTAACTAACAGCAGCAGGCAGGTTTTTGTACTAATAAGGTATGGAAACAGGCGGAAGTGTACTGATTTACCTTTATGTCAGCAGGGTATTGGAAATAGAATTTTATTTACTGACTATTTATGTCAAGTGTACCCAAATTACGATTAAGTATCGTCAGAGCCAGACTATACTTCCTAAATATTTGAAACCTTCGAGGGCGTCCTAAAATGATAATGCTCCAACATTTCGATATGAAATGAAAAATAAAAAAACCCGGCAATAGATCTTCGGCTGATTTTATAGAAACTTGCGTTTAGTTCTTGAAATGCGATTATCTTCTTTGGGCGTAATTCAGGACATTGGTACCTCTAATTTACCAACAAATCGTCGCATTTGATTATCTTACCGAGCACCAAATGATCGCGAAAGGTGACGTGTTTACTAACTCGCTCGAAAATAATTGTCATTTCAAGAACCGAGATGGTTTATTTGAGTTGCTCATAAAGAGCTTCCCTCGCCCACAAGCAGTAATGTTGATTTTTCAAAAGCGCCCACAATAAATATTGAGTTAAGCCTCTGAGCTACTCGTCCTATTCAGTAATCCTAACAGTATACACACAATCAGAACTGCCGCTGTTTTGGTAAGTTGTTCTTTCTAGTTCTTCACCTACTTTACAGTTGCATGAAATATTGTACTAGAATTGGATCAGTTGTCTTAGCTCTAACCTGCCGCACTTAAATCAGGAAACTGCGTTACTATGCAATTACCTTTAGGAAATGTGCCCTTTGTCTTTTACGAAATGGAAAGAAAATACAGTATAAGTGTGGGTATGTGTGACTAAAATTAGGGAAGTTAACCTAGTGACACTGATAAGTTGCCCACAAGCACACTTCAACCCTAAACGTAGAACTCCTTTGAGACAATGCATCCCCTGCTACTCTTTGAACCGGTATCGGGTATTGCTACATGCTATAGCAATGGGCAATTGTAACAACTTAACTTTCTGATTAAGTAAACATGCACTTAACAGAAATTTTTTCTCATGGTAAAGGAAGCTAGTCTTTAGCCTTTGCGCGTTTCCTCTCTATTTCCTTCTCCCTTCCCCCTCCACACTTTACGCCTGTCTCTAGATAAAAGCTGACTGATTTTTCTGCTCTTTTGGCTAAAATAATGACTGATGGCATTGAAGAGGTCGTTTTAGTTTTGGGAGAAATCTGTATAAAGACTTTAGGGCGGTTTACGAATAATGAATCTGTTATAATAATTGTTGCTCGATATCACGATCGACGTTTTGTTAGAAGTTTTAACAATGTCTATCTATTTTAATGACTGAGTCGTATTACCCCGAATATGGCAGCCACTCTCATTCTTCCCGGCACAGATCAAACTTAACTACCACAAAATGTAGATCAGCAGCTATTCCTGGACTTATCAGTTCCCGCATAGTCGATTAAGACAAACTTAAGCTGTCTTAAACTTTTTGAAAATCAGTGATCTATGTCAAACTCCTCATCCCTGTAAATAATAAAAAATAACTAAATGGGAGAAATGTGCCAATTCCAGAGTATCTCATGACGAAAAGTTTACATATTTTTTTCGGCTCTTATTATTTGGGAGAATAATTTCTCTATGAGTTGAAACCATCGAGATAACTGTTTGGATCCTGACGGAGATTTGCTTTCACTCTAAGTGTATATATTGAACATATGGAGTAAAGAAAAAATTCAAAAGGATTTCCTTGAATAGGGGACTAGTTTAGCATTTATTAGCCTGACGCACTTTTTTTCACGGAAGTGATTGGGACAAAAGTTGTGCATTTGTCACTTTCGAAAGCCAGAAAAATTCAGCTTCATTTTAAAAAGAAGAATGCAGAAGAAAAATGTCTTAATACTCTCACTTAGCAAGACAACTACCTTTTTTTTAACTTGTAAATGGACGAAGAAGACGCGTACTTATCGAGGGAATTTACCTTCCCGATGTTTTCAAATCCTTGATTTAGAAAGCAAAGCAGGCATCGGCGAAAGTCGGAAGGTCATTGAAGATTTTATAACCTAACAGAGTGTTGAAAATACAAATAAGTTAACAATTAATGATGCGAGCTATCTTCTCCGAGAAATGGTCGTTACTTACTAAACAATGAAAGAATTGAACGCTTAATTGCCTCAAAATTTGACCACCAGACTCATCTCCGTTACTGAAAGTACCTTCCTAAATATCAACGTAAGTTGAAAGTTGTCCAAATTCATGTGAAAAAGGATGAAGTCGTTATCGAGAGTGACGAGGGAGACTGACTTGAAAGTTGCTTTTTTGTTCGCAATTTTTTTAACTGATTTTTTTTCGGAAACAGATTTTAACCTTTCTTCACTTACAATTTATGATGCATCGACAAAAGCCCATTACAAAATTTCAAAGCAACCTACAGCTGTTGCGACTTATGTCCAACTTTCATTACAATTCGTTCCTGAAGTCTTGTATATCGAACACAATTTTGAAACGTTCAGTTATCAGTTGTCAAACTCGAAGTACTTTGTTCTTCAGAATTCCTTTGAAATCAAGTGACCAGAAATAGATTAAATAGGAAAAAAATCAAGCATGGCTTCGATTCGTACCGCCGCGACCTTCGTGTCGATAGTATTCGCGAAG